ACACACCACCCTCCAAGCAGCAAGAGGTTTCAAGTGCATTCCTAAGGTTTGGTTTCCTTGGAATGAAATCCACGGGAGACATATGACATTTCTATGATAAAATATTGATTTATTATTTACAGTGGTACCTCGGTTTACAAACTTAATCCGTTCCGGAAGTCCATTCTTAAACCAAAACCGTTCTTAAACCGAGGCGCACTTTCCCTTATGAGGCCTCCCGCCACTGGTGCCCTTCCACCATTCGGATTCTGTTCTTAGACCAAGGTAAATTTCTCAAACCAAGACACTACTTCCAGTTTTGCAGAGTTTGTAAACCGAATCGTTCTTAAACCGGACTATTCTTAAACCGAGGTACCACTGTACATGTATAAGCGGGCTCAGCATAAGGTGAAAAGGCTCACGGAAATAGCATCCCAACTAATCTTACTCTAGACAATTCAGCAACTTTGAATTCATGCAGAGAGCAAATCTGGCTTATGTGTTTTTCCAGCACCAGCCACAGGAGAAGACTGGCTGAGTAATTCTCATTTATGCTCATCTTCAACCAGTGAAAGGAGGAGGGAAGCTGAACCCTGATTCCCAAATGGTTCTCTCCTCCCGCTTTGGCCAATCCATTCAGTGATACCTCCTTAGCAAAAGCCAGGTTGTTGACCATTCTTCCAGAGCCACCTATATCGTCTAATACCAGTGTACTGGAAGAAGCAAAGATCACCAGTGTTGAAGTAATGAGTCTTCAACATCAAGTTCATTGGACTGGTCATGTTGTGCGGATGCCTGATTATCATCTTCCAAAGCAACTACTCTATTCCAAACTTAGAAATGGAAAGCGTAATGCTGGTGGTCAACAAAAGCGGTTTAAAGACAAATCTAAAAAAAAGTAGTATAAACACCAACAATTGGGAAACACTTGCCTGCAAGCGCTGCAATTGGAGAACAGCCTTTACCAAAGGTGTCATGGGCTTTGAAGACAATCAAACTCAGGACGCAAGGGAGAAATGTGCTAAGAGGAAGGCACGCTTGGCAAATCCACACTGTGGTCAACTCCCACCTGGAAACCAATGTCCCCACTGTGGAAGGGGATGTGGATCCAGAATTGGTCTCCACAGTCACTTACAGACTCATTGTTAAAACCGTGTTTATGAAAGACAATCTTACTTGGCTACGAGTGATCGCCAAAGAAGACGACTCTTCCTCCAAGACTCTTAGCCTCTTAGACACTTTTGGCTAAAGATGCCAAAACTGAATTTGAATATATGAAGAATTACTCAGTTTGATTTATGAAAATTAAATTCAACCATTAAAAACTGTTTGTTTGTGGAAATTACCATTCATTTTAATAAAAAAAAACAGCATTGGAACATAACAGAATTGGAGTCATTACAAACTGGCAACAGTGATCAGGAAAACACCTGGGGAGAGAAGTAGGTTTTCAGTAAGTGACAGGATGATGAGCCTGGATAGCTCAGTTGGTTAGACCATGGTGCTGATAACACTCAAGGTTGCAGGTTCAATCCCTGTATGGACCAGCTGCATATTCCTGCATTGCAGGGGGTTGGACTAGATGATCCTCAGGGTCCCTTCCAACTCTACAGTTCTATGATTCTATGATTCTATAGGATCACACCACCCTCGAGGCCTGCTGTATTGCAGAGAGTAGCTTATTCCATAACACGAGCACAAGTCAACTGGTAAATTTGTGCCTGGGCTGTGCCATTCCAGACTGAAAGTAGGAGAAACACCAAGACTGAATAAATTTCTATAAAAAGTACCCTGTACGGACAACCCCAGATGTCTGGGTAAAGAATTCAAACCCTGCCTTCTACTAGTTTTGGGTGTGCAAAGATTTATTTTCCTCTTGGGAAGCATTCAACTGTTTGAAGCTGTACAATCCAGGAACCATTTTGCCAGCTCATCAGCTACTTATGTGAACAAGACAAAAAAATAATGCAATCTTGTTTGGAAAAGTAGTTGGTATAATCGAATGTTCCATCACTGGTGGTTTTATGGACTGCTGCCATAGATACAGTTGCCAGAGCATTGCCAAAACTGTATTGAAACCTGCGCTGGTTGTTCTTATTGTAGGAAATGCCTTGGGTGTTTCAGTCGCTGAGGTTAACAAAATGGAAATCTCATTGAGTTATCTAAAATAATTGGCACATTTTCAAGTACTAGCTCTGTTACAAGAACAGCAAATTTAAAGAGATAGAATTTATGGCTCTAGAAAAACAAAAGCTCTTTTGAAATGTTTGCAAAACTGAAGTGACTAATTAGCTGGTGGTCCTTTTTATTTAGCCGGGGTTATTTTAATGAAACTTATTTACTATAGGAGAACCTTTATTCACCAAAACTTTAATTTAACTGGGCTTGGGGAGGATCTATAGAGACTGATAACCAAAGCATTTGAACTATTTTCAGAGAAGTTGAACATTGCCCTTGACCTGTGGCTGAGTATGGTCAGCTACACATTTAGCTATAGATTGTTTCCTTCTTAATACTACTCACCCCTAATGTGACTTGTGAAATTCTACATGGCTTCAATTTCTAATGTAAACTAATATCTAGCTATTGAAACTGTTGGAAGCTTTCACGACAAGCAGAACCCATTTCCCTTAATTATTGAATATTTAAGGTGTATTCTCTAGGAGTCGGCTTGGAGAGAGTATATGCTCTATTAATGGAGGTTTATAGAGGCTTTTACCATTCCTATGGTAACCCAGTAGAAAGGCTGTTACCATGGGGACCAACCAAGCCTATATAAACCTTCAGTCTTCATTAGAGTATCTCTGAGAGTGAATGCTTTAACAGTTAGCATTCTGGAATGGCTAACAATAATCTCTGCTTTTGGGGAGAAACGATTCTCTCTTCCTGCTGGAGATGGATTTAACTTACCAGCTTTCCAAAGATAAAATCTTCTGCAATCTTCATGCCGATTGTCCTAGAATGCAACTTCCAAAATTGCTGGATGCTGTAGGCCACATTACCACTGGCAAAATATGTTGCCCCTAAGCTACCCAAATGTTTCACATAGATTCTGAATGTGAGGCCATTGACCAAAACACGTCCCTTTAAGATACAGGGCACTTCTAGGCTATCACTGTTTGCACATGGGATTCACACACATACTGGAAAATTCAGGTTCTGCCATTTAAATTGATTTGGAGCTCTTACACTACAAAAACCCCAGCCCCCAAATTTAACTTTTTTCTTTTTAGTAAGAAAAGTGATAGGGGGAAATGCACTGGAAATTTTGTTGTTGTTGTTGAGTCGTTTAGTCGTGTCCGACTCTTTGTGACCCCCTGGACCAGAGCACGCCAGGCACTCCTGTCTTCCACTGCCTCCCGCAGTTTGGTCAAACTCATGCTGGTAGCTTCGAAGACACTATCTAACCATCTCGTCCTCTGTCGTCCCCTTCTCCTTGTGCCCTCCATCTTTCCCAACATCAGGGTCTTTTCCAGGGAGTCTTCTCTTCTCATGAGGTGGCCAAAGTATTGGAGCCTCAGCTTCACGATCTGTCCTTCCAGTGAGCACTCAGGGCTGATTTCCTTAAGAATGGATAGGTTTGATCTTCTCGCAGTCCATGAGACTCTCAAGAGTCTCCTCCAGCACCATAATTCAAAAGCATCAATTCTTCGGCGATCAGCCTTCTTTATGGTCCAGCTCTCACTTCCATACATCACTAACTGGAAATTTACCTCCCCTCAAACAAATCAGAATGAATGCTGAATAAACACATCACCTGGAAGCAACCAAAGTAAGAATATCTTCTTTCCAATGGGTTAGTCTTGGTTCCTGGTAAAGATTTGCCCTTGAATTGTTCCTTATTTGTGTTTTGGAGAGGCTTGGGGGGGGGTGCCTTGTAAAAAATGTGTTAGTGCTTAAAACGTTTATTTCACTCCTTAGCCCCTGCTCCCGAAACTTCAGCATATGCATGAAAGCTGTCGTGCTTCAGGATTCAGCCCACAGATAGATCTTGACTTTGGTGCATGCACATGACTACTAGGAATGAGCAAATCTGTCCATTCTGGTGTCTCTGAGTCTCATTTTCCCAATATTGAGTTTACTTCTCCACATTTTCACAGATGTTTGTCTGCTTTTTTTTAAGTCCTCATGCAAATTAAAGCGCATTTCGGTGTAAGTGACATTATCTGTTGCTACTGATCTCAGTGAGGAACTTTTGATATGCCCTTTGAGAAGCCCTTGCCATCTTTTTCACAACCTGTGTTTTATACACATCTTTTACTGTTTTGGGGAGCTAAAATGATGGCTTTGCTTTACACTTTAAACAAGTTAATTCTTAAGTTGTTGTTTTTTTCTTGCCTTGGCTGGTGGTGCTAAAAATTAGCAGGGAAGAGTGCATAAGCTAATCTCCTAGCACACATCATTTTGAGTTTATGGATGGTTGAGATATATGGCCTGGAAGCATTTGGTGAAGGAGGAGTGGAACTAGTTCTGAGTTCTTACTTTTCTGGGTGATGACATTTGTATTTCAAGATGATTCAATTAGGATGTCAGCAAAAATCTTTAATCTCATTAAGCAAAAGCCCCTTCGCTTCTTATTGGCTGCCTATTGGCAGTCTCTAAAGAAATGCCTTCTTCCCATCTTACTCTGCTGCAAGGGATATGTCAGAACAAATCTTGCAGTAACAAGTTGCATTAACTGCTTGATGTGGGCCTTCACATGAACGTCGAGTGGAGTTCTTTAATTAGTGTTTGAGACATGAAGTGATACAGTTCTCTTCAAAAACGATTATGCTTTGTTGACCTTTTAACATAAAACTCAAAAAAAACCTGTATCACTGGAAGCATCACCAAATCAATCACAGAAATATGCTCTGATCCACAAACTTCAAAATCGTCTTAACTGGTTTGGAATCTTTCCACAAAGATGCTTCTTTAACAATTGTAGGGGCATTATTGGGAAAATCCCAAATTCAGCAAATTTGGTTAGCCGGCCTACAAGGAGGACTGAGGACCGGAATTCGCAGCAACGGACCCTTCCTATGAACCCCTCCCCACGATTTACTAGCCGACCATCCCACCGGCAAGAAGGGACTGCCTTAAGGGGTAGAGCTTTGACGGGTCCAGCTTTGGCCACTATAGATGCTTCTAAAGAATGGCAGACACAAGCCTATGTGGACCCCCCTGCAGCAAAAACGATCCCCAATCCTCAAAATGGCTACATTCCTTGTGCTGATACCATGACGATGCAAGAGACACTGGGGGATCCAGTAGTCCTTTGGACAAACACTGAGGCAGTGGCAAGGCTAAACAAGCTACTGGAAGCTAACCGAAAAGGATGTCTTTCTTCTGTCTTGCATAGTGCTTTCCCATCAACAAGCCTCGATCCTCAAGGCACGACTCCTGCAACTACAGAGCATACGGCAAACGACGAGTCTATGGACTTGTCGGTTAGCAACACCCCCTCATATCAAGATTTTCTCTTACAGCGATCTGCAAATTCGCCCCAGCCACTGGCTGCTCCTGTGACATGTGACAACTTGAACCTGAAGTGCAAACAATAAAAAATCACTGCCTTTTTTCACCCTACTGCCCCTTCACGCAGCGTGCACCCCCATTTGGATTCTCCAGGATTAACCACGCAAGAGAAATCATGACTTGAGGGAAACACAAAGCGGCCTCTTACACTACTATCATGGAATGTGGCTGGTATTAAATCCAAACTGACAGATCCATCATTTGTTGCTTATATAAATGGCAGCCACATCCTCCTATTCCAAGAGTCATGGGCCTGTGAGGACTTCTATCTAACAGGATACAAGGGCTTCTACCTGAATGCCACGCAGAATCCGTTATCACATGGTAGACCGCAAGGAGGCTTGGCTACTTTTGTTTCCTTAGCCATAAATCTTCAGGCCGAAAAAATCGACATCCAGTCGTCACTCATGCTGATTATAAAGTTGCAAACAGCAGAGGAAACTATAGTATAGATCAATATCTAATAATGTCCAATTAATAAGAGAAATTAGCTTGATCTGAGATGTCAGGAAATTCAAGAGACATTGGAAACGCTTATTGATAAATAAACCGAAGCCACTTTTCTGTTGGCGGGAGATTTTAATGGACGCCTGTCACACACTGACCAAATCTTATTCTCTAAATTTAGCAAGTACCCTTCTTCACCTCTTATGACTACAGATCTTCTACCAAGGAAATTCAAAGATAACATAGCCACTTACGCAGGTTTCAAATGCAGGCAAACCTTGCTGGCCCTCAATTTCCTTCTGCTAAATGGGGCAATCAGCTCGGACTACCCTGCCGAATTCACTTACTGGTCAGGTTCACGTGCATCCACTATTGATTTTGTATGGATATCTCCTGACCTCACCTCAAAAATATCCAGCTTTAAGGTGGCTTCAAGATTGGAAAGTGATCACTTCCCTCTAGAAATTTCCTTGACTCTGGCTGATGAACTTGATAGGCACTCCTTTGTGCACCTATCAAATGACCATCTGGAGATAAGACCTACAGCCCTTAAATGGACCTCCAATTCGGCCCAGCAGCTGAATGAACTTCTCTGGTCTGATCAGCTCCAAATAAAAAGGGCTTCTCTTATGCAGGCGGATGACCCTCTACCAATGTATGACGATTTAGTAGAACTTCTAAAACCAACACTTGCTCGGTCCCCCACAAAGCATGGTAAACAGTTTTTCCACAAAAAATGGTTCAATGAGGAATGCAAAAACTTCAAGAATCATCTGTATAATGAATGGTTGGCATACAGAGCATCAAATGACCCCATGCCAAATAACCGTCTTATCACCCTCAGGAGAAGTTATAAAGCCCTACTAAAGGAAAAGAAGCTCGAGGCAGAAAGAAACAATTGGAACAACCTCTTGATAGCTGCAGAGAATAGAAATCCAGCCTCTTTTTGGCAGTTAATTTCCAGATACCTGGGTAGGCCGCTTGCAAGAATAGAACCCCACATCTCAGCGGACACTTGGGAAAGATACTTCGCCGATCTGTATGCAGCTCATGATGCCTGCGGAGATACGGTGGAGCCGGAAGCCCTGCCCGATTGGGACCCAGTTACATGCCCTGAAGTTGAAACTCTCATAGATCGATTTAAAGCAGGCAAGGCCCCCGGTGATGACCTTATATCCATTGATGTCATCAAAGCAAACAAAGATTGGTGGATCCCACTTTTAGCAGCACTTTACACGCATATAAACAAAACAGCAAAATTTCCCTCAAGCTGGAGCTCTGCGTTGATTGTATTAATACATAAGAAAGGACCACGTACAGAGCCGAGCAACTTTAGGCCAATCAGCTTGCTAAATGTCATTGGGAAGATTTACTCGGGATACCTGCTAAACAAACTATCGAAATGGATGGAGGACGACAATATCATTGCCGATGAACAGGCGGGCTTTCGCCCTGGAAGATCTACCACAGACCAAATATTAACCTTGAAGCACCTGGCGGAAAAGTATGCCAGCAAAGCCCCAAAGGTTCTTCATGTGGCCTTTATTGACCTTAAGCAGGCATTTGATCGAATCTCTAGAAAGCAGCTATGGACAAAACTGGCCGCTACAAAGATCGATCGCCGTCTCCTTCACCTGATTATCAGCCTCCATACAAACACCTTTCTGAGAATCAGGCTAGACAATAAAGGCCTAGTCTCCAACCCGGTTACCACCACTAGAGGGGTAAGACAGGGTTGTCTATTGGCCCCTGCATTGTTTAATTTTTACATTAACTCACTGGTGACTCACATGGCCAATGATGCTTTCCACCCCCCCAAATTAGCAGGCCGATCTCTGAACGTTCTTCTGTATGCGGATGACGCCGCACTTCTTGCCAGATCCCCTATTGGACTGAGGAGAATGTTGCAAGCTCTACATGAATACTGTGATCAGCATGAGCTCCAACCCAACTATGCTAAGACCAAGATCATGGTCTTCTCTGCCCGACCGAGACTCCATCGATGGTCGATGAACGGGATCCCCTAGAGCAGGTTAACTGCTTTAAATATCTGGGACAAGTAATACGGTCAAATAGGTCTTTTCTGGCCCATAGAGACTATATAACAACTAACGCATCTAAAGCAGCCATCCAGATTAGATCTCTATATGCTAAGAATCAGGCTCAATCAATCAAGATAGCTTTGAGACTCTTTCAAATGAAAGTCCTCCCCTTCTTTTGGTGGGCATCTCTTTAGGCTCCCGTAGGGATTTTTTTGACACTGGATTCTATCCACACGCGATTCCTTAGAGCCATCCTTAGGATTCCCCTCGGTAGCGGGTGCGGTTATGAGATTAGAGGTCGGCTGGCAAGCTCTACGGTATGTGGCCTTGAAGACGAAGCTCTGGCTATGGCTCAAGCTTCGTTTTAAACCAGTGGGTTTTGCCCCCTTGATATTGAGGGACGATTTCCAATCATCGTGGGAAAGGGAGGTCATCAATGAGGTTCAATCCTGCGGATTGTCTCTCCTTTACTTTGAGTCCATGACGTACAATCAAGCTAGAGCTGTGATCTCCCGGAGACTGAGTGACATTGCCAGACAAGAGGACATAGCCCAGGTAAAACCAGGGATGTTCCTAGGGGACCAGATTTATCGGACCATACCAGCCCCCTACCTTGCAGAAATCCACTATGTGGAATACCGTAGACTTCTTACAGCGGCTAGATTAAATGTCCTTGACTCTGCGATATTGTGGGAAGGTACAGGGAGTACCATACGCCCAGAGAACCTGTCATTGTGCCATGGGTGTGGTTGAGTCCACCGAACACATTCTCTTGACTTGCCCTTCTTATGCAGAGCTTAGACAAAATTTTATAGACCCACTCTTATGTCAATTCAGCTTCCTACCCGGAGAAAACCAGGTTTTACACTTGCTGAATAACACCACTAGAGCTATACCTTCCTTGGTGGCCAAATTTCTCTTCTTAGCTTTTAAGCGTCGCAAGACTATAATTGACTGTATTGATATGGGGCTATCTGTTTAGCCCATTTTAGTGTTGGCTAAGTTTTAAAATCTTCCTGGATGTTTTTAACTGTGTATTGACAAAATGTACTTTTTTCTGACTGACGGTCGAATAAAAATGATGATGATGATGCTCTGATCCAGCTAAGGGGATCCACACCAGTCTTCTGTGCACATGGCACTTGCTGGGGGCACAAGGGGGGTGGGCATGCAACTGCACATCCAACTGGTAAGGGTACTGACTCTACATGCTGTATTCCTCTGGACAGCATATGCATTCTGGTGTGCATCCCAAATTCCCAGCCCATGTTCTTCCATGCAAGCTGATGTGCCACCCCACTCATGTTCTTGTTCAATTAGTGTCACACTGAAGCCTTGTTTATGTGTAACCGATTGAATTGGGACTACAGAATGCTGAAAAGCATTTGCAGATAAATAGATAGACAGGATATGGCTCATGTCTTCTTTAAAAATTGTAACTTATTATTAACAAACAAACAAAAACCGCCTGGCAGTGCTCAGCAAATTGGCTCTTCATTATACAGACTATAGCATTTGAATAGTTAAGACACTTCTGGACCAGCAGAAATAAGGTAAAAGAGAAAGTGCTTAACCCTATATAAACAAAGGATTAAAATATTGGCTTATTAATATTTTTTCATATTTTATTTTCAATTTTCAATAATTTAACGATTTAACATCCAAATTACTTACTTATTCATCCTTTCTAGACTTCCCTTCACCCCACTCCTGGTTTCCAGTTTCTCTCTTCTATTACCTTACACATCTTTAGTTTTCCATGGCTTATTAATATTAATACAAACAAGTACTGTATTGCACATTGTACACATATACATAGTAGCACATGCGTCAAGCCTCATGTCTTACTATATATATTATATGATAGGCATACAATGTGCAATACTTGTTTTTATCCATATTAATAAGCCAATAATTCTCTGATAACAACAAGGATGAGAATAGCAAAATCCCAAAGAAATGGTAATCTCCCTAAAACTGATCACTGGCTAAGAAAAGTGTGGGACATTGTGATGTAGGACTTTGCCCTAGTCCCTGTGTGGTTCAAGCTTTCTATAAGTGACTTGGACAAAGGAGTAGAGTGGCTCCTTATCAGATTTTCAGATGACCCGAATAGATAGCTAGTACCATAGTAGAACCAACACTCAAAATTATCCTGACAGGTTAGGACACTGAGTAAAACCCAACAAGCTGAAATTCAGCAGAGATAAATGAGAAGTCCAGCATGTATGTACAAGCAAAGTATAGGATGAGACCAGGCTTAGGAGCTGTGCATGTGAATATTGCTGTCCTAGCTATCATAAATACCAGTGAGAACCAGTAGGACTTTGCAAGAGGAGCCCATCTGTCAGGATACTTAGTCTAAGCTTGGGGGTAGGTACCCCACCCCCCACCACAAGCCAGGATCAAATTCAGGGTACCCCAGTAAAGGGGTCCAGGGGCTGGCTTCTGTCTGAAAGCCCAGATGGGAGCCAACAGGCCATAGAACCCCACAAGTGGCAGCCTGGTAGGATCGCCCTATAGATCTGTGTCTTGGGGGAGAGTGTCCTTAACCTCAGGATCAACCCTGATAGAGTATCAGCCAGCAACTGGATTGGTTGATTCAGGGAACATACCCTGTTCCTGTGCCAAAGCCTACTTACATTTGTAATCAATAAAAAGTTGTGGCCATTTCGATCCCAAGACAGTGTCTTGGCTTTCTTTGCTGCTCCTGCCACAGCTGCTTCCCAGTGGGGGGCCTGCAAATACCAGTGAGAACCAGTATGGCTTTGGGAGTGCAGTCCATTTTTCAGTTCTCTCTCAGCACCACAAACCTTTTTATTTGTAAAGTGCTCTTCATCGTGGGAATGATCTTCTTCATCAAAATTTGCATACTGCCCTATGCCCATAGATCTCAGGGCAGTTTACAACATAAAATCACAACATATGAAAACCAGAAAATACGTAATAAAAACAAAAGCATCAAGTCATATTTCAACATATAATAGGAATTACAATGCGAAGCAGCAACTACAATCATACCTGTTGCTCAGGCAAGGTTCCAGAATTAAAGTATTTGAAGGAAAGCCTCAGGATTGTACACATGACATGAAGGGGGGGAAAGTACTACAAGATAGTTGGCAAATAAATGAATTTCCTTATCCTACATGTCCTAAATTCAAAATTGATTGGAGGAATTATGACAATTAAACACATGAACACAAATAGCCACGTGGATTCTAACCCACGTACTTGAGAGTAAGCCCCAGCTAACACTGGGTAGCCCTATTGGCTAGGTCTGTGCTTTATGAGAATCTAGGGACAAGGATTTGGGGAAGGTACAATTTGCACCATAAGGCTGGTACAGTATTCAATAAAGTATTCAATAATATGTCAGGAGTGCTCTGATGGTGTTTCCTGCTTGGCAGGGGGTTGGACTCGATGGCCCTTGGGGTCTCTTCCAACTCTATGATTCTATGAAAGCTGGCCAGCACTCTGAGGTGTGTGTAAATCACCCCACCCCACTCTGGCCACCAGAGCAGTCTTCTGATGAGTGGGGGGGGAATAAATCCTCCTCCTCAGCTGATTTGCATGGATCAGCTGATGGGGGGGCTGTTGTGTACCACTTTGGGGCAAACTCACTGCTGAGATGCAGCCCCTGGAAGGTTGCAAATGGTGACTGCAGCTCCCAAGCCCCCCCTGATCTAGATGGTCAGGCTGCCTTACTGTTTCCACATATTTATTATTTGTTTGTTTGTTTATTATTTGTTTGTTTCCCCTGATGGGACTCAAGTCAGCTTATAGATAAAGGTAAGAATCACAGGTGGTGCTGTGGTGTAAACCACAGAGCCTAGGGCTTGCCGATCAGAAGGTTGGCAGTTCGAATCCCCGCGACAGAGTGAGCTCCTGTTGCTCGGTCCCTGCTCCTGCCAACCTAGAAGTTCGAAAACACGTCAAAGTGCAAGTAGATAAATAGGTACTGCTCCGGCGGGAAGGTAAACGGCGTTTCCATGCGCTGCTCTGGTTCGCGAGATGTGCGCCGCAACCTCAGAGTCGGTCATGACTGGACTTAACTGTCAGGGGTCCTTTACCTTTAAGAATCTCTACAGACATAGACAAATCAATCATTAAAATACAATTAAACATCAATGGATTATATATGTGTGTGTGTGTGTGTGTGTGTGTGTGTGTGTGTGTGTGTATATATATATGTATAAGTATATGTATGTATATGTATATGTTTAAAACATACAAATAATTGCAATGAAACCAGCACAGCACCAGCCCTTTTATGAAAAGCAGTCAGCTTCCAAATGCCTATTGAAACAGAGAGCTTATCTGGTAGTCTGCCTGATCCCTTAATATTATGCAAATACAGAGGGCGTATCTCTCTCCCCCCCCCCCTTCTCTCTCTCATTATTACTCATTTTAGCAGGCTGTCAAATCATTAAGGGTTGTTGCTTTTTAAACCTACTGTGTTGCTGACTAATTTTGATGCATTATATTTTTTATGGGCGTAGTGTTATGTTTGTGAAAAGAGGACTGCCGAAGAGCATTTCCTAATGGGCACTGAAAGGTAAAAAGTGCTTGATTAAACAAGTATTAATAGTTTTTGATGGCTGGGGTCTACTAGTTACTCCACACACCATTCCTACTGGGGTGGAGCTGGAGGGAACCAGCTAGCAATTTGAATGCCACCAGGAAAGGAGGTGGGGGTCTGAGTTTTGTCATTAGCTGCAACAAAATATTCAAGGGACTTGTTTTGTATACTTTTTGCTGGGGGGGGGGGGCCTCTGATGCTGCTGTAAAGAATAGTGTTATCTATCTGGGGGGGTATGCCTGCTCCAGCTTCACCATGACCCACCTGTAAATTTAAAAACAAACAGATTTTACTAGAACTTCAACAAACCACTATAAGACTCCAGTACTTCCCTCACAGGGAAATATCCCTTGTAACGGATACTCCCAAGACTTCCCATAGAAGGGTTGGAGACTGTTTTTCTTTAAGCCGCAGGGCCACATTCCCTTACACAGTGGTACCTCAGGTTAAGTACTTAATTCGTTCCGGAGGTCCGTTCTTAACCTGAAACTGTTCTTAACCTGAGGTACCACTTTAGCTAATGGGGCCTCCTGCTGCTGCCGCACCGCCAGAGCACAATTTCTGTTCTCATCCTGAAGCAAAGTTCTTAACCCGAGGTACTATTTCAGGGTTGGCGGAGTCTGTAACCTGAAGCGTCTGTAACCCGAGGTACCACTGTGGTGGGCAGGACCAGAGACAAAAGTGGGTGGAGTCAAGCAGGTGGATCTCACCTTTGTTCTGTAGGATGCATTCCAGCCACAAAGTCACATGTGGGCACATCTCTCAAGCAAGAGGCATCGTTCCACTTCAAGGACCAATTCCAGCCACACTGAAGCAACTGAGATGGAGTCAGAGCAGGCCCAGCGAAGGGGGTGGCCTCTGGGGAATCCTCAGGGACAAATAGGAAGAATCACGGGGGATGGAAGGACTGCAGTTATTTCCTGCTAGAAGCTTTATTCTGCTGGTGGAAGGACTGACTTAGCTGTTCAGGATCAAATCAGCTGCAAACAGCTGCTAACTATCAGTGGGTTTTCTTTTGCCTTCCTTTCTTGCCCTAGCAGCCTGATCCTCCTGCTGACACTGATCAGAAGATGTCTGTCAAAAGCAATAAACATAGTTTCTCAACCTTTCCTGAGCCATACAGAGTGACACTGAAGTAAGGACCTATTGTTGACTGATTTCTAAGGCTCACTGGGCTGCATTATGTTGTTTAGGAATTAATTTATAGGTTTATATATCACACAAAAATAAAGTATGTAGGCAGTGAACATTGCACATCCTGCCAGGTACCTAGTAATCACAACAAATGTTGTTAAAATGCGCTGCTTTGTAGCAAACCACAGTGCAATGTATGCTTGCAAAAGCACGTTTTACTGCACTCAGTGCTAGCTAGGCTGGTCAGGGTCCTGTACTTTTTACATAAAAAAGAAAAATATAATTAGCCACAGCTAGGAATGGGGGAGTGCGGATTTGATTCTGCTTGCATTTAAAGGCAAGCCTATCTAATCCACACTTTGCAAAACAATATACAATCCAAAACCCAAATTTTGCAGTGCAGTCTCCAGCCAAGTAATGTGTACAAAAATGCAGATATTAGTTGGGAGGGGGCAGAATTAATTTATTTATTATGTAAGGGGAAATTGCTTTGCAAAGATGTGATGAGTATGCAAAATTGCATGCAAACGTGTATATTAGGAGAAATTCGGACTGGAATCTTGAGTGGTGTCCAGAGCGCTTTCTAGTCCTGTTACACTAGATAAGTTTCCGTTAGTATGGCTTGAAGACGTAGACAAGGTGCTGGGATCAGTCAGGGTGACCACTTGCACTCTGGACCCTCTTGGCTGATAAAAACTAGCAGGCAGAGGGCAGCTGGCTGGCCCAGGGAAGTGGTTAATGCCAATCTTCCCTTCTAGGGCAAGGTTCTTGAGCAGCCCAACCCAGGTTTGGAGGGACTCGCCCCCGATACACACAGGTGTGCCAGAGGCAACCCAGTGCAACCTAGAGATTCACACTGTTGCAGCAGAAGTTCTGAGGAAACAGAAGCCTTCAGACTCGCTCTTCCTTCCACAGCTCTTTTGTCTACTTCTTCCCCTCCTGATACATCTGGGGTCTGACTTGCGCCAAGCAGAATGTGGAGGGCTGTGAACAGATGCCCCAGGAAAGAACAGGGGAGCGAAGCCACAGCACAGCTACATACTTCGTCTCTGCTTTCTCATGTGTTTTAAAGCTACAAAGTGAATTGCAAGGTCACCCCCTAGTCAAGGTACCCCATGTGCAGCATAGTTCTATGTATCCACTGATTATGTCCCACAACTAGAGACAAGTGCCACATTCTGCCACATCATCTGGTGCAAGAAATCTGCCCACTGATGCCATTTGGCCCAGGGAAACCTGCAGTTTTATTCCTGCGTGTTAAGACATCAGCGACAGCATTATACCAAAGAAGAGATGTTATGGGCAGGTGCACTTGTGCTGATGTTCCAGGGGGGAAATGGCATAAAATTATTATTTAATATTTGACCTTATCTGATAGTTGACATGCAGTGGGAGTTGCTATTTGATTGATTTATTAATTTATTGTGCAATATTGTTTGGTTTTTAGGGACTGTGGCGATCACACACAGGGCCCCCGGACGTTTGACGGTCTATTGACCCTGTGCCGCCACTGCGATTGCTTTTTCCGCTGCCACCACCCTGTATCTCACGGGGACACACGGAGTCCAGTCAGTTGTTAACATAAACAAATAATCAAGTTTATTTTTAAATGCAGGAAGAAGCTTATGGTTTCAGTTAATTTTTCTCTTGTCAGTTTCTTATTCTTAGTTCCTAACAACTCCAAACTGATTATTCCAACTATCTATCTGACTCCACCTAACAATTCCTCTCACTCTCTCACAATACAACTCTATCAACCCACACCGAAACCTCCCTCTTCCTTCTTCAACTCCCAAGCCTCAACTCTCAACTCAACTGACTTTCAAAACCTCCCACTCTAACTTTTATTTCCCCCTTGCATTCTCACTGGCCAATCACATCACACCTATTTTAACCCTTTCCTTATGACCCATCCTAGGAGGCAAACGCCCCAGGAACTTTTTATAAAGTACCTCATAAATGTAATAAATAAATGAAAGCTACAACAATCAAATGCCAATTTTTGAGATAAAATTTCAAATTCTTTGTTTGAATTTCAAATGTGAAATTGCACATTGAATGGCAACATTTGAAACTTTCCAATACTGGCAAAATTCCTATATTTGTTCAGTTCTACCTGGGAATTTCTTTTTTCAGTGCAAAATGGTTTTATCTGTAAAATAAGGATGCCAAAGGCACAGGCTGCCTGAGGGGCATCTGCTATAACTAGAAATCAGAGAGCCACTCTCTCTTGGAACAGGTGCAGCCTTGCTACTCTGGGGAATGGTTGGTTTCTGTTATCAATGAACTTAAAAATCATGTTTTGAGCTGGAAAGCAGACTGTGGTTAAAGATTAATGTAATATACATTAATTGGTCATTGGACTCAAGGCTTTTTAAAAGTAGTGTTTAGGTTGGAGATCAGCTTAGTAGCATTCAGGCATTCTTGATCTTTACCATTTTTTTTATTATTTGGAAACAAAAAACAAGTTGAGAAAAAAATTTCTAGCGATGAGACTGAGTCACCCACTGTCCTTAAACAAACCAGCCTACTGAAACTGAGGTTCGCCATCTCCTCAGGAGGGTCCACAGGTAACGTCTGCTGACGGACCACACGCCTCTAGATATAAAGGTCTCTAGATCTTGATGGCTTGCATTATGTTGCAGGTAATCTGAACCAAACTGGTTGCCAAAAATGAGGAAGCTAAAGACCAAAACACTACTCCAATATTTTAGTGTCAGTAGATGGCAGTAAAATCCTTAGCACTCCCTACCAACTGTAGTCCAGTAGCTTAACTTGAAATGGTTTGCAAAACAAACCAAACCTGACTTATTTAATTCACACAAGCAATATCTTAATCATGAAAAAAACCAGACAATTATAATTACAGGAACATTTCTAAAAATCGGAGACTTCAAAGATGGCCTCCATTCTAATGCCACCTAGCACTGAACTTTGGTAAAAACGATTCTGCACATCAGCAAAATGCATCTTCTCTTGCTTACTACAGTTGCTCAAAGCTTCAGTCTGTGGGATCCCCTATGGGACTGCACAAGCCGTCTTCATAAGCCAGTGCTCCAGATGGGACTTATTCAAAGGACCTTCTGATAGAACAAATGTTATGTCTTACGATCCCATGACCCCATTTGAAAACTTGTCTTGCTATGGAACCTCTTACAGCCACTGAGCTCTCCAAGACCTACATGGCCTGGCTTGACCCAGACTATGCATAAAATAACACCTTTTGCCAAGACTGCAGTCAGATTTCTACTAATAACTGGTACGAGTGCCACGGATAGGACCTTTATCTAACTAGACTCAAAAATTTGCATGCAAATAAGCTACGTCAACCCTAATCAATGTCTGCGGTAGAAAACACTTAACTAATTGTACCGGAAAACCTGAAAAAAGTGAACAATGTACAATCAAGGTACAATGTCTAGGTGGCTTTCACACAAAGATGGGTGTTTTTTAATGTATTTGATGGCTGAATCAGGACTACAGGAAGCCCTTGAACTGGTTAATGCTTCCAGTAGCGTTGCACATAAATTGGGATAAAGTAAGTGGGAAGAGGTCACTTTCCTTGGCAGATGCTGCTTCAGATGCTGTTATTACAAAGGCAACAACGGCAAGGTAGACCTTGGGAGTGGATAGCTGTGGTGCAGGTGAAGGTACCAATGCCAGCCATTGATGTGCAACCAGTGGCTTCAGTGAAGAATCAACCTTAGAACTATAGATAATGAGATGAAACAGCTTTATGGTATTAATATAGTGTCAAGTAGCATAAGCAGGGGCTACCCTTCACAGATGCACTGTTCAGATCTCAGCAAAGAATTGATACCACAAAGAAGTCTATGACTCATCCTCATACAGTTGGTCTGTGGCTGCTGTACATGGAAATGGTTGCTATTTTATGGAAATTCCTTATAGGTGAATCAACAGGAAGTTGGCATTGTGACGCTTTTAAGGCCACAACATCTTAGCCCCATTTCATGTCAGAGAAAGGGGCTTTCAAGCCCCCTTTGGTCCCTGTTCTTGGATCTAAGAGCCACAACTCATCATAGGTGAGAGATGAAGATGGCCTAACTCTTCTTATAATGTTCCTTCGTTGGTTGGTCTTTCTGCTTCTTTTCCTCCCATTAAATCTTCCTCTGTTCATCCTTCCCCCTTTCTTAGCATTCTCTGCTGCTTCTAAGTCAGAAATGGCCCTCCCACACCTGTTTTCATTTGTGTCCTCCTTCAGGGCACCTGGCCTCAATTCCAGGCAGGTGGTGAGGGCAGGGAGCCAGGCTGTCTTGGGATGTCTCCAGCACCCCTGACAGGTGTCTTCACTGGCAGTCTGTGCTAGGCATGGCCTTATACTCTGAAGCAACTAATGATGGCCTGGTTTCAGATTCGGTCTGCATCTATAGGCAGCAGATCTTGTTCATGAGAAGCAACAGCCAGATACACACATGCTGTTTTCACCTGGCCATTGCATTCACCAGACAGCTCAGTGCTTCAGTTCTCTCAACTCAACAAGTATTTATGAGGAATCTGAAGAGCACTACTGGAGGTTTTACACATGGGTAAGCTCAGCAAGTTGTGTGGCTCCTAGCAGTGCCAACCTATGCAGAAAGAAACAGGAGTAGAGCACCGAACAAGTATAGCACCACTTCCAGGCAGGAGGTAGATGGTGTAGACACTCATATTATCTGTGATTGTCTCCAGGATAGAAACTCATTCAGCAATTACCCATCTCTATGAAACAGCAAACGGAGTGGTTGTTAGGTCAACAGTTACATTGTAAAGATGTTGGGAAGAATATTTTGAGGTCAATAGCTGGGGGAAAAGTACTTCACAATGCACATTCAAGAGAGGAAATCAAGTTGCAGCTGTTACACTGTAACACTTACCGTAACTAATGCTGTGGAAGTAGGATCTGAGACCATACATACACATCTACAGTTACTTCTTCAACGTTTGGTTTTGGGAGCAAAGAGTATAAGTGAAGATACCTCACAAAACTTAAAATATCAGTTGTGTCAGAAACCATCATTACTTCTGGACTCCTGAGAAAGGCAAGTGAGCCCATCCTTATTGAAGCCCTGTGGGCCATAATGGGCAGTGAAATTAGAGGAGAGTCCATTAAGTTTCCCTTGCTGTGGAAGTTTAGGTGGTGGTCCACTTCTTAAAGACTGAATAAAATGTAGCCCCTCTGTGCCAAGGCAATTTGTGACATGTATGTGAATTATATTTTTCGGAAGTACCTCTGAGATGGTCGCAAGGTGTTGGCATGCAAGTGAGCTTCACAGGTAGCAAAGCTGTTCAAACAAAGGAGGAGCATTTCCTTGCTAACAAGACCAACAAGCAGGAGCTCAGGTATAAACTAGGTACAAAATGGATGGACAGTGTTTGGATAGACAATGAAATGGTTTATGAGCAGAAAACTAGGGAAGGGTAATTTCAGACTGTTAAAGCAGTCGTGGCACCAGCCCTCCGGGGCTTGTTAGTGCATGTAGGTGCAAGTCTCAGAACAGCTGCAAGAAGGGCCAGGGCAGCTGCAGAAAACAACAGGATCAGAGTGTCGGGTGGCCTGGTGTCAGCTATTGCAATTCGCCTGCTTTTTCTCACAGAAACCTCACCGATGAGGCATAACACAAATGAAATGTATTTGTATGGAAGTGAGAGCTGGACCATAAAGAAGGCTGATCGCCGAAGAATGGATGCTTTTGAATTATGGTGCTGGAGGAGACTCTTGAGAGTCCCATGGACTGCAAGAAGATCAAACGTATCCATTCTGAAGGAAATCAGCCCTGAGTGTTCACTGGAAGGACAGATCGTGAAGCTGAGGCTCCAAGACTTTGGCCACCTCATGAGAAGAGAAGACTCCCTGGAAAAGACCCTGATGTTGGGAAAGATGGAGGGCACAAGGAGAAGGGGACGACAGAGGACGAGATGGTTGGACAGTGTTCTCGAAGCTACCAGCATGAGTTTGACCAAACTGCGGGAGGCAGTGGAAGACAGAAGTGCCTGGCGTGCTCTGGTCCATGGGGTCACGAAGAGTCGGACACGACTAAACGACTAAACAACAAATTGTATTTTGTGATATTTGTGATTTGATGGAAAATGTACACCAGTACATGTATCCTAAAGGTAAAGGTAAAGGTACCCCTGCCCGTACGGGCCAGTCTTGACAGACTCTAGGGTTGTGCACTCATCTCACTCTATAGGCCGGGAGCCAGCGCTGTCCGCAGACACTTCCGGGTCACGTGGCCAGCGTGACAAGCTGCATCTGGCGAGCCAGCGCAGCACACGGAACGCTGTTTACCTTCCCGCTAGTAAGCGGTCCCTATTTATCTACTTGCACCCGGGGGTGTTTTCGAACTGCTAGGTTGGCAGGCGCTGGGACCGAGCGACGGGAGCGCACCCTGCCGCGGGGATTCGAACCGCCGACCTTTCGATCAGCAAGTCCTAGGCGCTGAGGCTTTTACCCACAGCGCCACCCGCGTCCTATATGTATCCTAGGTCTCTAAAATTACTGAAGGTGGAGAGTAACAGATGCATTTTGCTGATGTAGATAATATAGTGTGCATTTGCCAAAGTTCCGTGCTAGATCACATTAGAATGACAGCCATCCGTGCAATTTTGGGGATGTTCCTCTGATTATAACTTTGATTGTTGACATGTTCAATACACTGTTCATATGCATTAAATGACAGATTTTGTTTCCTTTGCAATAAAGTTGACATTGGGCCCCAATTTTCAGGAGATATACTGGATTACAGAGAGAAGTTGCAAGAGAACCCCAAGCCGCACTCTGGTGCCTGTAAAGGCTGATTGATCAGACAAGGTTTCCTCACTTCTGCCTTGCTAAGAAAGCAGCAGGCAACAATCTGAAGAACAGTCGCTCCGTACAGCTGGTTTTATGCTCCTTAGGAAAGCCTTCCAGCACCAATGTGTCTGTAAATTCAACATGACAGGAAATTTCTCTGTAGAAAAACATAGCCATTCCCACAGTGGAGGCCCTGTAGTGTTCGGCTTGTAGTACTGTCAAAAACACTCCTATCAGAGAACCATGAAAGAGGAAGAGAGTTCTGGTGCTGAAAAGTGCTAGGCTAAAACTTGGGAGGCCTTGCTGGTCTTGTCGCAGGTGAATCTCACCTTATAAAAACTCCCAGGGGCTGATGGCGAAGGAAAGTGGGCTGACAAATGACGGCTAATGACTGTGTGTGACTTCAGTTTTAAATGTAATCATAACAGCCATTCAGGACTAGTACTTCCCATATGCCTGTATGACACCTGAAGAGTTGAAGAAAGCACCATTTATGGTGTCAGCACTGCTCTGGCCACATTCGTGCGCCCAAGCCATTCCTTGAAAGAGCAGTTATCAAGTGGTGGATGTGAAGAAAGGGAACTACCACTCAGACTTCCAAGGAACTGAACCATGCCATGGCTGATATTCCACACCCAAAACCCTGTGAATGCCACTCCGTCCCTTTAGCAGGGGTGAAGTTGCCACCATACCACCCCACCCCCAACATTTCTCCAGTGAAAATAGGGACATCCCCCACACCCTTTCTTGGGAGAGGACACAAGCTGGGTTGCTCCCAGACTTTGGAACTCCCTTCCTGCGTTGTGTTTCTGCATTGTAAATTGCCCTGTGATCATCAGATGAAGGGCAGTATATAAATTTAATAAATACATAAAATAATCATTCAACCCACCCAGCCAATTCTGTCCCAGCAGAGCCCCACACATTGGATTTGCAGGGACCTGCGTAGGCCAGACTACCCTGACTGTGTCCCAATTGTGTATTTGTATTATTCCAAACCTAGCCCCCCCCCCTTCAGAATCAAGGAGAGTCAGGCTGGAGATCTTTTGCTTCTTTTGCGTATATATATTCCCCCCCTTCTCTCCAAGCCTCTCAAGGTAGCATTCATGGTTTTCCATTTCCCCATGTCATCTTCACAACCAGCCTGCGAGGTAGGCTAGGCCGAGAGACAGTGACTTGCTCAAAGTCTCATGTTGAGCTTCATGGCTGAGTGGTAATTTTAGCCCTGCTCTCCTAGTTCAGAAAATATCTCACCACTTTATTCCATACTCTGGAAAGACCTTAAAGTGAATGAGCTGGAGGAGGGAAACAAACTTTTCCCATAGGTTTGGAAGTTTATGGAGCCTCTGGTTAACAGTTATGTTTGGCACCTTTTCATTGTCCCCTGCTCCACCCAGTGCCTTTTTTCTGGGGGGACACATACCCCTAAACATTTTGTGAATCTAAGTTTGGTCTCACTGAGGGGCAGTACTTCAATATGAGAAGGAAAATGAGAGTACCCCTAAACATTTTTAGGGGGGGGGGAAGCAGTGGCTCCACCTATACAATCTCCTAGTTGCCCTACCAGCTGCCACTCACAACTTCCTATGTAATAGGCACTGAACCATATTTTAAACACTAAACACACACAATCCTGTTCTTTCCTCCACCTTCTCTGCTGTGGCCCCAAGGAGGCATCTAATTCCCTTTTCAACTAACCACTGTTTCTCATTTTTTCCTGAACTAGGACAAACAATGGTTAGTTTAAACTACAATTTATCCAACAAGCCATGGCTTCATCTTGGCTTGTTTGGAACTGAAAGTTGGAAATGGAATCAGATTCTTCCAGTCTCCTCAGTCATGCCAGAGGAGGAGAACGGAGGGGTAGCAACTGTTCACACAACACAGAATTATAGTGAGGTCATTATGCACCATGCCATGTGAAATTCCACCCTCACATACAGTTCAATATTTGGAGGAAAAAGAAACCTGCATCCAGGCCCCCACAAAAAAAACCACACACACACAAAGGAGAAGTTAATGTTAATGTACAGAGGTGGTTCTTAACTGTGTTTCTCCCAACAGCATATAATTTTTTCAGACATCCTTGGTATGGTAACTTCGGTTTAAATTTCACTCACTGTACTTCAGTCATAAGGAAATTTTCTGTGTTTCTTGGAGAAAGAGTTAAAATCAGGAACCAGCTCTGTACAATTTGAAGCTCACATGCTCTGCCCCTCAACCCTGCCTTTACTGTTGCTTTTAGATAATCAGTATGTTTTGTTGAATAACCAGCATACTTCCTAACATAGCTGGAGAGAATTTCATAATAGAGTTCATTCATTATTATTAAAAACACACACATAACAGCAAAGCTTGTTTTCTTACATCATTTCAATGAGCATTTCAGAATTAAATGGCAATCATGAGACCGCCAGCCTACACATGAGGAAGTGGTTTCCTCAGGCTTGCCAGATTAAAGAGTGACATCACATTATCTTCGTCAGTACAGATTCCAGTTCTTCGATAACAAGCAAATATGGAAAATAGCTTCTTGTGTCATAATGTCAGGTTCTGCTTTCCACTCTTTCATTTATTTTTTTTAAATGTACTTGCCCTAATCTCGAGACCTGACCTCCCTGGAAATATTGCAATGAGCAACCGCCCAGGCCAAAGCTTGGGATATGAAACAAATGGTAGAAATGTTCACAGTTCTCAGTACTGGCTTCTGCCGCAGCTGGGAGGGGAAAAAAATGAGTTGTGGGTTTCCCCTTTCTAGGGTTGTTGTTTTTTTTAAAAAAAGTTGTTTTTCCGATTCCTGTCAGACACTCCCACCCCCACACACATACATACACAAAAGCCAAATGAACACAAATCGTGCTTTGCTCCTTTTGTATCAGTGGCTGCTTTCTCAATGGAGGTCAGTAGTTCTTGCCTACCATACAATAACTAGCAGGACAATCCACTATCAAATCTTAACTCGCTGACATAGAAGTGAACTCCTAGGGACCAAGGTCCCTTTGCCCCCCAACAAAAAAATTTTTTGAAGGGGATGGGGGAGCCCCAAAGTTGATGTGCATTGCCATTCAAATGGTGTGTGTGCACTATGTCATGTGATAGATTATGTGGGGGCAGGGCTTACCTGGGTCCCCCAATATTTTAATCAAGTTTGCACCCTTGCTCACTGACACTTACACTGTAGCAAGGGCATTTGGTTCATCCTTTTCAGTGATTTGGATCCTGAACCAAATTGGGCCATTCCAGGTGGTTCAGGCTTTTGGCAAATCAGACTGAGAGACTCCTATAAAAATAAAGTAAACTTTACCCCCAAAAGTATATTGAGGCTGCACTGAATCAGTCCATCCAGAGTGATTTGGGGCTGTCTATTACTTCCCTTGATCTGGACAGTATACTTTTGTTGATATAGCCTAGAATAGCATTAGCCTCTTTTTTTGGCTATTGCATCACCTTGTTGACTCATGTTAATACTCCCGTATTAAGAGCTCAGATTTGTCTTGCTTGTTTCCCATACTCTGTGCATTGGCATAGAGATGGAGGCAGAGAAGTGAGCCTTTTTACTGCCTCATTACCATACACTACACATGATTATATGGTTTCACTTGCGCTCAGTCAGGTTAAAAGCACACTTTCTGCCACTTGTGGTGTACCCAGCCCTTAGTTCCTGGGCATATCAGTTGTGCAGGGCAGGTTCCACAGCACCAGACATTGTGCTCAGGGGTAACCATTTCAAGAACCTGAAGGGTCTCACTGTTAAACGGTGAGATGGGGCTTCAAAGGGGTCGTCTACTCTAGCTGCTGGGAAGAAAAAAACAGGGCACTTAAGAATCCATTGGGTTCCACTGGTTTCTGGGTGCAGACTATCTGAATGATTCCACCATCCCTGGAGGGAAAGATCAGAACTGTAAGTCCAAACTTCACCAGGATGGTAGGGTGTTATCCACCAGCACCCCCATCTTGAGAACACCCCTTCCTCTATCTGGAGCAAAGAGCAACTCTTGTGTGCCAGATCAATGAAGTACGCACAAATGTAGCAGGGATGTTAATCTTCAGTCTATTACATAATAGATGGTGAATATCTATCCTACATAGCTCAAAGTATAAGTCTCTTAGCAACCACAAGGACTGGTAGAGTCCTCATTCCCCAATAGTCAATTCCCATACAACAGGGATATAATTCAAAAGTACATGGACATCTGCAAACATCAAGAATTTCTCCATTGGAAAATTAATATTGTTATAGCTTTGCTGTAACAGGTGGTGGTGTTCAGTCTGGATGATAGTCATAGAGCCTGTATATAGAATCATAGAATCATAGAGTTGGAAGAGACCACAAGGGCCATCGAGTCCAACCCCCTGCCAAGCAGGAAACACCATCAGAGCACTCCTGACATATGGTTGTCAAGCCTCTGCTTAAAGACCTCCAAAGAAGGAGACTCCACCACACTCCTTGGCAGCAAATTCCACTGTCGAACAGCTCTTACTGTCAGGAAGTTCTTCCTAATGTTTAGGTGGAATCTTCTTTCTTGTAGTTTGGATCCATTGCTCCGTGTCCGCTTCTCTGGAGCAGCAGAAAACAACCTTTCTCCCTCCTCTATGTGACATCCTTTTATATATTTGAACATGGCTATCATATCACCCCTTAACCTCCTCTTCTCCAGGCTAAACATGCCCAGCTCCCTTAGCCGTTCCTCATAAGGCATATGTGAGGTTAGTATCTATGAGGGGAAACCTGATGAACCAGCCAAGCCACTTGTTTTGTTAAGGTAATGTCTTTGGTTGGCCAGTTCAGTACTGCCATTTACTTGCCCCTAAAGGTTGCCATACAGACAAATGGGTGGGTCTTTCCCCACTTCTCCAGGTTGGATGCCATGTCATCTTAGGATGGAGAATAATAGGCCAAGGTTAGGGGAGGCTGCCCGTGAGAGAGTTTGACTGGTGCTGGAAGACGAGGACAGAGGGGGCATATCTTGCTCTGTGCTGTGATGGGGCCTTCCTGGAAACCAAATGCAGAGGCAAGTTCTGTTTTAATGCTTTGGGCCCCTCCATCCTATGCTCAGGTTGTATTTATGTGTAAATAAAACCATATATCATGACAACACCACAGTCTCCATTGACCTTCATTCCTAGGAAACCGAACCCTGGGTCAACCCTCAGGACAGCAATACCTCAAGAACCGCATCTCCCCATATGAACCAACCCAGACCCTGCAATCTTTGTTGGAGGCCCTTCTCCATGTGTCTCCTCCATGAGGTCTGGAAGGTGGCAACACAAGAACAGGGCCTTTTCTGCAGTGGTTCCCCACTTGTGGAATGCTCTCCCCAGGGAGGCTTGTTTGGCATCTTCCTTATACACCTTTAGGTGCCAGGTGAAAACATTCCTCTTCAACTAGGCCTTCGGCGGATTAACAGTCAAACGCTTTTTTTATTGTGTCTGGGGGGTGGGATATTGTGTTGTTGTTGTTTTGCTTTTGTTTCTGTTTTATTATTTATTTTGTGTTTTCCTTTTGTATTTTTATGCTGCGAACCACCCTGTGACCTTCGGATGAAGGGTGGTATACAAATATAATTATTCACAAGAATCACAGGCATCCCTGGAGTCTCTCACTGCTCGGAAAGTGGGGTCCGTGCAACAATATAGACAACTTCCAAGCAAAAAGATGCTATCACTCGACAAGCCCACATCATGTACCCCAGCATTACACTTCCAGCATCTACCTGAATCAGAAAACAATAGCTTCTTGTAAAGATGCTGTGGAGTCCAGTGTACCCAAAATACTATTTTTTGCTGAATCAGCTTTAAATGTTTTTTTAACATGATCAGCAGCATTTTGCTGTTGTTTGCATTTTAAGCTTTCTATGAAACACTATGGAAGAAACAGGGGTTTTATTTGCAGGAACCTGGCATCATAATTTATAGGACACCCTTACGTATTTGCAATGGGCAGAATTTACCAGCGCATGACACAGTTGCTTTGTTGAAGATCATGTGACGGATCTTTCCTGAATATGGCAGAAACTCTGCTTTCCCATTGGATCAAAAGATCACACTGCTGTGACAGACAGCTTGAATGCTTTGCTCTCAGACAAATGAGGAGGGCTGCCGGAGGGCCAAGTGAAACCCAACGTGACAGCTGCATCAAGCAGCCTATAAGCATAAACTTTAATGCTGTTAGATATAAAAGTATTGCAAGAGCTTTTAAAATATATATTTCTGGTACTTGTTTGGTTTTGCTTCCTCTCTATCAACCATGGGTCTTTTATTAACCATTTATCTTAAATGTTATGTTAAGAACCAAAAACTTTTTATTGCAAAACTCCTTTATTTCACAGTGATAAGCAGAAATAGTACAGTACATCGTTACACAACAAAGTTGTTCAGCTCCCAGGTATGAAATGTCCTCTCTACCAAAACATATGCTAGGCATTTTACTGAAATGTCTTTATTCTAGTAAATAATAATGCCTTTAGCTGATATTAATAAGGTATGGTTGGAAATTATAACAAATTGTTATTAATCATAAATGCAAAACCAAGAAGATATGATTAATCCAGCTTGATTAACAGAGAGTACAAGGGTGTGATCTCAAGCATTGCACGAAGGGGCAGCTATGGATTTGAGGGTGACTCAGAGCAAGCATTGATTCATCCCCCTTCAGAACAGCATTCCCTTTTTCAAATTGTCACTTTTTACTTCAGCAGAATGCATTCTGTTCAATTCTTTTCACTCCTTTCCCTGAGCCTTGGAGCGTTCACTGGCTCCCACAGCTTTCTCTGGAAGGCCACTTTAACATCTTATGCACAACGGAGACCCCACTGCAAAGTTATCAATTTATTATTCCGCTCTTTGTTTCTGTCCAATGGGAGCTCACGCTTTTAAAGACTCAAAAAGGTAGTTTTTCCATGTGCTCTAGGAAAGACTGCATATGAGTCCAAGAATCCTTGGCCTACTATCCTGATGAAATATTTATCATACTAAAGGTTCCCCTGTGATATAATAATATATTGCAATGTTTTCTTTCCATGAGCATTATGTATTACGGAGTGCTCAGCCCTTAGAAGCTGCTTTGGCTGATAGCGCCGTTTTGTACATTACCTTTTTAGATATATGTCTAAGAAGCTTTGTGCATACTATGAAAAGATATAAAGTGTAAATGTGCAATAAATGCTTGTGTCATACAATAATGAGCAGGGCTACAGCTCCTGCTTTGAGTGCCCACGTTGTACCAATCCCAGGTTTGCCCCTGCATCTTGTGACAAATGGCCCTTAGATTTCACAGTGTCAAGTGTACCAAAATAAGGCGCTCTGTACCAATTTTGCATGAAATTGCTAAGCTAACCAAACTTTGCAAGCTGTCCCTAAAACTGGCCTCCACACCACATGCTTGAAGAGCAGTCCATCGAACGCAGTTTTTGGGTTTGTTTTTAGCAACCTGGGAAACTACAAACCAAATCGCTTAACGCTAAGCGCACGTAAACATGGCCTCTTGCACACTGAGCATTTACTGTGGTGTTGCCCTGCTTTTTTCACTTACTTTTGAAAAGGCAGCTCCACAATGTCATGAACGAAACATCCCCCTCTCATTTTGTGTGTGTGTGTGTGTGTGTTGAGTTTTATGTTTAAGAGCTCCGAAAATACAACTTTTTAAATTATCAAAGGAATTGGCTGTGCAATTTCTCCAGGTGCAGGTGACTTCTTGTGTTGCTGCTCAGCTGACTCTGGCACACAGACTATTTCTGAGGCTGCTATAGCCATTTGTTTTCCCTCTCCTCTGAGGGAATCAACCCTTCTCTTTTTAAATACCAGCACCTTCATATCTGTTTCTTTCTCTTTTCTTCCTGAATTGCAGTGCCACGAGAGTTGGGGGAGGAATCACGATCAGGAGTGCAGTGCAGGGGGGAGGGAATATCTGACCCTTATCACACACACAGGTCTCAGTCACACACACAGCCCCCACCCCCTGCTGCCACCCAGCATTTGGAGTTAGGGAAATGGGGACTGTCTGCTTGGTTACAGACAGCTGGGAATTTGGAAACGGGTTTCGTTCCATTTTAAAGCAGAACAGCCACTTTTGGGTGCTGATAAATAATCAACACCTGGAAGCATGCAAGGAGCATGCATCTTGGGGGAGAGGCCTGACGTAACATTTACTCTAGTGTCAGGGGTGACACACAGATATATATTGCCCACAATTCCGCTAGCGCTGCTACCACCATGTCTCTGTAGATAGAGATGGCAGTAGGAGCAAAGTTGTGGACAGTGCTGTGCTTTGGCCGTGGTTAAGAGTTCCGCTTCTGCTATTGATGGATTTTAAACTGTTAAAAACCATCCTCTTTTTGAGATGACAGTGACCCTAGAACAACACACATTACTCAAAGTCATTTGCAACCTTTTTGCAGTGACAATAGTAAACAAGGTGTGCCAAAGGCCGGGCTGACGTGGTATAAGGGAAGCTTTCTCGGTTGCCATGGCAGATACTTCAAGAGAAATGTTGACCCAGCGTGCGGCAGCTGTGAAAAGGGCAAATAACTTGCTAGGGATTCTTAGGGAAGGGGCTGGAAATAAAACTGCCTTTAACTTTACACAAATGCCTGACGTGTCCACACTTGGAATAACATGGGTCACCATCTTCCCACCTCAGAAAGGATATCACAGAGCTGGAAAAGGTGCAGTCAAAAGGATCAAGGAACCAGGAGGCATTCCCTACAAAGAAAGACGTCCAACATTTAAGAATGTTCAGTTCAGAAAAAAGAGCATCAAAAAGATGTTTGTGGAATTGTGCAAGGTGTGGAAGAAGTGGGTAGTGATAAGTTGTTTTTTTCTCCCTTTCTCGTGATGCCAGAGTGGAGGTCACCCAGTAAAACTGATTAAGAGCCAATTTTAGGACAGACAAAAGAAAATACACAGAACACCTAATTAATATATGGCACTCACTACCACACAGTAAAGGCTATTAGTCACAAGAGTTCAAAGAGGATTATACATACTCAAGGATGATGGGGTTACCAATGGCTATTAATGACCATGGCTAAATTCCACCCCCAGGATTAGAGGCAATATAGCACTGAATCGTAGCTGCCAGAGAACAGCAGTAGAAGTGACCCATTATCTTCAAGCTCCGACTGTCCACATTAGGTCACTTTCTGCTCCAAGACCACGTTCCATGGAAGAGCAATGGAAACGCTCAGCTCAGCAGATTGTTCCTTGACAATCAAGCCCACATAGGTTTGAATGTGCACGCAAACATATCACTGTGTCTTGATACAGTCATATCGCTGAATGTGTTTCAATAGTCATGCCTTCTCAAGAGCTTTAAAAAGTTGATGCAGCGCCCACAGACACCGCTGTGCTGGCCAGCAGCACCCAGCTTCCCCCATGAAAGGTCTCAGTAGATATCTCCTCAGAAATTCACAATTCACAATAGACCGCTCAGTTTGTTTGTAGTGGCTCAGCCTTCTCCTTCATTGAACACAGCACATTTCGTTGGCTGCTAGGACTGGACACTCACCACCCCCCCGCATCCATTCTGAACTAGTAGCTAGTGCACCTTTTCTTCATTGAGGGAGGGGGGCGGCATGCCCAAACCATTTTGTGGCCTTGTCATTTTGTGTTAGTCATTTTGTGCCACCTCCATGGCAGCCATTTAACGACTGGCGGCCACGGCGCCTTCTCCAAATGTGCCTATTGGCTCAGAAAGATTGGCAACCCATGTTTTAAGACCTCACATCACAGCCAACCATTTGGCTGATTATTTCCAAAATTCCATGGAAATTCCTGCGTAGATTCCTGCATTGCAGGGGGTTGGACTAGATGACCCCTGGGTCCCTCCCAACTCTAAGGTTCCACAGCTCCACCATTTGTGCATTTGAATCATGCCTCTCCGTCCATGCACTTTCCCGGGCAGCCCGATAAACACTTGCCTGGTAAGATAAAATAAGACTTGTGGCAGCCTGCCTTTTTCTTTTCTTTCCGCTTTTGTGGAAATGGGTGAATAAAGCTTAGCATGAGCAAGGTTATTTTGATTACATATTTGTTGAGCTTGTAACTATTATTACCTAAATCAGTGCCAGTTTGAGGCAACTATAGTGCACAGACACAAAAAAAGCATTCTAAACAGCCCACGAAGGGAAACTATGTTTAGTGAGGAAAGTGAGAAGATAGTTGCTTTAGTATGAGTAATGTTAAGAAACAGCTGGGAAGGAATATTAGGTAATCACACACACACAAGTTGGAAACTGGGAACATCAGGCTAACATACTAGTATAATTTTGTACCCCCTCCCCTTCCCACGGATATAGCAAGGCAGAAGCCATGATGTAGTCGGGTCTTCAGATTTAGAAGCTATTGGGAAAAGCAGCATGACTCATCACTTTCTTTCGTAATTTCAACTCAGTCCTTCAACTGCAGTTCCTCCTAAAGACTGGAAGGAATGAGAAAGAATAAGAAATGGAGACAGACACAATGCACATAGTGTGTAGTAGAATCATAGAATCCTAGAGTTGGAAGAGACCACAAGGGCCATCGAGTCCAACCCCCTGCCAAGCAGGAAACACCATCAGAGCACTCCTGACATATGGTTGTCAAGCCTCTGCTTAAAGACCTCCAAAGAAGGAGACTCCACCACACTCCTTGGCAGCAAATTCCACTGTCGAACAGCTCTTACTGTCAGGAAGTTCTTCCTAATGTTGAGGTGGAATCTTCTTTCTTGTAGTTTGGATCCATTGCTCCGTGTCCGCTTCTCTGGAGCAGCAGAAAACAACCTTTCTCCCTCCTCTATGTGGCATCCTTTTATATATTTGAACATGGCTATCATATCACCCCCTTAACCTCCTCTTCTCCAGGCTAAACATGCCCAGCTCCCTTAGCCGTTCCTCATAAGGCATCGTTTCCAGGCCTTTGACCATTTTGGTTGCCCTCCTCTGGACACGTTCCAGTTTGTCAGTGTCCTTCTTGAACTGTGGTGCCCAGAACTGGACACAGTACTCCAGGTGAGGTCTGACCAGAGCAGAATACAGTGGCACTATTACTTCCCTTGATCTAGATGCTATACTCCTATTGATGCAGCCCAGAATTGCATTGGCTTTTTTAGCTGCCGCGTCACACTGTTGGCTCATGTCAAGTTTGTGGTCAACCAAGACTCCTAGATCCTTTTCACATGTACTGCTCTCAAGCCAGGTGTCCCCCATCTTGTATTTGTGCCTCTCATTTTTTTTGCCCAAGTGCAATACTTTACATTTCTCCCTATTAAAATTCATCTTGTTTGTTTTTGCCCAGTTCTCTAATCTGTTAAGGTAGTAGCGTGAAGCCTGTTTGAAAGCTCAATGTACATTTTTGTGTTGCTTTGTCTGAGGCCTGCAACAACAACAACAACAACTTTACATTCTTTCCATATGTCACAGAAAAGCAAAGCACAACAGTTCAGCCTGCTCAGTTCTTCCCCTGCCAACTACAGATGGGCAGAGTAACCCTGGAATGTGAAATCATGTAAAATGTTGACAGCAAGACAACAAATACGGTCATTTTCGAAAGGAAAGAAAGAGGCTGAATTCCCTTTCAGGATTTACTTGCAAACAAATTATGGGTCAGTATCTACCAGTGAGTACTCCCAGGCCAGCTGAACAGAAGGTTCCCAGGTGTCCTGTTCATTTTGATGATATTTGTACAGGAGTACTTTCTGGGAGACGGTGCTCATATGACATTACTGGGGGTTGGGCTGGATGATCCTCAAAATCCCTTCCAACTCTACAATTCTATGATGCAGGCTTCCCCGCCCGTCAGCTGCGCAGCTCAACAAGGCCCCTCCGCCCCTCCGGCTCACGTGAGGCTTGCTCAGCTGACATGCAAGGACACGGCATCAGCGGCTGCACTACCCTGCATGTCAGCTGTTAGGCGGGGAGGCTGAGCACACTCAACAAAGCCCCACTCCACCTCCAGCTTATGAGGAGACCCTCCCCGGAGCCTGAAGAGGACATCCTCTTTGGGCTCCGGGGAGGGTCTCCTCATGAGCCAGGATTCTACAGGGTGCCCCCCACTTCCGGGTTCCACTTCCAGGTTCCTGGCACTGTCCGTGTGAGCAGTTGAGTGCAAACAGGAAGCTGTCTGTATAGTATCTGCTGAGATTTCTGTTTCTTAGTCTATAACGTGTAAGAATTGATGCACTTCATAATGAAGAGGTCTGCGGCGGTAAAAACAAAATGTACACACACTTTAAAAAGGAAGGTACACAAAGCCCTTGTGTAACTTCCTAAAGCCTATGGACAGTTCCCAGGTATCATAGTGAAAGATTGGAGAGAGAGAGAGAGAGAGAGAGAGAGAGAGAGAGAGAGAGAATGGACTACAGTCATACCTCGGGTTGAAGTAGCTTCGGGATGAATATTTTTGGGTTGCGCTCCGCGGCGACTCGGAAGTAACGGAGCGCATTACTTCCGGGTTTCGCCACTCGCGCATGCGCAAATGCTCAAAATGACGTCACGCGCATGTGCGGAAGCAGCGACTCATGCATGCGCAGACGCGGGTTGCATTCACTTCAGGATGCGAACGGGGCTCCGGAACTGATCCCTTTCGCATCCAGAGGTACCACTGTATATCTTGTTCAAAATACAAATTCTGCTTTTTTCTGCTTCCTGATCTATATATACAATCCGTTAATAGGAAGAAGAAAATATTTTAAATCCGTTCTTAAGGAAACAGAAACATATGATTGAGGGGGGAATTGGGAATTTATTTGAAAATAGGGGTGGAGGACATTCCTAGTAAGAATGATTCCTCCCACTGGCTATGAGGGGCAGGATCTTCAGAACTGTTCAGCTCCTGCCCTCCAGACTGACTGGCAAGAATGAAGACAACTCCTCGACCCCAAATCCAATGTCTGCAGAACCCGGCTGCCAACAACTTCAAACCAGAGAAATAGCAAAGAAGGAGACCTGGTCTTAGACATAACAAAACTGGGCATACACCAGTACTCAAATAATGTGTGCAATATGTAAGACAGCAGCAGAAGTCCTACATCAGCAATCTCACTCCAGGGGAAAACACAGAGAAAGGAGCAGTGCCCTCTGTCCCTATCTTCAAATGGAAATTCTCATTAAGTACCATTTCCATTTTTGCCAGATAGGGACAGAAGACATTCCTCATAGATATATATCAGAGGAGCCTCCTTCAGACCTGCTTGGGTTTCCTCTGCCTTTACTTACTGCAGCAGAAACCCTCTGGAGAAGCTTTCTGCCAAAGGCTCCATCAGCTGATGAAAGTAAATCTATTCTGCAGTGTTTTACAAAAGTGTGTGGCGAGGCCCAAGTGGATGCCCAGCAAATATCTATGATAGGAAAACTACACCTGTAAGCAGCTGTGGCAGCCGCTTCCCTGAAAGAGTGAGCAGTCATTCCAGAGGGAGCAGACTTGCACATCAAGAAATCATGGCTGTGGACACATTTATACCTTTGGAAGCCCCCAAAAACGCCGCAAGGAGGGACTCTGATTTCCTAAATTTCACTGTTGGATCCAAATAAAACCGCAGGGCACGACTGACACCCAGTGAATGTCATACATGTTCTTGAGAACAAGGAGGAGGAGCTCAGAGGGAAGGCAAAACCACCTGAGCATAGAACTCTGGACACAGATTTCACCTTGGGAATAAAATCAGGATCAGGGCAGAGGACAAGCTTATATTGATGGAATATGCAGGGTTTTGGGGGGTATGCTGTCTGAAGACAAGAGTTAGCAGTTACACAGCGCATTTCTGGTGTGCCACACTTATTACCACCGTAGGTCTTACAACAGTCCTATAACAATCCAGTATTGCTATTCTCATACCTGAAATGGGGAGCAAAGGCAGGCAGAACAATGGATTGCTTAAGGCAACTGGATGGCTGCTTGAGGTGATATTTGAATCAGGAACTTCCCATTTCACACTTTTAGCAACTTATGCTCCATTAACTCTCTGAAAATATAGCACAGAAAGCAGGGGTGCAGGGTTCTGACAGCTAGCTAATTTACAGATCCTACCCATTCTTAAGGTTTGTTCCACATGGTACAAGCTACATGGAGAGATAAGTAAATAAAAAATGAAACATACTGCTGTTGGTGAATTATTTTTAAAGTGTCACATGAAGGGGAATCCTCCTTATTTGTTCTCCCAAATTATTACTATTTTGCCTCATTTTATAACTAGGTTTGCTCCTATATTATAGTGCTTTAGAGAGGGCGTATATACAAGTCTGCCTGGCCACAAGAGGGTTAAAATATCCTTTCAAGTAAATATCCTATATAGTACCAGGTAAAAATCACACTTTTAAAGCTAACACAGTGGAACTAACCTATTCAGACACAACAAGTCTTCCTTAGGGGAATATGTCTCATTCCAGGGTTCATTCGTGGTTTCACATAGTGTGTCATGAATTTCTTGTTCAAAGAAATGTAAAACACATCCGTTTTCTGCTTTAGAGACAAACCGTAGTGCCAAATATCTTAATTTCAAAATGCAGTAGCTAAAAATAATTAAGCTTCATATAAATCCCAGTCACCTCTGTGCTATAATTTTAAATGTCCACTTCAAACTCTTTCATTTTGTAAAGAATCTTGCTGGTCAATTGTCATTTTTAATATAACGCCCATCCATTCATATTATTCTTATTGACAGCTTGTACTGTGATTTTCACTAGCAAAAAAGCAAACAAAACTGACTAGTGAATACTAGCGGTCATTCATTCAGCCTGAATCCACTGAAAATTGCAGATTTTGATAAAGTTGCAATTGGCTTTTTTAGCAGAAAAGAAGCAAGTGACTCACCCCAAGCCCTGGTTCCACACAAATACTCAAACCAAGAAGCCCAAAGAGCTCTCAAAGGTCCCATACCTCTTTGCTTTGTACTGAATGTAGAGCTCTGTGTTTTCAAGTTTGTTTATGATCATTTTACAAAACACGATTACATGAGAACAACTCAGAAATTGCAAGCCTCTGCACGTTTACCTGGGAACAAATTTAGAACAGTGTCGTTTACATCTAAGGAAACATGAAAAAGATTGAGGCATAAGTGGCTTACAACAAAGGTTTATTCTTAGCAGTTGGCTAAACTGGAAACCTGAGAATATCAGATTTTATTTTCCAAACATAAATTTCTGAGACCAAAGGGAGAAGACACCACACTCATGGGCCCCTCCACCACGCCGGAGTACAGGTCCGGCTGAGAGCCCCGCTCCATCTAACTACCAGTGCGAGTGGTAAAGGAGCAGCCCAAGGGGAAAAAGCCCAGTCGGCGTGTGCTTAAAAATGGACAATAACTTCCAGCCCATAGCTTCGCAATAAGCCAGCTGCCTCTGGGGTCACCAAAAGGTAGTAGTACTACTCCCCTTGGCAGCACTGTTGCAGGACCAGCCATCAGACTTCCCAGACCCCAACCCATACAAATAAGAGACCAATAAGACTGGGTTTGAGTTAAAAACAGGCCACCACTTTATTGAATACAGATGAAAGAGGTTTGGTTTGGGCAAGGGGGCAATCTAAATACTTTCGGCCCGTCCCCCGGAAGTGATGCATGGTCAATCAAGGAAGAGTTCCTAAGACTTACATCCAATAGGGTGACCCCCACAGGGACCGCTGTCTGGGGGAGTGCCTTTGGCCCTGGCCCCCTGTACACGCAGACGTGGCCACTCTCCCCGGATCCTTTTAATGGGCTACCCCAGCATTTGGAGGGGCAGGCAGGGACTACAACCTCCCCTCCGTCCCAAACAAGGGATTGCCCCAGTGCTCAACCAGTTGTGACAAATTGCTATGAGGTAGGCAAAACCACCAGGTCAGTGCCAATTAGCCCGGTGGGCAAATTCCTACCAGGCCCCTTAAAGAACGGCGACCACCGCAGCCACAGCAAAGTCATTGCCTATCAGCGTAAACGGTGGATGTGGGGGAGCCCGGCGCAGGAACAAACAGGCTGTGCCCCAGGTGTGGGCTGCTTAAATGGGCAGGGAGCGGATCTGAGGGAAGCCCACCGTCGGCTCTATTGGCTCCGGCCACATCCCAGCCTGCATCCCCATTCGCCAATGTAGAGGGCAGGCTAAGATCCAGCTCCTGATAGGCAGTGGGGGCATATGCCCGCTCCACTATCAGGAAGGGCACTGCTGTTTGAATTCCACCATTGGGGAAGGCTGCTGCACCAAGAGAGGTGAGTGGACTTGTATTATATGAGGTTACGCAGGGCTTCATCCCTGCCATTCCTCCCAGGGACGAAGCTGCATGCTCCGCTACCGGGGGTGGAGAGCAGGCGGGGGTGTGGCTGGTGCCCACGGGGGCCTGGCGCACCTCCTGGGGACGTGGCATGCCGCCTGCGGAGGCGTGGCATGGCACACCGCTTGTGGGGGCACGGCACGCATCCCAGGGGTGTGGCACGCCACCCACGAGGGCGTGGCGAACCGGCCACAAGGTTGTGGCACCCAGCGTGTGGGGTGCGTGGCACATGTCCAGGGGGGCCGCCGTGATGGCACCCTACCGGAATAGTGGTGCCAGGGGTGGGCCGCTCGCTCCGTACTCCCGTTCCTACCATAGATATCAACCTTCCCCTTTTTTGCAGGAAATTCCCTTATTCCAGCTCGGTTTCCCGCTGCTATCCCGGATTGTTAGATATCCCGTAGACTGTCCCCGGGACAGGAGAGGCTGCTGATCCCTTATTTTCGAGGCTGCTGATCCCTTATTTTCAAATCTGAAAGTTGACAGCTATGGTTCCTCCGCCAGTGATTTCCCTCACCATTAACTCCATGCAGCTTCCTCTTCTAACCTCGTACAAGCTGCCTTTCCCTTTCCCAACCCCAGACCCGAAGCCGCTTCTCTCTTCTGCTCTGCAGTCCCACTCTGTATCCGTGTTCTCCTTCACTCCCTGGTCCCTGCCTCCTCCCTCCCCTTTTGTGCAGCCCCCCTGCACCCAAACCATCCCCACGGTCACCTCCTGCATCTTCCTCCTCCCGCACGTTGCACCTGCTAAGCACGCTTTTTTCACTTTCTGCCCAGGTCTTAGTGAGTTTCTCCTTGCAGAAAGTTCCAAGCAGCTTACACCAAAATCGACACTGCCGCTTGCCCTGTGCTACCTAGGCACGGGTCAGAAGTTTCTGCCTTGCCCTGCTCATTTCCCAGGGAAAACCTGCTCTTTAGCTCTAAACCGGAACAAACAGCTTGGAGGAGTAGATAGCGAAGGCCTAAGGTAAAGGTAAAGGGACCCCTGACCATTAGGTTCAGTCGTGGCCGACTCTGGGGTTGCGGCGCTCATCTCACTTTATTGGCCAAGGGAGCCGGCATACATGTGGCCAGCATGACTAAGCCACTTCTGGCGAACCAGAGCAGCACACGGAAACGCCGTTTACCATCCCGCCAGAGCAGTACCTATTTATCTATTTGCACTTTGACGTGCTTTCGAACTGCTAGGTTGGCAGGAGCAGGGACCGAGCAACAGGAGCTCACCCCGTCGCGGGGATTTGAACCGCCGACCTTCTGATTGGCAAGCCCTCTGGTTTAACCCACAGCGCCACCCATGTCCCTAGCGAAGGCCTAGCAGGGCCCAAATTAACAAAATCCATCCCATCATTTCAGACTCAAGTTAGATTTGGAATCGGGGTCACTTTGCTACATGCAGACCACATAGGGTATCGGCACCGAATTACTGAGTCAAAACGGAATTTAAAACTGAAGCTTTTTACTGTTGCAAATAAAGGTGCTAAATTTAGCGCCTGTTCCCAGGACTCAGTTAAGCTCCTCTTAATATAATACGGTCACTGCTTTTCAGCTACGCAGAGCTATAAACAATGGCCAACAACTCTGCTTTTATTTAAAACTTGAAGGGGGTTATTATTTTAGCAAAGGCTTTAAGAAATCCTACCTATCAGAAAAATGCAGCTTGAGGAGAGGAACTTCCTGTTTTCATATGTGGCTCCTGTTTCCCTCAGTTGCCGGTTATTAGGCAGTTAAATATGAAATGTATTTTTAGCTCACTTGTGCCTATTATACAATCCCTACCACAGCTTAAAGAGCTTACAAATTGAGAAAATGTAATTACCGTATCAAAGATAAAGACAAGGATATACTTAGTCCCTTTGAAACAGCCAGTTGGTTGCTTTGGGCTGTTGTCTCTTTTTTTAAAGGGGAAGTAGATCAATTTTTAGATGGCTGAAAATACTCAACCATTCAGCCTAAAATAATATTTTATTTCCAAATTTTGTATCCGATTCAAAAAGGTTCCCCCCCCCACGAGCTAAAGCATTAATCGATTGATTAAACTTAGCTCTAATAAAATAGAGTTGATTTAACTAGTGAAAAGTTTTTTTGAATCAAGTACAAAATTCTGAAATAAAATGTTATTTTTTAAGCTGAATGGTTGAATATTTTCAAAACTATAAAATGGACAGACAAGAAGAAAAGAAAGTGCAATTGCTTATGTGGCCTCTAGTTTACCTAGTAATAAAAAGTTATTTTCAATTTATATATATGCGCTGCATTTTCCACAAACCCAAAATTTGTACCCAAAGCAGTTTACAGAAAATAGAGAATCTACAGAAACAGAATTGTAATACATAATAAACTACAATATCATATTCAGTTGTAGAATTATTAATTCAACCATTAACAATTCATTTTAAAAATATTAAAAAGTGAGCACAGGTTCACCATTATTGACCGTTTGGTCAATTAGCAACATTAGGTCAATTAGCAACCCATTTATGCGGCCACAACAGACCACAAGTTCTCCTCACAGTTCTGCATGTGAATTTTTTTATTAAAGTTATTCATAATGCAGTAAGATATAGAAGACTAATCCAAATAAAACACAAAAGCAGCTACAAAAAACACAAATTGAACGTAGAATGCGGAGTCCTCTCTTAAAGGTAGTTCTTAAATTTCTGTGCCTCCCACCCGGTTCTCCTCACAGTCCAGGAAGAAGCTTCCTCCTAAAGGTTCCCAGGGCCAGAGGTTGTGGCAAGGCAGGTGGAAAGAGCCATCCCCAAATAACAGATCTCTCACCTCACAGCAAACTTCCAAGGAAGGTCCCTTATGCAATGCAGAATGAGTGTGTTTCAAAAGCATTTGCATTATTCCACACGCTGGGATTTCCTCATTCTCATGTGAGAGTCTGGGTGAAAAGTGTAGAAACCTTGATATGTGATTCTTATTCCCCACACCTTGTCCACATCATCAGGAAATGACATTGCTATGATTACCTTTGTCATTAATTCACTGAGACTTAAATCACTGCATGAGTGGTATTTGGGATTTGCTGGACACTGAGCAGTCCTTTAGGACAAGCTGGGGCTGTCCAAAAGGGATGAGCTCCACTTGAACCAAGATGGAACCAGACCAGAGGTGCTCACCTGCTGCTCCTAGAAGCCTCTGAGCCATAGGTAAAGGTAAAGGGACCCCTGACCATTAGGTCCAGTGGCAGACTCTGGGGTTGCAGCGCTCATCTCGCTTTATTGGCCGAGGGAGCCGGCGTCACAGCTTCCAGGTCATGTGGCCAGCATGACTAAGCCGCTTCTGGCGAACCAGAGCAGCACACGGAAATGCCATTTACCTTCCCGCCGGAGCGGTACCTATTTATCTACTTGCACTTTGACGTGCTTTCAAACTGCTAGGTTGGCAGGAGCCATAACAGGGGACATAAACTGGGAATGCAGCTGCTGCAAAACAGATGTTATGTCAGATACGATACCTATCCTGAAAACTGAAAATTCAGCATAGGATGATGACAGGTCATCATGCCCATCATGGGTCAATGACCTGTTTCCCCAGTCTTTATTTAATATTTTAATTAATTGAAATACCCACTTACCGGAAAAGATTAGCATATTAACGGCACACTCCTCTTGCAGTAACTGGAATCAGAATTACGATGGCCTCGGTGCATACTTGCATGTTAAGCAGTTTGGTCTGTGCTGAATTTATCTGGGGATGGAACATGCAAACCATCAAGTGATGTTGCAGCCATCTAGTGATGAAATGCCATGTGTGAACCAGTCCTTTCCTTCCATTCATGTTGCAACAGTATGTTAGTAATTCCAGGAGTGGGGATATGGATATACTTGCTATTTGCTGAGATAGACTGAATAGACTGATTAGACTGCTAATTGTTAAATGTAAGTCATCGTCGTCGTCCCCCCCCCCCCATTTCCCCAGCACGAATAAAATGACACATTTTAGACAGACTGTTCAGGCTCTCTCTTTTGCCAGTATACCCAGCAAACAGTCTTTTGGAAGAAGCTGAGTTTCTGTTGTATGACTCAGGCTTATCTCACTTTTAACCTGTTCCCATAATAACTGTATTTTGGAATATATCTACATGGAGGTGTGGAGAGAAAGCTGCTGTTTTTTCCCCTGCAAGCATTTTTAAATAGCTATCAGCACTTAATATTGTGGATCATTGTACAATTGTGAGGCGATACGTTCTACTGTGGTTGTAGAAAGGCTATTCAACCCAATTTTGGCCTTTCATTTTAGAACAGAAAAGCTGCTTCCATGTGATTGTTCCTGGTAGACAGAATGGCTCTTTGTGACGCAATACGTCAGAAATATGTCATTCTTTGATGCAGACTTGAAGGGGTAGGCTGGAAGAACAGCTTTCATAGGAAATAGGAAAACAGTTTTGTTTATACAAGGAGCTATGCAATCACTCTGGGGCTTCAAGAACTGTAATGATGATGATAATCTACATAGTGTTCTATTATTCACTTTTGAATAATACTACTATACATTTTTGAGAGAGAAGTTACCATTACTGCTCACAATAGATACTAGTCTAAACCTGTGTGTGTTAAGTGGAATATAAATTGAGTGGTTAATGTGTATCACAGCCAGCCATTGTGCACATTCACCAGGCCTCATGGAGAACATACACATAATCCTTCAATGAAGAGGGAACTGTGTACATAAACTTGCCTTTGGGCAAAGTACCGTATTTTTTGCTCTATAAGACTCACTTTTTCCCTCCTAAAAAGTAAGGGGAAATGTGTGTGTGTCTTATGGAGCGAATGCAGGCTGCACAGCTATCCCAGAAGCCAGAACAGCAAGAGGGATCGCTGCTTTCGCTGTGCAGCGATCCCTCTTGTTGTTCTGGCTTCTGAGATTCAGAATTTTTTTCTCTTGTTTTCCTCCTCCAAAAACTAGGTGCGTCTTATGGTCTTGTGCGTCTTATAGAGCGAAAAATACGGTACACATCTCAGCTGAATTTTGTATATTATCTGGCCCTTATAGATAATTCCCAACAGGCCTTGGGGAACATGCATATCCTGTTTTGTACACTCTGTGCACATACTCCAGTCAGTCTGCAGTGTCTCCAATAAACGTGCAGTGCAGTCACGCCACGATGGGTTAGAATTTTGTTAATTCACCCAAACAATATTAAACTTTAGATGCATTATTCATCTTGCAAAGACTCATCTTGCTATCCCCCTATAACTGTCTTCCCTCTCAGTCTGCATTGACCATTCCACCTGGTCATTAATTTTGGAAGAGGTTATCCCTGAATTATCTTTCCTCTCTTTGTCCTTTACATTCATTGTGTTGGTCATATAGGAATTACACTCAACTCATTTCTCTTCTTCTGTATCTCAGGAAACATGTCTTTGCAGCCAGTACAGTGGGCCCTCTAGTTACGTACCACTCTGGATACGTAACTTTCAGGTTATGAACGTGGCAAACCCGGAAGTGTATACTTACAGGTTTCGCCGCGCACGCATGCACAGAAGCGCTCGATCACACCACATGTATGTGCAGAAGCGGTGCCTCTGCCTACAGACTTTTTGGGTTGTGGATGGACCCTTGGAACAAATTTAATTCGTATCCGGAGGGTCCACTGTACCTGTTTAACCTTTTTTTGCAGTGGTTCCCTATTTGTCAAATGTTCTCCCCAGAGACTCGCCTGAAGCCTTCCTGATCTTTAAACACCAGGCAAAAATTATTCAACCAGGCCTTGAGCTGATTAACAGTCTATGTCCTTTTAAATGGGGGGGTATTGTTGTATTCTTGTTTTTATTATGTATTTTGTGTTTTTATTTTGTATTTTTATACTGTGAACCTAATATTGAAACATGGTGGCTGAACCATGTCACCTTGCAGCCCTGTCACCACAGCTAAGTAAGTCCACCAGGACCCACTGATAGAGGGTGGAATCCATGTTCCCCGGGGCCCTCTCAAACCTGGTGCCAGCTCTGAGTGGACTGTATCTACTATTTTAATGACTAATCGCCTGGTTTGGAGCTACCCTTGATTCCTTTTGCTCTTACCTGCCTGAAGGATTTGGTCTCATCACACAGTTCACTACCTGCTCCGGATCATTTATGAACAAGTTACAGGGGACTCCACTTCTTACATCCATCCATCGTGACAGCTGTCCATTTATGCCTACTCTCTGCTTCCTGTTCTTCAAGCAAGCTATAAGGGTACAAAGGCATACCTCTTCTAATTCTATCACTGCTCCATTTACTGTGGGAGAGAGGCTTGTTATATTTATTATTATTCATCAATCCATTCACTCAATGCATTTATACTTCCACTCTTCAGCTGAAAAAGATCCCAAAGCAGCTTCTATCAACAAAAATAATGCAAGCCTTCAATTGAAAAGGCAAAACACAAAAGGAAAGTGGGATGGGTAGGGAAGAGGAAACCAAGCAAACTCATGCACCTCTTTCATGGTTGCAAGGTGGTCGTGATGATTTCTACTATTTGATATATTGCTATTTATTTCTCAGGCTAACTGTTAGGATTCAGCATTGCTCAGACTGATAACCTGAGGTCTCCTCAAATAAGGAGCAAGGGCAGCTGGAACCTCCAGCAGATCTCCATACTACCAATGAACCTGAGGAGCTACCCCTGCCCCAGGACTGGAGGTCCTTACCCAGCTGCCTGGGTTCCTAGTCAGTTCTCCAACACCCAAGAAGACCACCGGAACAGGAGCGCAAGCCAGGGAGGATCTTCAGAGTCACTGCCAAAGCACCTGGCTATCTGCCTGGGAAGAGGACATGCACAAGCACTTTTTGTGGATCAGGGCCTGAGAACTTCGTTGCTTAACTAACAGCTCTTATGACAGCTCCAATCTTCCTGATGTCAGGATGCAGACAATGCCCCAGAAAACGTCATTTGTTTGGTTAAAAGGAGAAATATTTTAGGTATAATGAGAAGGAGAATTTCCTGGACGCCAAGATCCAGGTTCGGGGCAAGTACTTTTAGGTGAGAGCCCCAGCAGAGATTTAAAATCACAATATATGCAGCATAGTAAATTGTGGAAATATAGGCAGTTAGTACTTTAAAATATCCCCTTCTAAGTTGCTTCCAAAATTCCCCACTTTCCATAGCACAGAAAGAGACCACACGTTTGGGAAGTTAAAAACTGTTTACTTACAAACTCCTCAGAGGTCAGATTCATGTGCTTTTCCATACAGCAGCAAAAAAAAGACAGGCAGTTTAACTTGGGTTAAAAAATGCCAAGTTTCTAAATTATTTGTATAGAATCACAAAAATAGCTTGTTTAAGCCGCGCATCCAGCTTAGACCTCCTTACTAGTAGGGTTCAAGTGAGAGAACAAAGAGTTTGGGAGCCCTTCCTCCCAAGGTGAGGGGCAGTGTCCTAGGTAAGCCTGACAGGACAGCTTACTCTATGGTCTTAACCTCTTTGTGCATTCATTAGAGTTATACATGTTGGTTATATGAGGCTGATTTATCCCACAAAACAGTGGTATTAACAAACTGTAAACAGCAATAAACCAAGATGAGAGCTATCACTTTATTCCAATAATGTTTTACAAATTTTCTTGGAACTGCTGGTACATTTTCTTCACGTCTTACACTACAAAAATCTTAACAATTGTTTTCCTCATTCAGAAAAAAAAACTGCCAAAACTTGCTCCAAGAATTAGGCAGACTACATAGTGATAAATCTTTGATGGCATAAACAATAAATGGAGCATAAACAATAAATGGATACCATGTTGTCATGAATAAATCATTTCCCCCCCAATCCCTTGCCTAATTTGATGTGCAGGTTCTTCAGCTAAAATAATGTTCCTTGCTCATTCTATCTACTGTTTAGTGGAAAGTTCCTCCCCATCTTTCCAATGCTTATTCACCTCCATCCTAATACGTTCTTTGTGAAGTAGCTCCTTATTAATAGTGATAACAAGGCTGGGCTCTCAACTTGAGCCCTATCATTTGTCCAGTTCTTTCTGCAATACAGCGGTACCTCCGGTTACAAACGTAATTCATTCCAGAGGTCCGTTCTTAAGCTGAAACCGTTCTTAACATGAGGTGCGCTTTCGCTAATGGGGCCTCTGCCGGCGCACAACTTCCGCTCGCACCCCAGGGCAAAGTTCACAACAAGGGGCATCTACTTCCGGGTTAGCGGAGCTTGTTACCCAAAGAATTTGTAAGGAGGACGGTACGTAATCCGAGGTTCCACTGTAGTCAAAAATAACCCTACCAATAGTCTTCCACACCAGGACAGTGTTACTGCATGTAGGCCAAACTCCCTCTGCCTCTGCATCCTCTTCAGGGATTTGGAGATAGAGAACTATATAATAGCTTTATTTATTTATTTATTTAAAATATTTATTATACTGCTGTATCATAAAGATATACCACAGCTGTTTACAACAGTATAAAAATATGAAACCAAGCGATAAAATCATAAAAAGTTAAAAACACGTAGGTAGCCATCAAAAGAGCCATTTATCTTTCATTACTTTTTAAGAATAAGCAAAAAAAAATCCCTTAGTCTTACCACAACGAATTGCAAGAGCTTCATTCTTATACGTAAAGGTTAGAACATTCCTCTAACACATGTTTCAGGCCTAACTGTGTTTGAGAGAAGGACTGCATCGTCCACATACACAAGTCTGGAGGCATTCTGGCTTCTGCAAATTTTCAGTTTATGACGTTCTGGAGAGTTAAATCAGGGAACAAGGGGAGCTAGACTACAACACTAATTCCTCTCGCAGTTGCAACAGAATTTGACAGAGGACCTCCTACACAACATCTGATTTCCATTCTACTTTCCAACTGTAATTGTTCCGTGAGATAAAACAGACTTTTATCAATTGATGCACTCTTTTGGTTGTTCTGCAACCATCCCCTAGGTGAGTGGTTTTCAACCAGTGCGCCGTGGCACCCTGGGGCGTCTTGAATGGTGGTCAGGCACGCCGTGGGCAACACTGGCCTCTGTCCCTCTTTCCTTCCTTCCCTCCTCTGATGCCCTCTCGTGTCTCTGCCTCCCAAAGGCTTGCACAGCTGTTTTTTTGTAGCGGCCCAGGCTACAAGTTCTCCAGGTGAAAGCAGCCTCTGGGGCTGGCCAGGAGAGCTGAGAACTGGTTGCCGAGAGCCAAGGTGGCCTCAGGGTAAGTAAACAAGCGGGCAAAGATTCTTGAGGAAAGGGGAGAGGAGGCTGAGGGAACCCTCCACAAGGAAGGGTCTCTGCAAAAGAGGTGAGGGGTGGGCAGCTCGGCAGGCAAGGGGAGCTCCTGAGACTCAGAGCACGTTTCCCTCCAGGGGAGCCGCAGAAAGAACGCAGTTGGTCAGGGGAGCTGTGGACTCAAAAAGGTTGACAACTTCTGCCTTGGGTTATCAAATCAAAGGCAGATTTGAGACCTACCATCACTATTATCATGATCAATTTATTAATCACTAATAGGGATGCGGGTGGCGCTGTAGTCTAAACCACTGAGCCTCTTGAGCTTGCAGATCAGAAGGCCGGCGGTTCGAATCCCTGCGACTGGGTGAGCTCCAGTCGCTCTGTCCCAGCTCCTGCCAACCTAAGAGTTTGAAAGCACACCAGTGCAAGTAGATAAACAGGTACCACTGTGGCGGGAAGGTAAACGGAATTTCCGTGCACTCTGGTTTCCATCACGGTGTTTCGTTGTGGCAGAAGTGGTTTAGTCATGCTGGCCACATGACCCAGAAAGCTGTCTGTGGATAAACACCGTCTCCCTCGGCCTGAAAGCGAGATGAGCACCGCAACCTCAGTCACCTTTGACTTTACTTAACCATCCAAAGGTCCTTTACCTTTTACCTATTAATCACAACAGCTAGTAGTCATCAGAGTTAAGATGTGGGAATTCAAAACTTTCCAGCCTGTGGGTTGCATCCAACACGGCATGCACTAATTTCCACTCACACAATGAAGTTTCCTCTTCTCTCCTTTTACACCCTCAAAATCTTCCCCAGGTGATGTTCCAGCCCTCTGGAGCTGATTTTGAGGCTGCAAGGGAGAGAAGGGATGGGGAAAGTCTCACTTTGCAAGCCGAAGTCTCCTGAGATAGCAGAACAGCAGAGCTGGATATGACCCTCTGCCAGCATACATTAGAGCGAGAGAGTACGATTAAGCTTTGGCACAGGTAGGGCAGGACACCTGTGCCACGTCCTCACGTAACATCAGAGATTTCACTGGCTTGTGGGCAAAATTGTAGGAATGGGGTATTGCCTAGTAGCTCTGTTCTGGGAAACTGCTAATATACTAAAGGAGTACAATGAATGTACTCCTCAATGGCTACTATTACCTATAATTGTGGGTCCTAAGACTGACATTAAATTTAATGAATTGCACATCTTTCTCAATGCTGCGGCCCATCCATCAACTGCCCAAATATGGAAAACCTCAACAGACTTGGACATTAACATTATGACATAGAAATATGTCGAAAACAGCAACTCTGGGCAAGATAACCCACCAAGTGAGAACACTAAAAGGACTAAAGACACCTGATGCATTTTATGCCACAAGGCAAAGGTTTGTTCCTTAAACAAATCAAGGAGGGGTGGACCTTTCTCCAGTTTGCCTCCACATATGGGCTTCTAGACACAGAAATCTGGAAGTCTCCTTACTTTGTTGTTGATGGTAACTAACTCCCTATATAGCACACAAAACATTTTGAACATTAATATGTGAAAATTTGGTATACATCCTGTGTTTTCTTTTGCTTGTACACCTGGTCCCTGCTTCATGCTTCTTATGTTTTGCTATAGTTTATCTATATATAAAAGCAATAAAAATATTTTTTCCAATAAAAAATGGAATCCAGTTGCTGTGCATCTGTGATATCATTTTCCTTTCCCTCTCCCCATTCATCTCAAACTATTTCCATTTATCTCCTGTGATTTGCTTTCCCCACCTCCTTTCATACCTAACTTCTACCTGAACTGCAAACTGAAGGCTGAAGTTTGGGATGTGAGAATCCTGCCTAGTAACGGCAAGCTTCTATTGTCCCAGACTGGCCAGAAGTACTGCCTAGCAACAGTAGCCCCAACAAGTCCATTGATTAACACTGGCCAACAAAGTGCCTTTTAAATAAAAATTACAAACACAACTCATGGGCACGAGTACAACCAACTGACCTAAAACAATGACCCATTTCCCCAAAATGCATTGGATTGTATCCAATGTTAAACCTACTCAAAGCAGACCCACCAAAATTAATGACATGACTAACTTAGGTTCCTTTAATTTCCATACATCTACTCTTGAGCAGAACCTAGCTAGATACACCCCAAAATAATTGGGTAAATCCTTCTGGAAAATCCACCCCAGCAAAGTCTATGGAAGAAAAATGCACAATACATGTCATTTAACTAATTCAAAATAACCCATTTCCTCTCTTTTCTACCCCAAGTTCGGCAGAAACCACCTTCATACTTACTGCTTCCACACTGCTGATCTGTTGAACCATCTTCGAACTACCTGACTCCCCTCCTGATTTCTCACTGTAATGGTGGGATGCAATTCAGTTGACTTCACTTAACCATGACTATGGCCCTATAATAAATAGGACCATAAAATAAACATTTCCTATTATTTAATATAATTTTATAATATGTTATATTTTATACTGTTACCAAATAAGTGTTTTCTATTGGGTATAAAGACAACTGTTGGGACTGGAGAAAAGCTCTTCTGAAACAGCTTAGGCTGCTGACTTTCTCTGGCCTTGGGCTGTTTGACAAAACCTCTCATGGTAAGATGATGTCCTGTGTGCTGTTGCTTTTATTGCAGTGAACATAAGAAGCTCAGCTTCTGTGAGAGCTTTGAGCTGATGACAGCATGCAGTTCCCTGGAGAGATCTTTAATCTTCCCTAGCAACTGCCTTTGAGAAAGCAGCACTCGGGTTCTTCACTCGCTTTATCCTTAAAGTATGTTTGGCTCTGCCTTGAGTGCTTTGCTGAGCACATGCATGGGTGCTCAATTCATTCACAGAAGCACCAAAGAAAGGGTGAAACGAACTGCTTCGGGCTTTGTCTGCAGTGAGTGTTTTTGGCAAATCTTCCTCATTGTGCTAGTGCTGAAAAATAGCTTCTCTGATGGAAGCAGCAGTTTAGATGTCATACCTTTGTGTGGACCACTTAATCTGGATCTACTCCAGCACCACTTTTCTGCGGAGGAAATGCAGTGTGCAGACTTGGGGGTGGCGGTGGGGACAGAACACACAATTCCCCTGTCAGCAGTGTGTATTTTGTAAACAAGGGCTCTGGTTTCTGTCTGACCTTTATATTTAATTCTTACTTCACAACAGTGGTGCAACCTAATTTATTGGAGCCACCCCCCCCAAGACATTTTGCTGCCTGAGCGGCTACGCTGCACCATCTGATGACTAGAAGACCCCAGGATATCTTGCAACGTCACAGATGGTGCTAACATGAATCTCTTGGATCTCAAATGGGGACATCTGTAAAATTCTGAGGCAGGATATTTTAAAAAGTGGTCCCAGCATCTTCCTGCAAGGATCCCACCACCCTCTTTCACCCCTGTGCATTTTTTGAGTCCATTGTTCACACTTTATTTATTTACGTGCTGCCTACTTGCCAAAGTGGCTTCTAAGCAGTTGTCCGCTGAATCAGGCAGCGACCCAGATACTTGACTGTCCCGTCTGAGAAAAAGCAATGAATCCAATATACAGACAACCAGTTCACAGAGGGTGCCTCCAACTTGCCTTTGAGTTGCTCTTCTGAAAAAGGAGTATTATCATGATAGAAACAAGAACAATTCCCTGTGTTTTAAGATTCTTCGAAGTGGCCCTCTACGTTGACAACAGAAAGGAGGATGACAATGTAAGAAGGGAAGAACAAGAGAGATGGGAGGAGCAAGATTCCTCTGCGAATTCCACCCAAAAAAAGGAGTTCTCAACCCCCTTTCATTTCTTGTGGGAACAGGGAAACTGTCTGGGTCAAGGTGCTATTCCAATTACAGGCCTCCAAGTCAGCCCAAGGCTTAAGCAGATCATTCCAGAGGAAGGATAATAAATGCTTACTCTGAAAAGAATCATAAGCATTGGATGTGCAGGAAATCCCACCCATTCATCAGAATCAATTTGTCAGAGTTCCCCACCCTGATTGTTCAAGCCACAGGAACAAGCGAGGACAACAGCTTGGGCAGGACTGCCATCTTCAGTGAAGTAAACATATCCAAGAGGAAGAGGTTGAGTTTGGACCATGACTTAGTGTCTTTTTCAATTTTCCTTTAAAAATGGGTGGGGGCAGGGCAATTCAGGATAAAGGTCCACACACCCACCCTAATTTTTCTACATTGACATCCCAGTAATTGAGAAATTTAAAGAACAGATAGATACAGATGTTAGGGGATTATATTGATTACGATTCGGATTTAGAGAAATTGTTATTATGACCACCCAGTGTTCCAACCTGATATAAGGTGTGCATAATCCTGAGGGGCCACTTTGAAGGACCTGGCGCCAGGGCAGACTGGAGAGGCGATCCTGAGTCCCCCAGCCATCTCTTAATCATTGGGCCAGGGTTTCAAGGAAAGAAGAAATAAGGGGAGGGGCGAGGGGAGAGGGCAACCTCATCTGGTACCCCTACACAAAGTTATTGCTTCATAATCTGCGTCATTCATGAAGACTATAGTCTGTCAAGATGTACAGTTTGTCAGTAACCTGTTCCGATTTAAGCAGCTTCTTGCTGAACCCAGTTATAATAATGCGAGCAAGAAAGCAGACATTTAATCATGTTTGAAGAACTGATAATGAACATCACACAAAACCCCAGGGGTTTGTCTCTGAAAGTTATAGAATACAGTATGGTTGAAAGAGAATCAAAAGATTGTGACAGCAAACAGGATTATCTGGGTGAGCTTGGGAATTGCTGGATCAGATGAGCAGGTGGGGAAAATAGATTCATAGATGTAGATCATACATGTGGGGTAATTAATAAAAGAATTGTCTGGATCCCTAGATCTAAAGCATGGGGCTAAACATGCTCTCCAGCAACAGACAGCCCCCAGCAGAGATTTAAAAGTCACAAGCAGCAGCATATTGTGGGAATATAGGCTGTTAAACCTTTTAAACTTCTTGTTCTGAGTCGCTACCAGAGCTTCCCCATTTCTACCCCTCTTAGCACTGAACAGACCACACACCTTGGGAAGTTTTAAAATGCTTTACTTACAAAGTTCCAAAAGTCAGGTTCATGCATTTATCCATGCAGCAGCATATAAACACAGGCAAAAATATTGGGGTACAAAATATAGTGAAACAGCTCTAAGCACATGGTCTGAACTAATAGCGGGCAAGTTCAGGCTCAGGCACAAACTTTATCTGAGAGTTCACATGGTGAAAGAGAATGACCAAAGCAGGAAATTTAACTCCCTTCCTTCTAGGTGAGGGGCATGACCTAGCTGTGTCTAGCAATACAACTCTGTGGTCTTAATTGCTTTTTGCATTAACTAGCATTACACATGCTATAGCTACATGAGACAGCAATTTCCCACAGAACTGTGTTTGAAACTATGGAACAAGAAGCTGGAGAAGTCACAGAGAAGACTCTATCAAAGGTGACACCTCACATGTTTTAATGCTGTCAAACATTATGGGCAAGTACATATACAATCACCTAATTTAAGTCGGGCTGCTGACAAGAAGCCCCCAGAGTCTCACAGAGTTGTGGAGAATCGTGGGGATCAGGAATGGGGTGACCCGTTTCTGAAATACAATGTCTGGCTCTTTGTTACTTGGACTATTGTGGCTTTTTGGGGGAGGCAGTGTGTGTCCAGTACAGTTTAGGCCTTTAAAGAAGACCATCAGCATTTTGAACTGGGCCCACAAACTGGTGACCAAGGCAGTTCTGTATCATAGTCTCTGGATGGCAACCACCAACAGCTTTAGTGCTGAATTCTGAACACTTTTCAGAGATCAGATAAACTGCATGGCAGTAATATGACCTTAAGGTTACCAAAGTGACCCAGTTTACCTTCAGCTACTTTCTCACAGAAATATCAGTATGCTGTAACCTCAGCTCAAGTATTAACAGCAGGAGAGCTTTATAATTAAAAGCTTCACTCATGCTCAAAACATAACCATCTTAAGCCTGAGTGTGTTTTCATGCGGCTTAGGAAACTCCTCTCATATTTTGCGTGTGTGTGTGTGTGTGTGTGTGTGTGTGAGAGAGAGAGAGAGAGAGAGAGAGAGAGAGAGAGAGAGAAAGGTCTGAAATCTTCGAATATTTGAGTTTGGACAGGAAAATAAATTTAGACTGTGAACTAGTTTGCTTTATATTTTCATTAGGGGCTGTTTTACATTTGCAGTAGAAGGAGAAAAACTGAAAGCCCTAGAGGATTTGTCCAGTAACAACTTACCTCTGCCTTTGGCAGAGTCACAATTCCTGGACGGCCAGGACAACACCAGCTTTGGTGAAGATGCAAGGGCCACCCTATGTTTCTCTACTCTATCTTTCTGTTGAGGTGTATCTGTGCTTTGTTGGTTTTCTGCAACCGCCCACAAGACCTTGGTCAATGGGTGGTCTATAAACAGCAGAAACAAAAATATTAAAGCTGATTTAACTCTCAAATGTGAAAATATTGCTAGCAGTGCAATTATTTGAATGATTCTCCCTTTCTTGTTCCAACAGGCTTTGGGGAATTGATGGCTTTTAATGAAAGGGCTGGTGCTGTGCTGTTTTTGCTGTGATTATCTGTATGGTTTTAATGTATTTTGATCTATCTACATAATATATACTTTTAATTCTGACAATGTTTAATTGTTTTTTAATTGTTGTTGTTTTTTCTTTGTTTTTAGCTCTTCTTTTATCTATCAGCTGCCTGGAGTCCCTGTCAGGGAAAAAGGTGGGGTATAAATATATAAATATATATATATTACTACTACTATGACGACATTTCCTTTTACGGTATAATGCATCTAGTTGCGAGCCCATTCCTTGTCTTACCCCTGTTACATTTCCTCATTGTTGCTTGGGCTTAATTTGTGTCAGGGCTCAGCATGGATTTTCAGTATCAGCGCTCAGCCCTATAAAAAACAAAGTAAGTAAAAAGAAAAGGGGTGGTAATCAAGGCTGCAACATTTAATTAATTAATGATTTAGAGTAATCATTTTTAAAAAAATCATTGACTCAAAAAGTGTCCCTGTTAAGGGAAATATAGATTTTGCAACACAACTATATATATAAAAACTGCAGGTGGCATATACTATCACAAAAGAGGCATTCTCATTCTACTCTCACACAGAAGGAATGCCTCATAAGAAGACACATGCAGGCATCATCTAAAAACAAAGAGAACATGCTTCTTGGTTCAAAATTGTTTTGACCATATGTATAGTTAGGTGACAAGGGGCGCAGGTGGCGCTGTAGGTTAAACCACAGAGCCTAGGACTTGTCGATCAGAAGGTTGGCAGTTCGAATCCCCGTGACGGGGTGAGCTCCCGTTGCTCGGTCCCTGCTCCTGCCACCCTAGCAGTTTGAAAGCACGTCAAAGTGCAAGTAGATAAATAGGTACCGCTCCGGCGGGAAGGTAAACGGCGTTTCCGTGCGCTGCTCTGGTTCACCAGAAGCGGCTTAGTCATGCTGCCCACATGACCCGGAAGCTGTACGCCGGCTCCCTTGGCCAGTAAAGTGAGACGAGCGCCACAACCCCAGAGTCGATCACGACTGGACCTAATCGTCAGGGGTCCCCTTTACCTTTATATTTAGGTGACAGCTCAATTACAATGTCTTTAATCAGACTGCAGTAATAGGCTTAATGAGAGAAAGTGCAGTTGAAGCCTGCTCCATGTGCCTTCATCCCCAAGACTCCTCACTGCCCTATTCTCTGTAGTTTCAGGATTCAGGGCATTATTGCCAGTCAGTGTTCATACAGTAACGTGGACCACCTGTTTGCTTTTCTCTCCCATCAACTGGGCACTGATTTATCCTCCAGAAGTCATGTTTGCTTCGTAGGATAAAGTCAACTTACAGAACACACACATACACACCTGCAACAGTCCCTATCTGTGGTTTGTTTATGTTTTCTCTTGTGCAAAGCCCAATTACTTCCCTGATCCGATTACATTTTTAACAGTGGGCCTGTGCTGATCAGTCGGACAATGAAAGAAGGCTTTCTGTAGACAAGACTGGGGTTTCTCAAGATTTAACAGTTACCCAGGTATGAAGAAAAAAATTAACTGTAAGAGAGAGAGCGTCCACCAACCAAGGGCTGCAAATGTGCAAAGACTTTCCAGCTAGAAACTTGGCGGGGACGGGGGACCTGACGAAAGCTACATGGGGCAGAATTTGGCCGGGGAGGGAGGTTATCCAGTTTTCTGAACCAGATTCAGAAAAAAAAACACAAACAAGGGAGAGTATTTGCACAAGAGCAATTTTTTTTATTTTCTTCCTGCCCTCCATTAAAAAGGAATTTTCTTAGCATGGAAAAGGAGGAGATATACCCCCTAACTCTCCAAAACAGTATAGTTAGAGGAAGTTAACCACAGAGAAAGAGAAAACATTATTCAGAAGGGGTCTTGCAGAGCGACTGGCTATGCTGAAAACAGAAACCTCCTTATAAAGCACTAAAGTTCTGAGCCAATCACAGGGGGATTTCCTGTTCTTCCTCCTCCACCAATGTTGTATGATGGGTTGGCACCCAAGTTAGGCACTCACACCTACTTAATGCCCAGGCGGCGTGGGGGTGTTTGAACTGCCCCGCCCCCCTGCACAGGACTGCTCAAGGTTAGGCCACCCCACCCTTATTGCAGTCCCAGGTCCCTTCGCTCACTCATCACGTTGAAGGAGAACGGCCGCCTCCCACATGACTACTCCTAGCCCTCCAACTTGCCTTTCATTCAGAGTGTGGCTGGCAATCAGCGACAGAAGTTGTGGGGAATGGTCTCTCTTCTGGGCCTGCAGGAAAAACAGCTGAAGATTAATCCCCACACACCAAGGAACCTTCCAGCCATGGCACCCCTGGGGAGGAAATGCAGGCTTTTACTGCAGCTACTATGATGTCCAGCAGTAGAGGGCAGCATGGAGTCACTGGCCCCGGAGCCACCAAGGAACAAATGATGGGGGGGGGGAGTGTGTGGTGTGCCCATCTGGAAAATGGCAACAATATTCCATTTGACATGGTGATAAGAAAGAACCACACACACACACACACCCAAAAAACCCACCGCAAAGAATTACAGCTTTTGCTCCACTGGCTCATGGAACTTATCTGGTCATCTGCCTTATCTGTCTAATCAGAAGATTGCTTTTAAATAAATGAAAGAAAAGCCTGCCTGCATCTGCGGAAAGCCTTACACCACGGTGAGGAACTGCATGAGCAAACAGGGGAAGCCACCCATTTGCAACTTTTATCAGCTGCAAGGGGTCTCAAAAGCAAACATCCCTGCTGCAATCTTATGGAATGTAACGAAGATTCCTGTCATGCATATGGACTTATGCATATGCACTGCAGCAACCCCAGTGCAACGGGACCCTACATTTTTAAATGCATACATGTGCATATTTCACTATTAGCATGTTAAAGGTGTATTCACACGTTCTGCTTTTCTCCTCCAGGGCTGTCAGTACCAGGATATGGGAAGACTGTTTGGTTTGCAAAAAGGACCGGAGAAAAACCATTCAGTCACTTACAACAAGTAAACAAGTCCCACCGAACTCGTGAGGACTTACTTTCAAGTAAATACCGCATAGAATGCTGCCCTAGAGCTACAATCCTGTACACACTTACCTGCTAGCAAATCCAATAGAAGTCAGTGGGGCTTACTTCCGAGTAAACACAGGTAGGGTCGGGCTGCAATTCTACGGGTATTTATTAGGGAGCCAATCCCCTGTGACTTCAGGGAAGCTTTCTTCTGCGTGCACGTGCACGGCACATCCTCATGTCCGCCCCCGCGTCTCCACCGATCGCGGATCTGCCGTTCCAGCGCTGCCCCCCGATGCGCCCGAGCAAGTGCCCGGAGGGGCCCGGGGCGCCGACCACTGCCAGGAGGTTGTTTGGTCCCGCTCCAGATGTCTGGACTCGGCGGCTTCGCTGCAAGTCCCTTTCCCTGGGCGAGAGGGCAGCGGCCCCCTCCGGGCAACGAGCGGCGCCCAGCTTCGCGGCTCCGGGCGGAGTCCCCGCCCCGGCAGGGAGATCCCCGTCCGCTCGCCGTTGCGTCAGGCTGGCCCGGGGCAGCCCCGGCGTCTCCGCCCTCCCCCGCCCGCGCGGGGAATCCCTGCTCCGGCTCTCGCCCCGGGGCCAGAGGCTCCGGCTCGGCATTTTCCTCTCCCCGCCCCGGAAAAGCAGCGGCGGCGGCGGAGGCGGCGCCGCCGCGCTATAAATACCTCCCGCCCGCGCTATCTTTGGCTCGCCGGCCGCGCGGCGCTCCCGAAATAGCTCTCCCTTGCGCGCGGGCGGAGCAGCGGCCGGGCGCCCGCCCGCCCACCGCGGGGGCCAAGCCGGAGCGCAGCCTCGGGACCCGCCCGGCGCGCCCCCGGCCCCGCCGCGCGCAACCGGCTCCGCGGGGGCTAAATTTAGCCCGGCCGCTTGCGTCAATCACGCGCCTTCCTCTGCGTCAAGCCTCCTGGGCCCCGCCCCGCCTGGCCGGGAGCCCGCCGCGTCCGGGGCTGGGATTGGGCGCGGGGTCACGAGGGCCGGGGCCGCGCGCTGACGTCCCCGCGCCCATTGGCTCCCGGACGGGGCTCCCTCGGTGGGAGGGGGGGCCGGGGCGAGGGCAGCTCCCTTTCCGTCTCTGCGCTGCGCCGCGCGATCCGGGCGCACCGCGGAGCTGCTTTGCCGGGCGAAGCAGCGGAGAAACAGGTGCGCACGGAAGTGCCCGGGCAGATGGGCGCAGCCCGGTCCTGTGCGAGGTGGCCGGGGGGACAACCCCCACTCACACGTTCAAGCAACGAGGCTTAACCCGCCTAAACAATGGCCGGGGGGGGGGAGTCGCGCAGACCAAGTATTCTCGCGCGCAAAAGGGTTTTCCCAGCGCCTCTCGCCTTCCCCGCCTCGGGTCCACACTCTCTCCCGCAACCTGCAGGAATACTTTCCTGGGAAAGGAAGGCGCGTGTGGACGCGTGTGCCAGGCTCGAGTCTCTTCCGGGATCCCGCCAGGTTTCCTGCTCCTCCGCAGCAGCAGCGGAGCCAGTCTATCCGGGCGGAGCAAAAGGGAAAGTGTCCGTCCTCCTTTCACCTGGCCGGGCATTATGCTCGCTCTCCGCCGTCTCGCTGGCTTCGCGTACAAGTCCGCGCCTCCTTCTCCGCGTTCCTGTCACCGGGACCGGGAGAGTCGGAGAGGCGGCCAGGGCCACGTTGGCCTGAGCAGAAGCAAAGGCAAGGGGCGCGGCGCAAGGAAGACGAACCGCTCAGTCCACCAGCTGGACGTTGCAACAAAGGGGGCCCCAGTGAATATTGTTGGAGCCCGGAAGGTCGCCCAGCAATTAAGGGAGCTCCTCCGAGCTCGTTCTCGCACTGCCACTATCTAGATCTAGACAGCACCCGGCCCTGCATACCTGAAGGAGCGTCCGCACCCCTGTCATTCAGCCCGGACACTGAGGTCCAGCTTCAGGGCCTTGTGGCGGTTCCCTCCATGCCAGAAGTGAAGCTACAGGGAACCAGGCAGAGGGCCTTCTCGGTGGTGGCCCCCTCCCTGTGCAACGCCCTCCCGTCAGATGTCAAAGAGCTAAATGCCTTCACAACTTTTAGAAGAAGGCAGCCTTATGGTGTTTTTAATATTTTGTTGATGTCAGATGGGCAGGTGCAAACAATAAAATTATTATTATTATTATTATACTTGGAAGTGCAATAACGAGCGCTCCCCCCGTGCAAAATATACACATACACACACACCAGGGGATATAAAATATTGGGGGAGCTAGGTAAGCCCCACCCCACAACCACAAGGCGCGCACACATATTTGAATTGCAATGCAGTTCCTTTGAGTGCGGTGTGGCCCTCTCCAATATGACACAAACATACACACCATTTTTTAAAAATCTGTATGTATAATATTTCGGAGCCACAGATCTCGATGGTGCGTCTCTGTGTGTACATACACGAGCTGATCTCGTTCTGGCACTTCCAGCCAGCCATTGTTTTCCACGTCCTCGGACCCCCGAGCGCCGTTGCCCCGCGAAGACGGCTCCGTCTTGGCCCCGAGCCGCGCGCCCCTTCTCGGCCCGCCTCTCTCCTCCTCCTCGGGGCTCCTCTGGCCCGAGAGCCGGGTCGCCCGCACACGTGTGTGCGCGTCCCCACGCCGCGCGGGGGGGGCGGGGCGGGGGTCAGGCGCGTCAGGCTCCCATGGCGTCACGATTGACGTCTCGCATTCCAGCCGCTGTATGAAGAGGCCGCTAGGGCTCCTCTCGCATAAATGACGCGCGGCGCGCAGGGAGAGCGGCGAGAGGGAGAGGTGGCGCGCGCGCTGCGGAGCCCGAGCCGGAGCCGGAGCCGGAGCCGCCTTCGCCGCCGACCGACGCGGACGGGCTGGGAGCGGCTCGCCCCGGCGGCCTTTCCGAGCCCGAGGCGCCTCGCTCCGCCGCCGCCGCGCCCGCGCCCCATGCCTCGGGGCGGCGCATCCCCCGGACCGCCGCTTCGCCCCAGCCGCCGGCTCCCTGCCCGGCCGCCGCGCCTCACCACAGCGCCCACCTGCTGCGGCTTCTCGGGGAACCAGGCGCGGGACGAACTGCATGTAAAGACGGAACCGCCACAGCGCCCCAGTACGTAGGCGAGGCGCGGCGCGGCGCCCCGGCCAGCCCGGCCACTTGCGCAAAGTTTGGGGGCTTCGCTTCTCGCTCGGCGGGGCGCCCGGGAAAGCGGCGGCTCCGGCTGCTTGGCGTTGTCATGGGGATGGCGCGCGGGGGGCTCGGGCGGGCCGGAGGGCGGCGACCTGTCCTGCTCCGGGGCAGCGGAGCTTCCCGGCGGGGGGCGGGCCGGAGGCGCGGGGCGCGGGGCGAGGCGCCGAAAGAGGCAGGCTGGAGTTGCGCGCGGGGAGCGGCGGCACTTTTCGGCCGGCGAGGAAGTGGGTCTCTCCCTTCTCGGCTCGGCTCCGCGGGTCCCGCCTTGGAACCCGGCCGCTTTGGCGATCGTGGGGGAGCAGGCCAGCTCCTGAAGTGAAGCGGAGAGAGCCTTTCTCATCCCGGATCGAGATCTGCCTCGAGGGCAGCCCCGTCCGGACCAGGCATCCTGCACGTGCCCCTGGCTCGAGGCGGTCCATCGGAAGCAGGTTGCTGGGCGGATCCCGCGCTGCGGCGAGGCCAGCGGCAGGCGCCGACCCGGGCTCTCGGGGGGCGAGGCGGACTTGCCCCGGGGCGGAGGCGGGTGTCTTCGCCCGGCCTCTGAGCCCCCTCGTCCGGGGTGCGGCGATGCCCAACCTCTTCTGGGAAGAGCGGGGCGAGGCGGGATGGACGCTGCTCGGGGGCAGGAGGCGGATGCCGGGCGAAGAAGGGGCTTTTCTAATGGACGGTGTCTAACTTGAAAGTAAGGAGGATGGTGGTTTTTGGGGAAGAGTGTCCCGGCAGAGGACTCGCCAGCAGCCCCCCATCGGGGACTCCGGAGGAAGGGTTTCCACAGGTGGGACTGGAGTCGCTTCGCTTTTAGAAAGGCGCGCCGGAGGGATTTAGGCGCGACTTGGATTTCGCGCTCTTGACGGACCGGCTCCTGGTTCTCCTGCCGTGTTCAAGTCCTTTGAGACCCCGTCGGACAGTCATTTGGTGGTCCTCCGGAGGGCGGGGGCTCAGCAAACTCCTGGGATTTTCTTGGCTTCCTCCTTGCGAAGTTTGCTTTCTCCTTGCCGGCCCATCCTCTCCCTGGCCATACCTCTGGCTAACCGGGAAAGAGGGGAGGGGGGTGGCAGCTTGCCAAGGGTGCCAGCCCGTCCCTTGCCCACTTAGGAGCCGGGGGGCGGGCTGGGGGCGACGGCTGAGGGCGCGATGGTCCAGGGTGCTTGGGGGGCGCCAGTACTTCGCGTCCTTGGGGCGCCGCGGGCTTGAGAGTCTCCAGGGGGCCCGGGACTTTGAGGCCAGCAAGGGGGAGAGATGTCGAGCCGGGGCAGCCCAGCCGGCCCCTCCAGCCCTGGTCTTCAGCTGATGGGTGGGCAGCCTGAGCCAAGGAGCTGGGTGGGTCCCCTAATGCGTTTCGGTGCTGAGAAGGTGGAAGCGAAGCTGCCCCGGGGTCGGGGGAGCTTCTGGCGCTGGGATCGGGCCGGCCCTGGCCCGGCTGCTCCCACCCCAAGGCGGCCGGGGGCGGTTCAGGGGGTCCGATGCGACTCCTCCGGGCGCGAGCAGGAAGAGCTGTGCGCCCGGCTGCGCGAAGCTCAGTTTTAACTTGGTTGAAAGTTGGTGCCTTGCGCGCCCAGCGGAAGGGGAAAGGGGAGCCACACGCGGCTCTTCTGGGGAAGGGAGCCCTCCGCCCCCTCGACGGGGTTGCTGGGGCAGAATGGACCTTCTCCGGCCACAGCAGGGAGGCCGCTTAGTGCCCGCGCATGGGCATCCCCGAGGGCACGATGCCGCCCGAGAAGGGCGCCCCTCCTCGAGGAGACGAAGGCGAGCAAAGGTTGCGCCCCTCTCGCCTTCGCCCAGCGGCGGGGGGTGGGAGGTGGCGCTCCGGGGGCGCTTGGCTTTGGCGCCTGGCGTCGGGGAAGCCCCCTGTCGGGACACACGCCCCCTCCCCATGCCGACTCCCCTCGAAGGGCGGGCAGGGGCGCTCTCGGACCCTGGACTTTCCGACACCCGAGGCCAGAAATGGGGTCGGGTGTGGCTCCGTCCAGAGCAGCCTGGGCTGCAAGATCAGGGGAGCCTCGCGGCAGGTTTCGAGCTCGCCTTTCGCCTGAATAAAAGCGCATCGGGTAGAGACGGGGGTGGCCGGGGCTGCCGACTGGCTGTCCCCCTCGAGGGCTCCCCGGACTTGCCTGGACGGCAGGCGCCCGCCTCTCCCCAGACCCCTTCCTCCGCCGACTCCCTTGTCTCCGTCTTGCAGAGTCCAGGTCGGAAGAGCCCTCTCCGGGGAGCCCCCGCCAGCCCGACGCCGACGAGCCAGCGCCGCCCCCGCCAGCCGCCCCCGCCGCCCAGCCCGCTGTCCGCACCATTCGGCCAGCAAGTCACCGTCCAGGTAACGGCGCCCAGCCCGGCCGGGGCCTCCCCGGGAGCCCGCCTCCCGTTTCCAGCGCGGCTCCTCCTTTGCTTTCTTCGGGAAAGCGCCTCTCCCCGGAGCGGGGGCCGCGGGGCGAAGGGGGCTTTCCTGCCCAAGGAATGGATGTTGCTCAGGGCTTCTCGTCTGGGTGCAGTCTTGGTCTGGAGGTGAAAGAGGGCGTTTTCCAAAAGCAAGGAAAGAAAACTTGGAGAGAGGTCTCTGAGCCTCCTCTAATATATACTGTATAGAAAAATTAGATGCGCAGCACACAATTTAAAGTCGAGAGTTTTCTTTGGAGTAGTTTTCAGTCAGAAAGAAGGTAGAACGCTCCTGGCTGCATCTTTTATTGGAAGTTAAGCCTCGCTTTTTTTGCAGTGGCGCTTACTCCCTTAGTAAGTGTTTAGGGTTGCAGCCTGAGTTCTCTTTCTTTGCAAATCCCAGTAGTTAAAATCTGCAAAACATATTTTACTATAAACATGAATGTTAAATCTTAAATAACTGTTTATAGAGCAACTTTCCTTATAATGGGGCAACAGTAAAACTGCCAGAAGATTTGCAAAGCTAAGCAGAGCCTGGTATGTTTTGTAGGATTCCAACTACTTACATTGTAAATTTATTTATGGATTTTAATGGAAAAATTGAAATGAGAGCAAGAAGTTGTTTTACAAATTAAGAAAGAGGAGCTGCTATTTAAATGGGGGAGGCCATTATGATAATTGTGGATTTGTTTGGTTCCTTTACATTTATTTTGAAATAAACAAGAAACCTAAATCTCCTGTCATGCATAATAAATATGCAACATACAGTATGTTCTTCCCTTTTACCAAAAGGTCTCTTTTAGTTCTCAAAAACTGATACTAAAACTTGATGATTTAATGTTTTATTGCATGTGTTTAATCTTTTTCACAGTTTGTTTCATTAAAGTATCAATGAAAATAACAGAAAATAAAATGGTATATTTATTATATTTTATTCAGATTCTTGTATGGGCATTTACAGTGCTATCATAGCATTGTTGCTGGTGTTAAAGCTAGTTTGATTTACCTTCACAATAACAAGCTTCAAATTATAAAAATATCAATATGCAGATCCAACAGCAATAACCATTTATCTCTAGTATATGTTCTTCCTTTCTATACCACTGACAAACATTTTCATTTTTCTCTCTTTCTGTAATGTCTTGATATTTTGATTTCTCCCCTGCCCCCTCCCAGCTTGGGTATTAGGACCTAATTGTTTGGAGCCTATTAGTTCTTCTTTTGCTTCTTGATTGATATATTAAAAATAACTGAAATGTAAGCAGTCAAGGGGTTGGGGAGCTGAATTGTGTCGTTATATCATTGGAAAACTCTGAGTAACTCTGCTCACTTGATCCAGCTGACTGAAAGCCAGTGTTAACTTTTGCACATTATGGGATGTGCAATTCCCACATTCATTCGAGGGGCTGCCACAAATGTGAGGAACTCCTTATGTGGAAAACCTTTCAGGCTGCAACGCTATATCCAGTTACTTTGGAGTAAGTCCCATTGGACTTGTGTATCTTTCATTGCCTGAAACTGAACTGAGAGATAGCACACTAGTCATATGCATGTCTCTTTTTCGCACTCCCTGAACAGAAGTATTTTCCAAGTAGAAAAATTGTTTCATTTTGTCGCATTTCGAAGCATCTCCAAGGCAGAAGGGAGAAAATGTGTTTTAGTTGGACTTGCAATAAAGTAACACAAGGAACAAGTACTGATGAGAAAACTTGGGAGTTCAGCCATTGCTAATGGACCCTTTCCTCTTTGCCCTTGCAGATATGCCCTGCGTGCAGGCCCAGTACAGCCCTTCGCCCCCTGGATCAAGTTATGCAGCTCAGACCTTTACCTATGGCTCGGAGTACAACCCCGAGATCATGAACCCGGACTACACCAAGCTGACCATGGAGATGAGCGGGGCTGAGATCAGTGCCACTGCCACCACCTCTCTGCCCAGCTTCAGCACTTTTATGGAGGGCTATGCTGGGAATTATGAGCTCAAGCCCTCCTGCTTATACCAAATGCAGTCCTCTTCGCCTTCCTCTTCCGCAAGCCAGAGGCCCCTCGTCAAGATGGAAGACAGTCGGATGCATGGCTACCACCCTTCCTTGCCTCCCTCTGCTGATGAAGGCATGGCTGTGAACACCTCCATGTACTTCAAGCAGTCCCCGCCTTCCACGCCCACCACCCCCGGGTTCCCCCCACACCAGGCCCCCTGGGACGAGCCGCCGCCGCCCCCTCTTCCGCCAGCACAGACCTGCATGGCCCCTGGCCACCTGATGAGCGCTGCCCCCATGAAAACGGGGCCTGGCCGCTTCCCACTCTTCCACTTCAAGCATTCGCCGCCCCACACGCCACCTGCCGGCGCCCACATGTGCTACGACGCCACTGCCTTGAGCCTGCCCATGGGATCGGATAGACCCCCCACCGGCCAAGCCGCCATGGAAAACCACCCATACGGGCTCCCGTTGTCCAAGAGAGCAGCCGCCTTAGCCTTCTCGCCGCTGGGTCTCAATGCAGCCGCTTCCAGTCTTCTGGGGGAGAGCAGCGGTAGCAGCAGTGGTCTTCCCTCCCCACCCAGCAGAAGCTCTTCGTCAGGGGAGGGCACTTGCGCCGTGTGCGGGGACAATGCTGCCTGCCAGCACTATGGCGTGCGGACATGCGAGGGCTGCAAAGGCTTCTTCAAGGTAAGAACCGCAATGTGAGCCCTCCGCTCTCCCCTCCCCTCCAGCCAGTAGCGGTGTAATCCAATACACACAGGGCCTGCTATCCCAATGCTCGTTGTGCAAAAATTCACTTATCTGAGCACAAGGATTTAGTACCCAAACCTCATTATACATAATGCAGATTCTGATATTCGAAGCGTCAGACGTGTGTGTGGTGCTGTAAACAGATAAGCAGCCTTAAACAAGTCTCCTTTTTGTGTTTTTCTGGGTTGCGGCACCCATTTCTCCAGAAACCCTGGTTGCAGGAGGGGGAGAGATTTGACAACTAAGAAAACTCCCCCCCCCCTTCCTTGCAAGGATTTAGAGGGGTTTCCCAGGTCTTTTCCTCATTTTGGAGTCAAAATTCTGTGGTCAGGAATGCATTCGAAGTCATGACTCGTTATGCAGATATTCGCCTAGCAATTTCCTGAGAACACATTGTGTTTAGAGAGCAGGACCTGTGTGTATGTGTTTAGGTAAAAGTAAGTCCCATTGTGTTAAGGAGGGTTTAAGGATTGCTATGTGTATTTAGGATTGCAGCCTTATTTGTGAGGAGGCCCCATTGAAAACAATGGTATTTCTAAGTGGATGTGGATTAAAAGCTGCACATTTCAATGGAACAAGTTTGGTTGCTTTCCATGGGCCTTGGTTGCAACCAGTTTTCGCTGAATATTGTATCTGCTCTGAAGCTTTTACATTGTTCATTTATTTATTTTTTTAAAATTGCCCTACCTGATTTTTCTGGGAAAATGCAAGATAGCTAACAAATCAGTAATGGAACAATATGAAAGTAAGATTCAAATAATCCCCAAATTAAAGTCAACCACAGAATCAAAATATCAGAAAATGAAAAGCGCATTTGATGATTCCAAAACAGCCATTGAATAAGTACAAAACTAAGCCGGCAAATAATTTAATTATAAAGCCAGGGGCCTTTTCACCAACCACCTAAAGTGGAATCTCCCCCAGCAGTGTGGACACAACAGCAGAGAAAGCTCACTGACACCAGTCTTTCCTCCCAGTGCGGAGAGATCTGAAGCAAGGCCTCAGGTGGTAGTTGGAGCATGACAGAGAAACAACACGTGGAATTAGGCAGTCCTTACAGTCCTCAGGTCCCAAACTGCTCAGGGCTCTAAAGGTTAACACCAGTGCCCTGCTGAAAGTGACCTATGGAGCAGACTGGCCAACCACAGAGAATGCACCTAATACCTTCACTGTGCAATCCTATTCTTGACTTGAAATTAAGTCCCAGGTGATTTCTAAGACAATATATCTGAAATATATATTTCAGATATATATTGAAAATACACTCTCTCACATAAATGCATTATACAAATATATATCTATATTTTTATTATATACATTTTATATATTTTATTATACACCACCTTTGTTTCGTGTATAATAAAGTATGTTGGCTGACTTGTTCTGCAAATCATGTTCAGCATGTGAGGTGAACGGGTAAAGGATTGCACCTCAGTGTAGGGAAACAGGCAAATACATCTAAGAGTTTTCTCTTCAAATTCACTAAGCTAAGTGGCCTTAAGCTGAGAACACTCCACCTCTCTTAGGCTCAGTTTCAGGGTGAAAACACAGACCTGTATTTTCTAATAGGACGGAGAAGAGACGTGTTCTCGAAACGTTAAATGAATGTGATATATATGAAACAAATTGTGTGTGCTATACACAGTAGTTTCACATATCATGTTTCCGTAAATATGTTGGTTGACTTGTTTTTCAGACTATGTTGTGTATTTGAGGATGTACAAGGTTGCTTTAGCTCTTGATACTGAAACGTCAGCCTGCCCTGTTTCCCCTTGAGGTCAAGGGACACATGTTGCCAGAGAGTTCTCTTCTGCATGTCCATTGAGGGGAAGAGGCGGGTGCAGTGGCGTAGCGTGGGTTGTCAGCACCCGGGGCAAGGCAAGTAATTTGCGCCCCCTAACCCGTGGATTTGCGCCCCCTAACCCTAACCCCCAGATGTTGCGCCCGGTGCGGCCGGCACCCCCCTGCACCCCCCACGCTACGCCACTGGGCGGGTGTAATTTCCTGCTCATTTCAGTAGGACATGCCCAAAGAAATTGGCCGTGCCTTGAGCTCCAAACTTCCTAGAGCCTGCATATCAACTGAAGGGATCAATTGCTTTCCTATTGCCTTTGTTGGAAGCATGTTTTATATTATGGTCACTACTTAGCGATAATATATTTGCAGCATATTTATCAGGCTTTTGCTGTTAAAGCCCTAATTTTGGCCTGCAATAAACCACAGAAATCTTCCCTTAGACAGTTGAAACTTGGTCCCTTTATAGCAAGAATTTCCCACAATGAGTATTTAATGTGCAAGTTATAGTATAGCAAAGTCACCTACCAGGTTTTAAAAATATGCTGTTATATAAAGACAAGCACATAGCAATCCTTTATATGTTTATTCAGACGTCAGTGCTGTCGCATCCAGTGGGGCTTCCTTCCAGGCAGGATTGCAGCCCTCACCGTTTTCCAGCTCTTGGTTAAAGTAATAAGTAATATTATTAGAAGGAAATAAATACCCCTTTTGAAGTTTACTTTAGGTGTCTGAATACATTACAGTATCTGTTTTCCTCACATTTAACAAAACCCAAGTTTAATCTTAATACTTGATGTTTGTGTGTTTTTTATGACCCACCTTGCATTTATGGCTGAAAGTTGCATTAAAAAAAATATCATATTGTATTTTAATGCTGCAACCCACCCTGGGATCTTAGAGTGAAGGGCAGGCAAGAAATAAAAGAATGAAAAAATAGTAAAATAATTCCATGCAAACATTATTTAACCATAGGCAGTTAACTCCTTAAAAAAACCCATATGTATGAGAAAAGGACTTCAGCTTAATGCTTCCATTCAAATAAATTTGACTGAAAAGTACCTAACTTTGGTTGAATCATGCCCCCTATTTTTAAAATTTTGTTGCGAGCCCATGGTAATACTTGTATAATTTAACTTACAGATTTATATATTGTACATTTGCTTCTCTTTGTGTTTTATATATTCTTTGTTTATGGCAATGATGAATTAAACCAGTTATTTTGATATCTAATAATTGAAGTAGTGAGATAAATCTAAACCAGTTATCTTGATAGCAAGAGAGATCAATCTGCAGGTAATTTTGATTCTATTTTAATAAGGTCAGTAATAATCAAGGGAATGAACCAAGTAAAAATTGTTCTCAGAGGGATATTAAAAGCCCAGATAATACATTCCCCAAAGGTATGATGCGATGACCTGGTAATTTCAGATATGATTTTATCATTTAGGAGTTGACTGTCTCCTGAGCCCGGCTTCTGAGCCACCGTCGATTTTCATTGTCAGTAGCTAACACTAATAAAATTGTTTTTCCTGGAGGCTAGTGTGTTAGGAAATTAATTTTATTTAATTATGTGAATTGCACTGTCACTTTTCACACTGTAATTAAAATGCAACTTGTCAGGTCCCAGCTCACTCTTTCTTGCATTGTATCTTCCTAGAGGACAGTTCAGAAAAATGCAAAATATGTTTGCCTGGCTAATAAAAATTGCCCAGTGGATAAGCGCCGTCGAAACAGATGTCAATACTGCCGATTTCAGAAGTGTCTCAGTGTCGGCATGGTAAAAGAAGGTAAGAGTTTGCTATTATTAGCCTGCACATCATACTACAAAACGGCTTGAGTGCAAAAGGAGGGACCCTAAAGGAATTGTAATTTTTAGAAATAATAGTGAATGTCTTTGTTTTTACACGTTGCATAACAGTGACTTTACAACAGATGTTTGGGGGCTCTTATTCCAAATAACATGGATTGTTCGGAGGTTCTTTAGATATGGGAGCAGGAAAGTAGAACTTTTAAAAGGAAGGTTTTCCACACCAATTATTTAGTCTGCTCTCCTTGCTGTTTTACATAGTTCTTGATTCATTGAGTCTTGTCTCCCTCTATTTGAATAGCCCAGTCCTATACATAGCCTAGTTAGAAAAAAGCCCTGCTATGCTGAATGGGGCTTACTGCATTGCACTCTCACCAAATTCATATAAATACTGCCACTTTCCTTTTCTCAAAATTACTAGGTACTTTATAGACATGAAACAAGCAGATAATATCCTTTTTGCTATCATAATTGATAATAGTGTTTCAGGGTTGCAAGCCTTTTTATCCATTAAATATAGAGATTTATTAGTAGAAGTTTTAATAGATTAATGTTGGGGCTAATTTGAAATGGTGAGGTCACATTTTAATCAATGTGATTTGGGTTTTGTTTTTTTAAAATGCTATGTTTAGTTTTGGTGTTTTCCTGTAAAAGGACATTTCCAAGAAAATATGTTTTTTGTTTTGTTGATTAGAAAATAAACTACATCCCCCACACGAAGGAATTGCTGAGAGCACCTTATGACTTAAATGCAACAACAAAATACAAATGAGCAAAACTAAAAAACGGCAGCAGAAGCACAAAGGGTGCTTAAGTCATACTCCAAGAAGACCCAGTGAAATCAGTAGACTGACTTATAAGTTAGTCATGGCTAACTTTAAGGCCACGGACACAGTTGCTGGCAGGCAATATATCCACAGAATCAAAAGCTTTTTTAAAAAAAGTTACCAGTTGTCAGCAGAACCACAAATAAAGAGGCAGAATAACCGAACCCCTTGGGGCAGAGAGTTCCACAGATGGGGCACCACCACAGAAAAAGCCCTTTCATGTGTTCCCACCAAAGGCAATGGCAATTTAATATTTGGCTTTCCTCTATTTATGTGTGGAAGCTATTTTTAACTCCCATCGGTATCTAAAATAATTACACTGAGGGTTGAATATTATGTGTATTATCAGTTGAAAAGCAAATAATTTGTCAGAGCCACTGGCTCGAGTGTCAGACTAGGACCTAGTAGTTCCCTGTCCAACCATTAAGATCCCCGATCTTGGCCAGTCACAATCTCTCGCCATAGCCTACCTTTCAGGGCTGCTGTGAGGAAAAAATGGCAGAGAATCATGTACACCATGTCAGGCTCCTTGGGGGAAAGGAGTAAAATAAAGAAGCTTAATATGCAGGACTTTGTCTTCTCAGAAGTAAGCCCAATTGGGTTCAGTGGCATTTACTCAGGAAGTATGTGGCTGCAGCCCTGTGCACACTTAACTGGGAGTAAGTCTCATTGAAATCAATGGGACTAACTTCTAAGTAGACGTATCAAAAATAGCTCTGTAAAACTGTTTAATTGTTGACAGTCTTGTTTTATCTAAAATCATTAATACAGACTGAGCTGAAGACTTCAAGAGAAGAGAATTGCCATGTAGATCATGTTTTCAGTCAGTTACAAGATGTATTTGTCAATATTATATTTCATTTTATCTTTAGTGCTAATTACAAATGTAAAGGTATTTGTTTTTAGCAGTGCTGTGGTTTATGCATGACAATCAAGCATGTACAAATTTAAATCATGCAAGACTCATAAATTGCCTGTAATCTCCGTCCCCTATAAATGTTACAGAATAGACAGGATAGTGCTCTAGTGAATACTGACTATTGGTACAATAAGTGCTGTTGTTGTTTTACATAATATCCGTTTGTGTAACTGCTGTGAACTGAAAACTGCATGTTTAAGGAAGGGAGATCGATAGACAGCTTTCTTGTCTGTTTTGATTTCCCTCGTATTAATTAGGCAAAAAGCTGACCGTGTAATGTTCACGTGTATCTTGTTGGAATTTGCCTCTGAAGACTGATGGTGTGTGTTTTTTGTTTTCTCTCCTCCTTGATCAGTTGTCCGTACTGACAGTTTGAAAGGGAGAAGAGGCCGACTGCCTTCCAAACCAAAGAGCCCTTTGCAGCCAGAGCTTCCTCAGCCCTCGCCACCTTCTCCTCCAGTCAGTATGATGAATGCTCTTGTGCAAGCGTTATCCGATTCCGCACCCAGAGAGCTTGATTATTCCAGAGTAGGTTTTGTGCTTTTCTATATAGAATTAGCTTTTTTGATGACCAATGGCTTTTAGCAAATATATTTGGCCTGCTGATACATAGGATTCTTTATCAACCGTTGTGTTTTAATGTATGAAATACCGGTAAATACCGGATGCAGGTAGAACAAGTGGGTGGTTTCTGGCCGCAGTAATGGGTGCTTTGTGACTGTATAGCATTTTGCCAGAAGTTGTCTGCTGCAGAATGGTTTCATTTTATTCCTGAAATTGGTCAGGGCTTCATGCATGTTTCTGTAATACAGAGAGTAGAAAGTAACAAAAGGAACCCCATTTAATTTAAATGATTTGTGAATCATAAGTGTGTTTCAGTCCAGTCATTTGCATCTTTACTTGGAAGTAAGTCCCCTTAAATCCAATTAGTAACTGTGGTTAGAACCAAGGAGTAAGAAAGACTGGAATTTTCCTGTGGTTTCTCATGTACACCAGCCAGCACTTTTGGACCCAATCTTCCACCATTTCAAAATTTCCATATACAGTAAGCCTACAGCTTAGGTACATTTAACTTGTGCGCATTCAGCTTTATGCACTTGGCCAAATTTTTTAAAAATTAATTAATAAGAATAAAAATAAAAAAATTAGAAAGGGGGCAAGTGGGCACCCAGGTGAAAAGACTTTGGCAATCGCACCCACATCCAATGTGTTTTGACTATATGTGATTTTGGCTTTAGGCACCACGCCCAGAATTTAACCCCTGTGTAAGTTGTGGGCTTCCTGTATCTTAAGTGAAAGCGAGACTCTGACCTCAGGAATATGCTTTCTTTCTGAAGTGAAAAGCCATCACCTCGAAATGAAAAGATAGCCCACCGCTTGACAAATCCCTAGTCATAAATCTTATCATAATTTTATGCTTTCATTTGGCATGTTTCATTTGGGATGGTTTGCAATCTGGAGCATTAAAGTTGGTTATGTACACAAATAATAGTTAAAGCTGCCTTGGGGGTGGAGATCGTGACCCAGAACCTAAACATGTTTCCCAATTAACTTAATCAGTGGGGCCTACTTCCAAGTAATTTTGGGGGATTGGAGAATAATTTTTTTTGTATTTTACTCACGATGGTTAGTATCCGCTGCTTTTGTGTAGTTCTAATGCATGAGATTTTTTTGGTGGAGCATGTATTTACACAGAAGTAGTTTGAGAGTGAGCACTTAAGATTTCAGCTGGATTTCATGAGTCCTATTGCAGAATGCAACTCTTGTTGAGAAGCGTGTGTAAACATGTTGATTATGTTTTAATTGGCAATATTTTGTTCCCAAATCATATTGCTGACCAGCATTTTAGATTTACCTGGGTACATAAACTTTGAGCAGTCAGCACAGCTTAGCAAAATTTTGTTAAATAAAATTCATTTAATATTAACTATTGATTAGTCTTAACTTTTGGCTAAATATGTTTGCCCAGTTTTTCCACATGCCTTACATAGGGCTGGTTCATCTTTATTAAATACTTTGCAGAATCAATGTGGACACACAACAGTAGTTTCATGACCAGCCAGTATTTTGAGCCAGAGTCATCCTAGATAACTTGAATTGATGATCCTTAGATGCTATACAGTTATGCCTGAATTTATTTTGACTTGCTGCTAATGTTTTAGGGCTGGTATTAGCTTACCCAACCCATAGCAACAGTATATTTAGAAACTGGCTTTCAAAAAGCAGTCACTAGGAGGAAACCCTTTCAAGGCCTCATTCGGGTCTCCCACCTGTTTTTACACTGTTCCAACTCCATTTCAGACATGAGCTGCGTCAAGGCGATAAGAATCTATCCCTAAACCATTTTTTTATTCAGACAAAACTCTTGTTGAGTTCAGTGAGAATTATGCCCCATGCAGTGACTCTGGGAGATCATAAATTAACAAGGAGTGTTTGCCTGGCGCTAAACCCAGGGTTTCAAACCTTGTGTTACCTTCATAACACTAGAGTTAAAATGACAGCATTTGCAGGGGACCAGCGGCAGGAGGGAAAGACTGAGCTCCTTCTCAGCCTGCTCATTCTATCCTGCAAATGCCCCCTGGGCAATATATACCCCCACAGTCAGGCTTGAAAACCAAAAGTGAGTCCCAGCTGGAGGTTTGTTTAGTTAGGTATTTTTATACTGCCCTTTACCGCAACAGTCACAGGACAGTGTGCAGCAAACTGCATTGCACTGAACTGGAACTGGAGGGAAGGCTTGTGACTAAGGACCACAAAATATGATTAACATAACTCAGCCTTTTGGGAGTGAATTCCTTCCTTCCTTTTAAAACAACAAACTTAAAATATACTTTTGGATTATTAAGGATATCAAATCAAGCAAACATAGACAGCTTAAAGTTTCATTAGTAATGTGGCAGATGAGACAGGCACAACCCTCCCAATTTAGTAGGAACTAAATTCAGAAGTTTTACATTTACCCTTCTGATGTTTACATTGGTGACATACTTAACAGACAATATGCTACCTTGGGCCACATTTGTGGTTTTTTTTATTTTCATCAGTTTCTCTCTCTCTCTGATACAGTTGGCAACCTTTTAACTCCCCTTCCTTTTATATACGATTAATAAAATTTCTGCAACACATTTCTACACCAGATATACTCTCAATCAATACACAATCTCCACTAAAGTTTCCGAGCAGCACCTGCCGTTTACTGGAGTGGTTGGTGCATTCAGCCTAAGGGCTTACACCATGGTAGACAGCAGGAGCTGGATGGGCCTCTGAACCCCCAGAATCTTTGGGGATCTGCACTGTTAAGCCTCTTGGCTGGTAATACTCTTTAGGGAGACTAAAAACAAAAAACAACAACTTTGCTGTGTTTCCACATTAAATTGCCTTTAGTTCACAAGAATTCAGTTGTGCTTCTTTCTTTCTCGTGGCACTATTTTTATTGGTTAGGGAGGACAAAAGATATTAGCAGGGCTGCCAGGTTGCAACTTGCAAACCAGAGATCACGCCTTTTACCATTAATGCATTTGAGTTCTTGCCACCCACTCCCTTGCTTCCCAGATCTCATTAGTCACCCTCTTCCCCCCACCCCCCATCTGCTGTAGGGGGCAGGGACTGAGGTTCTGCAAATTGCAGCAGAAAGGCGAAGAGGAGCTATGGGACCTGGGAAGGATGCGGCAAGAGAGTAATCTCTGCCACTGCGCATATGCATTTAGGTTTCAAGTTCAACCTGCAAAGAAGCTGTGCTGATAACAAGTATCACTTTTATCTGCTTAGAAAATAAATATTTTTAGGCAAGCAATTTATTATGGTCACAGGCCAGTGAAATTCAGTAGAAAGAGGCACAACATCTAGTAACAAATACAGCCAGCAAGTTTTTTTAAAATAAAAAAAAAGGCATCATGGTTGGGGGAGAACCTGGCAACCCTCTTGGAGACACAAGAGGATACATACATTTCAGTACGTTTCTTTTGTAGCACCCCCCCTCCCCAGCCACTTAATTTTTTTACACTCTCTAATTACAATACATATCCAGCTGTCATCCTGGCATACAAACTTACAGGTCGTTTATATATTCCCTGCTTAACCGTGGAGTCCTAAAATGGAGGGGGAATGCAAACATGAAGGCCACTTAACCAACTTGTCCAGCAGCAGAACTCCAGCTCCCATCAGCACCAGCCATGGTGGTCATTGGTCAGGGATTGTGGGAGTTGCAGTCCAGTGATTTCTGGAGGGCTTCAGGCTCCCCATCTCTGATTAAGTATTCAAGCCCCTGATTGTAGATCTATCAAATGGGAATGCTAACATGTTTGTCAAGAAATATTATTTGTGAAAAGCTAGCGAAAAGTTGTTTTTTAATCTTTCAGACAAAAATATATTGTCAAGGGGAAATCTGAAGTGGGCCTTTGTCCCTCAATATGGCAGTAATAAGTTGTGCAGCCCTGCTCTTCAAAAATGTTTCAGGTCATTCCAGTTTTCTTTTAACTTCTCTTGACATTCGTACAAAGGTTTCATCTGAGTGGAATCCTCCAGATTTCCCCCTGAATTTCACTTTAGATTAACTTCTCTGGCAACTCTGTTGGTACGCAGTATAGCTTGGCCTCACAGTTGTATATCCTGTAGCTGTAGTAGAACATGCTTTTAAAAGGCAGAGATGAAGAATTAGGAGATAGTGGAAGGTGATGGGAACTGATCTGCAAGTAATTGAAGGAAATGGGCTGTGGGGAATGGTGACATCATTCTTCTAAGTCGGGGTGGCCTTTCTGCGGCTTTCCTTGACGTTCCTGGACTCCTAGCTCCCCTTGGCACTGGCTGCTGCAGTTGGGATCAGGAAAACTTTCCCACAACCCACAAAGTAATTGATCCTACAAATTTAGAGAAGAGAACTTGAGATGGGGTTTTAGGCAAAGCAAAACCCAGGTAACGCACAATGTGCATGCATTTCCACCTCAACATTTTAGCCTTAGTACGCACTTGCTCAAACATCACTTTCACATTGTTATAAAAGAGCACGTCTGATGGCCCTTCTGAGCGATGCGAATGCCAGACTGCCCATGAGGCAAGGTGAGGCGACTGCCTCAGATGGCAGGATCCACAGGGGCGGCAGATCTGGTCTCCAAAGATCAGATCACCCACTACAGCGCCACAGCAGCTGCAGCGTGCTCCTTGGAGGCCAAACCACCCCCCACCCCCCGTTCTTGATGAAGATCTTCACTCCCCTTTTCTTCCCGGGTGAGGAGAGTGCCATTCTGTGGTTTATCTCAGGTGCCAAAATGTCTTGGGGCCAGCCCTGTCAAGTGTTTGATGGAAAAAATCATGTTCTAGATTAGTTTTTTGGAGTACTATACTACCAGTCATTCTGTGGGGTAGATTAGTTTGAGCCAATAGCCCAGAGTCACCCAGTACACTTTATGGGCGAGCAGGGGTGTTAAACCCAGATCTCCCTTGACTTTCCAAATCTCTACTTTTAAGAACTGGAGTTTGCTTTCCCCTTCTCCCTCCCACTCCCTTTTCCTTACACGTTGTATCTTCTGAGATTGTGAGCAGGAGGGCAGGAACTGCCGCGACTGCTCCAGGAGCCTTTTCGGCTAAAGGGCGAGGTACAAATATATAAGTAAATAATACATAAAGTCCACGCCAGCTCTTATAACCATTTTAGTTTCAGAGAGACTGTAATGGCAGCAAAGCGGGCTGATTAAAGGATGCTTTTGATTGATACAACTCTCATGTAAGAGTCAGGAAGCCCAGAGGCATGGTTTAGGAGTTGAGGTGCTTATGAATTGTCATATTTACTGTGTCTGTGTAGAATAAGCATTCAGAGCTACACATATAAAAACAAAGCACACCTGACAATTTGTATAAAATCTGCTTTTGCTTGGCAGAAAAGAGGTTAAGAAGAATACTGTGATATTTCTCAAAAACGTATTTCCCCTTTTCTCTTTTCAAAAATAATTTTCATTCTAGTACTGTTCCACTGAGCAGACTTCTACAGGTACAGATGCAGAACATGTGCAACAATTCTATAATCTTCTCACTGCCTCCATTGACATATCCAGGGTCTGGGCAGAAAAAATCCCAGGATTTACAGACCTCCCAAAGGAAGATCAAACTCTACTCATAGAATCAGCGTTTTTGGAGCTCTTTGTATTGAGAATGTCCATCAGGTAAATCTGAGGTTCATTTTGTCAAGAAGTCATGACTTATTAATATTTTAAAATATAACTGACGTCATTAACTCTGTTGTTTCTAAAACTATAATAGCTGTGCAAGTTGAGCTCTGTCTTTGGGATAGGCAGGATCTCTCGGCTGACATGTGTCAGTCAGACTTGTTTACTTGGTCAAGGGCTTAATTCGCGTGCCAAGTAAATTATGAGTCAAGAAAAGATTCCCCAGGATAATTGGAATTCTTGATCCCTTCTCTGCGTGTGGGTTTTTTTTTTCTTGGCATGACTTTGTAAAAGTTGCTTTGATTGTGCAGAGGTGGGTAAAGGAAAGTTCAGTGCAAACATGATAGATGTGTCCCATAGACATTTACTGCAAGCATGACTGAAGGACTCCCATTAAAACACAAACAAACCCTTCTCCCTACATACGCGCAGGAGAAGGGTTCTTGCATGTTTTTTCAGGGATTTGCAACTCAGCTGAAATGAGATTACTATGTGATCGGCTGTTTTTGTAGACCTGCCCCAAAGATTTAGTCTTGCCAATCCATTTTATTCAGACTTCTTTCCAAGTAAACATGTACTAGTTTGCAAATGATGTGCTGTTAACAATGGCACATACCACTCTAACAACGTTCATAATGTGTGTCTTTTTACATTCAAGATCTGACACTGCTGAAGATAAATTTGTTTTCTGCAATGGACTTGTGCTTCATAGACTTCAGTGCCTTCGTGGATTTGGGGAGTGGCTCGACTCAATTAAAGACTTTTCCTTAAATTTACAGAGCCTCAACCTTGACATCCCAGCCTTAGCATGCTTATCAGCTCTAAGTATGATGACAGGTAAGAGCACTTTCAATTTTAAAAAATCTCTTGAGTTAAAAAAAAACTCTGCAAATATTTTTTAGAGATAATAAGGTGTTTCAGTAAGTGCCCATCCACTTTTACAATATTCTAAAAAGTTATGTCATTCTTAAAAAGGTAAAGGGACCCCTGACCTTTAGGTCCAGTCATGGCAGACTCTGGGGTTGCGGCGCTCATCTCGCTTTATTGGCTGAGGGAGCCAGCGTACAGCTTCCGGGTCATGTGGCCAGCAGGACTAAGCCGCTTCTGGCGAACCAGAGCAGCACACGGAAACACCGTTTACCTTCCCGCCAGAGCGGTACCTATTTATCTACTTGCACTTTGACATGCTTTCAAACTGCTAGGTGGGCAGGAGCAGGGACCGAGCAACAGGAGCTCACCCCGTCGCGGGGATTCGAACCGCCGACCTTCTGATCGGCAAGCCCTAGGCTCTGTGGTTTAACCCACAGCGCCACCCGCATCCCATGTCAATCTTAAATGCTTGCAAAGGCTAGACTGACAAGAGTTGCAATAGTGAATTATTCCTGTTCATAAAGCCCTTACTGCTATGTTTTCCTTGAGATCATTTTCTCTGTGATATTTCACTTGCCAACAAATTGCATTACACGTTCTCAGTCCTGTAAGTTTCTGGCATTATTTATTCGTTAACTGATACTTTTTTGTGTTCAGTCAGAGGCTGCAGTAAATATTTCATTGGAGAAAGGGATTTCTTGCTAAGAATGTGACTTGTGTTCAGTCCTGATCAAAGTTAGTCTGCCTAAATTCCTGTGAAATCAATGATATGTTGGAATAAGTCCTGGATTTCAGCTCTACTGATCTTGGGCCAAATCATGCCACTTTCATTTGGAATTGTGTAGCAGGCAAGAAATGCGTAACACAGCAACACTCCCTGCAGAAGTGTTTTATTGCCCAGCAGGCACCGGTAGGCCATTTCCCATGGCGCATGGCTTGTGGTGAGCCACTCCTCTCTTGGGGGTAGTGCGTTCAAGACAAGCACTCCTAACCCAAATCAGATCATGAGCCCACTACCAGGTCCACCTTGTTTGGATAAAGCTTCAGCCTCTTGTATCCCTTGCAACAGATGAAGCAGAGACCCTTGCTTTCCACTGTCTCCCTAGGGATGCATGGAAGCAATCCTAGCATCAGAATCTTGATGCCTCCTCTGCCCAAATCTCTAAGTGAGATTTTGTCTGCGGCTTCCTATAGAACAAGGGTCCTGCTTCTAGGTCTTACTCTCCAGGAACAAGCAAAGCCCCTAGGTTCCCAAAACCATTTGCAGAAGAATAAACCACAGAGCCTAGGGCTTGCCGATCAGAAGGTTGGCAGTTTGAATCCCCGTAACGGGATGAGCTCCCGTTGCTCGGTCCCTGCTCCTGCCAGCCTAGCAGTTCGAAAGCACGTCAAAGTGCAAGTAGATAAATAGGTACCGCTCCGGCGGGAAGGTAAACGGCGTTTCCGTGCGCTGCTCTGGTTTGCCAGAAGCGGCTTAGTCATGCTGGCCACATGACCCGGAAGCTGTACGCCGGCTCCCTTGGCCAATAAAGCGAGATGACCGCTGCAACCCCAGAGTCATCTGTGACTGGACCTAACAGTCAGGGGTCCCTTTACCTTTACTGTGGTATGAAAAGCTGCTGAGGGGTCCAGGAGAACCAACAGGATGGAAGTTTTCCCCTGGAATGACTCCCAGGGCAAGGGAGGCTGTCCTTTTCTGGCCCGAGGGCTAGGCCACATGGGCTGCTGGCCACCCTTCCATGCCAGCAGTGGGGGTGGCCATTGCAGATGCGCCCATGCGCTTTACATGCAGCCCACACACTTCATGAGACATGCAGCCTCTCAGAACTCTCTCTCTCAGACAACCACTTCTTGGCAGGTCACCTCCAGCCTCATGGGCCACTGGCTTACTGTCCCTGTAAAAGAAAACGTGGTAAAGCGTGTTCTCCATAATAGAGAGCACGTGTTGCGGTGGGGGCCTAAAGGCCACCCCACTGTTGTTGGGCATATTGGCCACATGCTGTGATTGGGCAAGGAGTGTTGCTGGGGAGAATGTTATGTTGCTAAAGTGTGGGAGGGGTCAGAGGTCTTAAATACAGGGCTCGCAACCTGGGGCCTTCTCTTGGGCTGCGTGCACCGGATCACCCGCCCACCCTCCCTGAAAAGGGGGGAGGGTTCATTGTCCTCTGACCTTGCTATGCCTGTCGTGGGATCGTCTGCTTTTGGGGCAGGGGCCTGGTAGGAATTTTGTCCATTTGGCTGATTGGCTGTTGCCATTTGGTTTTTGCCTACTGCATAGCAAATCGTCACAACTTGTAAGGTTGGCGGTTAGGCATTGGTTCAAATTGGTTGGTGGAGGGGTAAGTGCCTACCCCTCCATTGGTGGTGCGGAAAAGGAATTCTGTTAAAGGAATCCAGGGGCTTGCCATCCTTTTCGTCCTAGTCCGTGGAATCGGACTTGGGCCGTGCAAGCCCCAGGGAGCATGAGGGTAAGAGATGAGGGACTGATGTCCAGCTTCATTTCTCCCCAATATGGTTCTCCCTGACTGGCTTCCGCTGGAATCCGGAAGTCCGTCCTGTCTCCCTGACTGGCTTCCGCTGGAATCTGGAAGTCAGTTCTGTCCCTGGGGCAAGGACAGATAGTCGTAACCAGTGCCTAAGCAACCACTCACGTGTGTGTATTTAAATAAAGTTGTGGCCAAATTCATGCCAAAAACCTTAAACAAAAATTGATGTGTGAAGTGTAAGTTATTGGGGTGGCCTGGGGGACCTCAACGTGCCACTTTCTCTTCCAAGGCAATATGGTACAGAGTACCAATTAGCAGGAGAGAGAAAGCAACAGTCAAGGAGGGCTACCTCTCCAGTTGATGGGCTTCCTGGAAGCTTCTCTGGAAAACCTTATAAAGGCTTAGAAGGACCTTCTTATGTTTTCCATATCTGTTACCACCTACCGTTTGTCACAAGTTTGGTGGAAGGTGGAGTATAGTGAAAGCTTTTCTTAAGATTCAGGATTTTCTAATATAGCACTTTACACAACACAATAAAATCATTTTTCCCCAGCCCTGAAATATCTGGCTTGGAGATTGCTTTCTCTCCAGCCCTTTTTACAGGTAAATAAGCTGCAAAAAGTAGAAGATAATCAAAATAGCAAAGCTTGGTTGAGGTGCTTTTCATTTCTTAGAAGAGTGTCTGAATTCCTGATGGAATTCCAGGCCTAGCACTGATGGAGCTCACAGTGGATATTGATCTCCACTTGAATTCACTGAATAAATAATGGTTGCCATAGTTATAGAGTATTCACAACTGGTAGGGAAGCTGGGAGATCTCCAAAACACCTTCTGTGACAGTTCTGCCATCAAATCCTCCAATGAAACTATGGCACTAAAATTATGTATACATCATCTAGATCCCTTTCTCTTCACCTGTGGCCGCATAAACATTTTGGTCTCTTAACTGGAGAAGGCATTTTTTAAAGACATTAGTGGTGTTTTAAAACCAAACTAGTTCATGCCTCTAACTGCCACACCTCACCCTGACATTCACATCTCAGTACTGTAGTTACTATGTAATGTGGTTAGTAATGAGCAGCCTTTTAGTATAAATAAGAGGAGCTGACACATTGATCATAAAACATGGGTGCTCACTTGCGTTCTCTCCTGTTGCTTTGCAGAACGACATGGCTTAAAAGAACCAAAGAAAGTGCATGAGCTATGCAACAAGATCATGAGCAGCTTTAAAGATCACTTGGCCTTCAGCTGCCAAAGCAAAGGACAACTTTTTGAGCCTGTGGAGTCCAAAGTGCTTGGGGTCCTTGCTGACTTGCGCTCCCTCTGCACCCTCGGACTGCAGCGGATCTTTTACCTGAAATTGGAAGATTTGGTGCCGCCTCCTTCCATTATTGACAAACTGTTTCTGGATACCTTACCATTCTGAGGTTCAAATTACCCTCGTGAAGGGCAACTGTCTACCAGAGCAGGCAAAAAAAAAGACTGAAAACTTAATGCTAACAGTGCTGCTCTCATTTAACCGGCGGAAAAAGCAATTCCAGCCCTGAGCGTTGGACTTCGCCTAATGAATTTCCTTGCAAGCTGCCTAAAATGTATCTACAGGTCTGGAGCTAGGAAACTGGAGAGAGGGAGCGTTGAGTGCAGTTTTTGTTTTTAATCACTAATATGGCACTTTTGAACGATGCTACCCCAGCAGGAAAAAATCTATTGCATAGCACCTCATCTTAAGTGGTGAGCAGAAAATTGTAGATGCTGTGTGTTTGAAAATAGTAGTGTTTGAAAACAGTAACAATGGCAAATTGTTCATGCAGGTAGTATGTCTTTTATAGTTTATACCTTTAGCATACTTCCTGTACAAAGGGCACATTAACCTGGCACAAATGAAAAATTCTCTCTCTTTTTTTCTAATGTTGATTCATGTTTCGTATCAATCTGATATAGCAAAATGACAACGGCTGTTAACTCCCATGGTCAAGTGCAATTTTTAAAGTCTTGTTTGTTAATTATAATTTATTTTAATATAAAAAGTAAATGGAAATAGCAAGAGTGGGGGGGCATAGTTTTTACATGCACTAACTTCCATGATAAAGTTTCCGAAACTTTAGATCCATGTAACATGACTTACTAACATGCCAAATTGGGGGGAGGGGTGGAGTGGAGAGGAAAGGCGGGAAGGAGCAATTTGTGATGAGGCCACATTCTTACGAAGTAAGTCACGATGCATAGCACCGAAAGGGTCAGCCCCATGCATAGTTACAGTTTAGAACTGAATTTAGCAAATTGATTAGTAAGGATACAAGACCTTTTGGAAGAAGAACAAGTCTTGTAAAAAATAGTCTGAATGTAAATGCTAGAAAGGTTTTAGTGGGCTGCATTTTAAACATTCCGTGTATGTACTCCCTATTTTGTATGTTTATACTGTTGATGCTATATTAATATGAAACTATTTGTTGCATAGTGTCTTTATTTGTATAAATATTTGCATGCATAATATATTGTAAAACTTCGCCTGTATTTATTGCAATGACTGCCCGCTCCTGGGAGCCGCGTTACACAGATCAACGAAATAGTGCGTTCACACTGATTCAGTTGAGTGTGGGTAGTTCACACACACATATATGTGCGCATTTCTATTAACCAGCTGTATATAAAATTCATCCTTCCACAAGTAAACTTTATCTTACTGTTTTATTTGCAGTGACTTTTAAGGCAGTACAATTTAGCACTTTGATATTAAAAATTTTGCTCATGTTTGGTAACATAAATAATATTTAAATATTTTAGTTCTTTACAAAAAAAGATTATATGCACTGTATTAAGTTAAGATTGGTAATTTTGCTAAAAAGAAGAAGAAAAGAAAACATTTTGAATGTCAGTTTCATGCCCCAGTACCTTTTTTTAGTTAACAGTCTACAGTAATTTTGTATTTTTAAAAAAACCTGTATAGAAATTAAATTATACAATCAAACAGATGCCAAATTAACTGCCTAATAGATGCATTGGACAACCTAGATATCAAGTTATTATCTCACTTTTAAAAAGGCTGGTATTTTATCTTTATATTTGGGTGTGCTTTTGGGGGGAAACATATTATTATTCTCAAGATTGGTAATGGTATCAACAGGGAAAGTTATATTATAAGTTATATTTTCAGTTTTCCTTCAGATATTTTAAAAATTACTGCTTTTTTAGTATTGACTTCATGAGCAAACAGAATAGCATGATTAAATATCCTAGGAAACAGCTTTTTATTGCAGGTAAATTTTACTTGTTGAACTGTAAAGCAATCGTATTTTGATTTTGAATTCATGCACCCAATCAGAAGAGAATTTAAAAGGCATGCTAATGTGTTTGCCACATGTGCAAAATATATAACTCACTAGAGGTAATAAGAACCTCTGACAGTAATTTAATTTTTCACTTTCATTCTCTTTCTGGAGACACACAAACCACAGTTCTCATTTGGCAGTAAATGGCATATGAAGGGTTGCTTTTTTTTATAATAATAGGCAAACAAAGTTTATTAGAAAGAATATGCTTTTGTAGTTGTAAGAATTTTTTTAGTTAATATATTTTCAATATTCAAATAAAATGCAAACATTTTTGAAAGTTTGTGGTACAGAACTAGTTCAAAACACTTCTCAGAATCTCTTCTCCATTCAGTTAATTTCTGAGATGTCCAAATTTCCGGGGCTCAGAGACAGTGATGATAACTCATCATGGCATAATAAATATTCCCACAGTTAAATTTCCTGTGATCACTGTGTTTCAGTTCCATAGTTGTTGTTTTTTTTGGGGGGGGACATAATCTTTGTTACCTATGGATAATTATTTTTTTAAGTTGATCAGTTTGTTCATACAGGATAGTCACTGACAAATCTCAAGAGTGAAAAACGAAACGAAATGCAAAGCCAGTTCTGCTACTCCTTTTCTTAGAAACTTCTCAGTGTGAACATGCCTTGTTTCATATACTAAAATCAGGAATATTACAGCTGTTAATGGAGAGTGCCTTGTTTTTATTTCTATTTCAGATAATAGAGTGCTTCAGAAGTTTTCTGTTCCTCTAACAGCAATGCTTCTGTTTTGTGAATGTGTTAACCTGTAGGGTTGAAAGAAATGCTCTTCTACATATCCAGTGTAAATTAAAATGATTAAATTGAATTAACTTTTCCCCCAGAGGCCCTATTTGTATTGAATTTTGCTGAATTATGATGTGATTTTTTTTATCTCTTAGATCTGCTGTGGTTTAAAACCTGGGAGCAAGCTTAGAACACTGAAAATTTAGCAGGAACTTGGTTTGCGTATCTTGAGAAATAAATCATTGCATTGAAAAGCCGGCCTCTCGATAACCTTACTATTCAGTATAGAGGATATATATGCAGTATGTGGGCTTTCATTTTTTTTATTTTATTTTACTGACTTAGTTTTTTTCTGCTATCATAAGTCCTGCCAGAGAAGTGGGGGAAGCATAAGTACAGTTTGTGTTTTTTAGACCACCAGTTCAACAGTTTAATGTCCATAACGCACACATTATTTTTGTGCATCCATAAGAATGCATGATTTTTGACCAGGATATGAGAAACAGTTGTTTCTACTGATTCCACCACACCCGACCAGCAGAATGTGTGTTGATATAAGCTTTCTCATTATTAATTCATTTATTTAAAGTGAATTAAGAATTAGAAAGCTTATATTAACACACATATTTAAAATCAAAACATGACTGCCAAAAGTATTTAAAAATGTACAGCCCACTTTCCTTTTGAAATGTGCTATGGGGAGCACCTCATGATTGGACTTACTTATTTTGTGCAGTGCTAAAATTGTTTATATGCGAGTAACTTTCCACAGTTCTGTCACATTGGACCTGCCCAAGAATATTCGAATTACTCAGTACTTGTAATAACTAACCTTGGTGGGGGGGATATCACCTGTTTGTGCAAAGGGCTGCAAACCCAAGAAAAAATAAAAAGGACTCTCAGGATGCTATGAAATGAAAGTTGAGCCTTGCTTCTATTCTTAACCCAAGCAAAGACTGGGACATTACTAAAAAAAATATCTCAAACCTCTTCCTTGCCCCAGATACTGGAGTCAGTGGGCCTGAATGTCATTTACATCAGACTGTAGTGACATCGCAAGTGACATACACAAGACTGATGTCAAATGCTAATAATATAATTGACAGTTTGGGATATTTTTCATAGCCCTTAAGCAGTCTTAGATTTTGCATTTACCGTTTAGATGGCTTCGCTTCACTTTTAACAGAGGAGTATTACTATAAAAATGAGCCAAAGCTTGCAGGATGCGCCAGAGGAGTTGTGCCTGCTGCGTTTAAGCAGCCTGTTTACAAAAATGTCCCTTTTCAGTCACTTTCACTGCTGTATAGCGTCACAATCAGAATATGGGTTTGTCTGAACCAGCATTGCATCGCGATAGTCTAATGCTAAAAGTACCCCATCAACTATCGGGCAGTGTGTCAAACTAATCCGGCAGCAGTGACACCTATGCCAATTTTTTCCTCCTGCAGGCAGAGAGAGAGAGAGAGTGAGAGAGTGAAGCCCTTTTCTGGATTGTAAGCAAGAACAGGGTGGTGCACCTGAAGGTGGTGCTTGGGTGGAAGATCCTGAGAAGAGGGGCAGGGAAGGGAAGACCTCCTGAGGTGGGAGACTGAGAGAAGACAGGGAAGCTCCCAGGTGAGAGCTGGGAGAAGCCAGCCCTTTCTGTGTGAGACAAGGGGTAAGAGCTACCTTTGAGAGAGTAGTAGTAGTAATAACAATAATAATAATAAATATTTTATTTATATCCCGCCCTCCCCAGCCGAAGCCGGGCTCAGAGCCGCTAACAACAATAAAAGTAACACAGCATTCTAAAATCAATTCATTCTAAAATCAATTCAAAATCAAATTGATGGCAACCATTGGGCTAGAGTTCTGTGAGGATGACCAAAGGAGGGGGTCAGACTGTGCCTTGTCCAAAGGCCTGGTGGAACAGCCCTGTCTTGCAGGCCCTGCGGAAAGATGTCAAGTCCCGCAAGGACCTAGTTTCTTGGGACAGAGCGTTCCACCAATTCGGGGCCAGAGCTGAAAAGGCCCTGGCTCTGGTTGAGGCCAGCCTAACCTCCCTGTGGCCCGGGACCTCCAAGATGTTTTTATTTGAAGACTGTAAGTTTCTCTGTGGGGCATACCAGGAGAGGCGATCCCGTAGGTACGAGGGTCCTAGGCCGTATAGGGCTTTAAAGGTTAAAACCAGCGCCTTGAACCTGATCCTGTACTCCACTGGGAGCCAGTGCAGCTGGTATAGCACCGGGTGAATGTGATCCCACGGCGAGGACCCCGTAAGGAAGACTTTGCATTTTCCTTTCTCTGTTTTAGTTTTTATTTAGATGAGTTTCCTTTACCTTGCTGTATCATGAACAAGCTTTAATGAAACCTTATGGGAAGAAAGGGGTGGAGAAACAAGCCGGCTCTAGCACTGTGACTAATCTTAAGTGTAGCTGCAAGCAAACCAAATTATACCAACATTGTCTCCCATCCGACGTCTGCAGGTTATTTACCTTTCAGCTTGTAGTCAACCTGTATATAAATATTATCTTTAATAACCAAATATATACTGAGCAGAAGTCCTTCTAAAGTGTGTGCGTGCGCACACACACACATACACTTTGGGCGGCGTGGGTCTAGCCTTCTGCAGAAGCTGGTTTCTTGGTTACCTCCAACCTACCAGTTTAATACTTGAACTTTCTCTTGTCGCCAGGCATTCTCTCCCTTCCCACAACACATGCAGAACATCACGACAAAATTCTTTGTGTAAAAACTCCAGCATGTCTTGGAATTTTGGCTGTGACCCCAGGCTTTCAAAGCTCAAAAAATATCAAGCAGAGGATGTGGCTGGGCCCTCAAAAAGTGAAGAATATGAGAACAAAACAGAGTCATTAAATACAATGCCAGCTGCTGCTGCTGCTGCTTGTTTAGGCATCTCTTATTATTAAACCGCTCTAGTAGCAACTGGTGTGCTGCGTTTGTTACCTCAATTGTTCACAGGCATTGGATAGAGTCGTTCCAAGCAGCCTAAGAGCAGAAAGCTAACAAGGAAAAAGGAACTTGGGCCAATGCGGTTGCAGTCCTTAAACACACGTCTCCCTGAGCAAGTGGAATTGAATTCGGTGGAATTTACTGCTGGTTTCTCGTGTACATAGAATGAAAATGCATAGCAGTTTCCAGAACTTTTCCCAAAACTTCTTCATTTCAATTTCACTTGCCTGTGACATACCCTTCATGTACTTCAGGTTTGAAGAAACCTTTAAAAGTGTGCTTTACTTGGGATAATCATTCTTAATTATTACTTTTATACAGGGCTTTTTTTTTTAGCAGAACTTGCTGGAACTCTGTTCTGGCTTTTTTCAGGTGGGTACCATTGCCATTGTAAGACTACAAGGGAGGCATTCCTGGTGTGTCCCGGCACCTCTTTTTCTAGAAAAATAGTATTGCTTTTATAGATTAATTTAGAAGGCATCACAGAAGAGCCTCGGGTTGAAGTTCAGCCATGATTTTATTTCATTTATTTATGTACACTCTCAGACACAAGCCCCTACAAGGCACCCTCCTGTTCTCCCCCCACCCAGAGTCTCCTGCCCACTGTACAACTCAGCTCTTCACTTGCTCCATTAATGGGACTCAGCCCTGTGCCTGGGACACAAAATAGGGTTGTCCTCTGTCTCACTAAGCCCCAGGCTATTGCATTAAGGCAGAACTGGAACATCGTGGGCTACTTGGGTGCGGGGCAAAGAGCATTTCTTAAACTTAATATATAGATGATACGGCTGTTATGACAGAGATAGGACAGTGCCAAGTCTTAAAATTAATTCTGAGAATTAATTTCTTAGTGCAGTCCCTAAACTAACAACAACTCAAGCAATGGTGTTGCCAAGATGTCCCGGGATGTTTAAATATTTGGGCTTCCACATTCCAAAGCAAAAGGCAATGGCTTTGAGGTTTATTTCTTATTACAATCAAACAGTATATAAATTTTATGAAATAAACATACATTAAATTGATACCTTGATGAGTGCAAAGAATTAGAATGGATTCAAAAATATGGTTCAGGGGTGGGGCAGAAATCTGTTCTGGGGAGAATTTTCTCAGCACGTATGAGTCTGATGTTTCACGGGCTCCTTAAGCCTTTTTCCAGCACTGCTAAAGAAGTCTTCTCAGCCCCTTAGGTGGGTGCTGTTGCAGGCCAGTGGGCTTCTTCATGAAGGGCCTGGGTAAACCAGGGGTCATTTTTGTCACTTTTGTGATGAAAAGGTAAAGGTACCCCCGACCATTAGGTCCAGTGGCGGACGACTCTGGGGTTGCAGCGGTCATCTCACTCTATAGGCTGAGGGAGCCGGCGTACAGCTTCCGGGTCATGTGGCCAGCATGACTAAGCCGCTTCTGGTGAACCAGAGCAGCGCATGGAAACGCCATTTACCTTCCCGCTGGAGCGGTACCTATTTATCTACTTGCACTTTGACGTGCTTTCGAACTGCTAGGTTGGCAGGAGCAGAGACCGAGCAACGGGAGTTCACCCCGTCGTGGGGATTCGAACCACCGACCTTCTGATCGGCAAGTCCTAGGCTCTGTGGTTTAACCACAGCACCACCCACGTCCCTGTGATGAAGTGTACCTGCAGCAATTCCAGTGTCCTACAGGTGCAAAACATGGCAACATTTGTGCAACCGAAGAACTGCTTGCCCTTGCATTCAGCACAAATAACATTAGAAATACTGGTTTTATCAGACAATCCAGACACACCCCTTCTGCAGCTTTGAGTAAGCCCCTTTTCTGGGAATGCATTATGGCTAGAGCTATCAGCAGTAACCATAACCCCACAGACAACTTCCTCTACTGTGATTTGCAAGGCTCACATGTTCTGTGGGAATTTCTTGCCACGTAGCATATGGGGAACTGAGGAATTGAGAGTTAATTATTCACTTTCAGAAAAGTGAGTCTTCTGCTGGTTGTGCTGGTACAGGTTGATGAGCAAGAAATTTTAAGGTTTCCCTAGTGTCACACCTTTTGCCAAAGGAGGCTTTTGAGACTTGGGCAGTTGAGGAGGATGAGAGTGCAGGAATACACATCAGCCCACATGAGAGATGAAAGAAATCATAGCTGTAGCACTGTTAGGGGTAAACTACAGTTCCCAGCATGCTTTGGGAAAAGCTATGTGCTTTAAATGTGATTCAGATATGTGGTGTGGATGTGACCATAAGGGATCTGTGGTTCTGTAATCACATCAACTCAAACAGAAAGGGAAGAAATGGAGGCAGTGAGAGATTTTACTTTCTTGGGCTCCATGATCACTGCAGATGGTGACAGCAGCCACGAAATTAAAAGACGCCTGCTTCTTGGGAGAAAAGCAATGACAAACCTAGACAGCATCTTAAAAAGTAGAGACATCACCTTGCCAACAAAGGTCCATATAGTTAAAGCTATGGTTTTCCCAGTAGTGATGTATGGAAGTGAGAGCTGGACCATAAAGAAGGCTGATCACTGAAGAATGGATGCTTTTGAATTCTGGTGCTGGAGGAGACTCTTGAGAGTCCCATGGACTGCAAGAAGATCAAACCTCTCCATTCTGAAGGAAATCAGCCCTGAGTGCTCACTGGAAGGACAGATCCTGAAGCTGAGGCTCCAAGACTTTGGCCACCTCATGAGAAGAGAAGACTCCCTGGAAAAGACCCTGATGTTGGGAAAGACACAAGGAGAAGGGGACAGCAGAGGACGAGATGGTTGGATAGTGTTCTTGAAGCTACCAGCATGAGTTTGACTAAACTGTGGGAGGCAGTGGAAGACAGAAGTGCCTGGCGTGCTCTGGTCCATGGGGTCACGAAGAGTCGGACACGACTAAACGACTAAACAACAACAATCACATCAAGTGCGCTATGTTCTGCGCTCAGTTTGCCCAGCTTCTCCTCCAGTGTTTCTGCCTGATGATCTTTTGAAAATGTGTATTTGGGCTTTTGTTTCTTCTTTTACCACCACTGCAATTCTGCCTGTGTTAAAGGGGCCTCCCCAGCTGCACTATGTTCCAAAATAATCTAACATCCAAATGCAGGCTACCCGCCCTCTTATGTGTTTTGAAAAAATGTTGTTGATGTCCCTATCCTGCAGTAAGGTGCTGGTCAGAACTGGGGTTAAAAATAAGCTAACAATTGGAAGACTATTTGGCTATCCAAGCCTGCCCAGTCACTCTCTGTTTTGGGACAGATGGTACAGAACTCCCCTATACAGTGGTACCTCAGGTTAAGAACTTAATTCGTTCCGGAGGTCCGTTCTTAACCTGAAACCGTTCTTAACCTGAGGTACCACTTTAGCTAATGGGGCCTCTCGCCGCCACCACCGCACGATTTCTGTTCTTATCCTGAAGCAAAGCTCTTAACCCGAGGTACTATTTCTGGGTTAGCGGAGTCTGTAACCTGAAGCATCTGTAATCCGAGGTACCACTGTAGCTCTCACACATGACATTAGGGTCACCCCCAGATTAGTGGGTCTGGCCAGCAGACTTTTGGTATGGGAATTCAGCAAGAAATTTATTAAAGAATCAACTGACTTCATTTGTTTGAAGGTTCTAATGTTGACATTAAATCTAAGAAGTTACTCACCTTTCATTATGGAAGCATGTTTGTCCATTACATAAAAATGGACATTAGTTTGTAGTATTAGACTGCATGGAACATAAGCGTTGCTTAACACACCAAGTCTAAGAAGAACAGAGAAATCTGATACAACCTTATTGACTGTTCAGATCACTCTGTTTTGGATGACTCCTTTCTGTCAGTCAAAAGGGTTTGTGACTTGTACATCTTTGGGGGGAGGGATAGATTTCAAATAACAGCATATTCAATGAGCTCCCTCTGTGTAACTGAAGATGGAAAATATGAAGAATTGGTTGTAATTCACATTGTTATAATTTACACTTATCAGTATTATGTCCAAAGGTTTCTTTTTTAGTTGTGTAGTTATCACTAAAAACAAAAAGCTTAAAAAATATATTTTCTAAATCTTGTTATGTGAATGTTAAGATTCATGTTGGGGGTTATGATTGTTTGCTTATGACTGACTGTCGATTTGTTCAGAACAAATTAGAAATAGCTTAAAATCACAGGAAAGCATTTGATGTGTCCCATGATACCCACGTTGATATGATGTTAAACTACAGGCTGGGTGTTATGACTGTTCTATTTGCCTTGCACCGCACGCCTGGTCCACCATCTCCAGTTACTTTATGTAATAAAGGATTTGCATGATAGTGACCCTATGATCCTGTCAATGTGACGTCACAATTGGTACTGAAACGTAGGAGAAAAATTATGGCAGTTGGTTGTTTTGTCTGCATCTTGAGTGCTTTATGGGGGGAAATGTATTACAAACGTGCTGTCAGCTCAATTTTGAGTAGGCCCGGTTCTAACAGAGAGAAAGAGCTCCAATTTATTCATGTGAACTTGCAAAAAGGGGAAAGAAATCTGAGCGCAATCAAAGTAGCTCACAAATAGTAAGATCAATCCACTCATTCTTAGGAATGAGGATCCATTTCTTGACGCTTTGTGTAGAGAAGGCTAAATTTATGTGTTAATATATTCACAAATGAATAATTCAGCCAGTTTGGATAACACCCATGCTGAGAGTGCTTACAGCTTCCTCCCTGTTTCTAACACTGTCTGTCAATTATAATGCATGGATGACCCAACAGGACATCTCTCTCCCCACTGCACCAGGGTAAATACCGATCCTCAGCAGTCACAGCTTTCACCCATATCTAGCAGTGGCAACAGTCTGAAAAAAATAATGATCTTTCAGTTCTCAGAACAACTCTGCAGTAGGACTACCATCAGTATGGGGCTCTAATCTGTGCTCCACAAATAAACTAAGCCAACATTTAGAGACATCCCAAATTCTCCAGTCCACGTGATTAAATCCTACATATTAAATGGAAGCTAGGACTGTTCAATGGGACACAGGTGGCGCTGTGGGTTAAACCACAGAGCCTAAGACTTGCCGATCAGAAGGTTGGCGGTTCAAATCCCCGTGATGGGGTGAGCTCCCGTTGCTCGGTCCCTGCTCCTGCCAACCTAGCAGTTCGAAAGCACGTCAAAGTGCAAGTAGATAAATAGGTACCGCTCTGGCGGGAAGGTAAACGGCATTTCCGTGTGCTGCTCTGGTTTTGCCAGAAGCAGCTTAGTCATGCTGGCCACATGACCCGGAAGCTATACGCCGGCTCCCTCAGCCAATAAAGCGAGATGAGCGCTGCAACCCCAGAATCGGCCACGACTGGACCTAATGGTCAGGGGTCCCTTTACCTTTACCTTTTAAGACTGTTCAATGATCTTTAAACGGATGCCTTCCAGTATAACAGAGGGGTTTTAACAACAACTTTATGTTTGGAATACATATGTCAGCAAGAAAATGTAGCGCGGACTATGTTGAGCTTTGTCTTCATAGTTACCATCCACTAGCCAAATCATGTATCCAACAGGTACATAAAGCATTCTCACAAGATTCCCTGGTTTAAAAGGTCCAAAAACGACCAGCCAGAATGAACAAATGCTTTTATTTCCCAAAGCCACTAACTTTCGCTGAGTGCATGTCCCAGCCAGGGACACAGTTCACACGGGTCAAGTAGAGTGGCACTTTGGCAACATGTCTAAAATACTAGGATTATAAAAATGAAGAGGTAGTCAGGAAACGAAACAAAAATCTCCACTGTGAAAATCTGTAACTGGTGCAGAGCACTGCACAAAGGCAATAATGGTGACATGTACACAAATTTTCAGAACCAAAGAGAACTAATTTGTGTTGTGCAGACATCATATGACGTCTGCACATAGTTACATGCCCACTCTGCTACAATTGTGTTTACTGGCTGAACACCCCTCCATTTTTCAATATGTTGGCAGGTTATACAAAATAAATTATTCTACAAGTTGGAAACGAGGGGAATGCTAGCTTCTCCAATCCACACACTTCCTTTGTAGACCATCTGATATTATATATTCAGGAGAGATAAAGCCAGTTTCAGAGCAGGGAAGAATAAGAGAGCTCACCAGGAAAGGTAAGCCAATTTTGAGCTACTTTTGACTCTCCCAAAAGTAAACTGAATAGCTGAATGCTGAAAACTAGACACTGGAGTGTGGTAGTTAGGCAAAGGAATGCTGAATGAAAGTACCGACGTCTAATTTTATTAGCACTCATCTTTAAAATTTATTTTTCTGCCTTCTGGTCAGAGTCACAATATTCAAGGTGACAAATGAGGACAGTTATCAGAAAATATATTTTGCAGCATGGGAGTGTTTGCATGGAACAAAGTTTGAAAACTCAGGCCTTTCTCAAGGGTGGAAGCAGTCAAAAGAGTGGAAGCAGTCTACCTCTCTTTCAAATCAGAACCAGTGAAGGCGGTGAAGGTGCTGTGTGAGTGTCCGGAGGCGGTTGGAGGATGGATGGCGGCTAACAGATTGAGGTTGAATCCTGACAAGACAGAAGTACTGTTTTTTGGGGACAGGGGGTGGGTGGGGGTGGGGGACTCCCTGGTCTTGAATGGGGTAACTGTGCCCCTGAAGGACCAGGTGCGCAGCCTGGGAGTCATTCTGGACTCACAGCTGTACATGGAGGCGCAGGTCAATTCTGTGTCCAGGGCAGGTGTTTATCAGCTCCATCTGGAACACAGGCTGAGACCCTACCTGCCCACGGACTGTCTTGCCAGAGTGGTGCCCGCTCTAGTTATCTCTCGCTTGGACTACTGCAATGTGCTCTACGTGGGGCTACCTTTGAAGGTGATACGGAAACTACAACTAATCCAGAACGCAGCAGCCAGACTGGTGACTGGGAGTGGCCACCGAGACCATATAACACCGGTCCTGAAAGACCTACATTGACTCCCAGTACGTCTCCAAGCACAATTCAAAGTGTTGGTGCTGACCTTTAAAGCCCTAAACAGCCTCGGCCCAGTATACCTGAAGAAGCGTCTCCACCCCCATCGTTCAACCTGGACACTGAGGTCCAGCTCCGAGGGCCTTCTGGCGGTTCCCTCACTGCGAGACGTGAGGTTATAGGGAACCAGGCAGAGGGCCTTCTTGGTAGTGGCGCCCACCCTGTGGAACGCCCTCCCACCAGATGTCAAAGAGAAAAATAACTACCAAACTTTTAGAAGACATCTGAAGGCAGCCCTGTTTAGGGAAGATTTAATGTTTAATAGGTTATTGTATTTTAATGTTCTGTTGGAAGCCGCCCAGGGTGGCTGGGGAAACCCAGCCAGATGGGTGGGGTATAAATAATTAATAATAATAATAATAATAATAATAAAAACAGTAGCTCTCAAATCTGTTTATTTACTTCTGCTACTTCCTTCTCTATTACTCTCACCTTCTTTTACAATTTTAATTCCCCACAAAGTGCAGTCCTCCTTTACCCTTTAAAAACAGGAGGCTAGGGGAATGGTGGTGCAGTAAATTATTTTGCCAACAAGTTCAAATCTAGAGCAATGCTACCAACTGGTGTGGTGTTTTTTTAAGCAAAAGGATATTGAAGACACAGAATGAAAGCTCCATTTGCAGTAAAGAGACACAGACATATACCAGAAATGGGGATTTCATTCACTGTTTCCAATGTTGTTGTTGTTGTTTATTCGTTTAGTCGTGTCCGACTCTTCGTGACCCCATGGACCAGAGCACGCCAGGCACCTCTGTCCTCCACTGCCTCCCGCAGTTTGGTCAAACTCATGCTGGTAACCTCGAAAACACTATCCAACCATCTTGTCCTCTGTCACCCCCTTCTCCTTGTGCCCTCCATCTTTCCCAACATCAGGGTCTTCTCCAGGGAGTCTTCTCTTCTCATGAGGTGGCCAAAGTACTGGAGCCTCAGCTTCACGATCTGTCCTTCCAGTGAGCACTCAGGGCTGATTTCCTTCAGAATGGAGAGGTTTGATCTTCTTGCAATACCCCTTTGCTAAGAAAAGCACCTGTCAGCAGAGCTGCTCCAGATTTGATATTGAATTGCAGCAGGATGCTATTTACACTTTGATAGGTTTTGAAAGTGAGGAAGAATGAATATTTAAAAGCTATATAAAAAAACGTTTTTAATAAATCTTTAGAAAAGCAGACATACATATATGTGCTTCAACATTTTAATGCAAAAATTCTCTTTGACCACTTACTATACGATGGAAAAATTATTCACAGGCAAAGAAGAAATAATCTTTCCCGAGTTTGATTCTTAAAAAAGATTACAAGTTTTTCTGAAGTCAGAGCAAATCATGACAGAATTTTTAAATAGAAGGTAAAATAAAATGTAACAAAGTAAAAATAATAGTGTGAATATTTTCCATCTATTTAGTTGTCACATACGTCAAGCCATTATGCAATTCAAGCACTCCAAGCCTCTTCTTTAGTTGAGATATGTGCTGTTCAAGATTCATACCAGTGCTTTCAAGGATCCAGTTCGTTTATAATAAGAATCTTGAACTGCAAAAGCCCTGTGGGCACTCCAGCCAACCAACACTGTCCAGCTTGCATTTAACCATCTTGCTAACGTGACTATCCTAAGAGAAGTCCAATGCCAGGAGCAGAGGGGAAAGCTCTTTCTCTCTCTCTCTCTCTCTCTCTCTCTCTCTCTCTCTCTCTCTCTCCTGTTTGACAAAGAAAATACAGACTCTCTAGTGAGATTAAAGGGATGCTGAGAGAAGGATCTAAGAATAAATCTTGCAAAGGAGCTATAGAATGCACCATGGCATAAAAAGCCATATCCAAGTGTCAGGATAAAAGAACATACCTGAAAGGTCCTTCACCACTGGCCTTAGACACCTAAAACGTTAAATCTGAGTGATGGCACAAGGGCCATGGGGGAAAGATTACAAGGCTAGACGGACCTTCTTCTACAAACTTTATTGGAGAAAGTATTTGTGGAATGTGAGAAAATTGTTCTCCCATTCAAACAGCAAAGCATCCTTCTGTATGTTAACTCTGTGTGGTGTAGTATTTAAGAGTGGTGGACTCGTAATCTGGTGAACTGGGTTTGCGTCTCCGCTCCTCCACCTGCAGCTGCTGGGTGACCTTGGGCCAGTCACACTTCTTGAAGTCTCTCAGCCCCACTCACCTCACAGAGTGTGTGTTGTGGGGGAGGAAGGGAAAGGAGAATGTTAGCCGCTTTGAGACTCCTGAAGAGGAGTGAAAGGCGGGATATCAAATCCAAATCCAAAGGTTGGTGGACAAAGCACAGTATTACCATACAAAGAAATTTTGTTTTTTTATATTCATAGCGGGAAGCCAGATTGTTGCAGAGTACTGGAAGGTAGAAGAATGGGCAAGGACACACAAATGGAAAAGGAACCAAACAAAATGAAGCATCATGACATGGAGAGTATGACAACGACTCTCTTTTTGTCCTTTTCTCACAGTGCAGTTGGGAATGGTGCTGGGCTGAAATGAACATGAAAATGTAAACATATTTTGATATGGAAAACAATTATCCACCTGAACAGACGCTGTAGAACTGGTGTACTTTGTGTTGTCGTTGCTACTGCTGTTTTGTAAAAATTAAATCAAAGCGTTTGTGAAAAAAGAGAGAGCTCTGCTACTTTCCTGGTGAGGGATCAAAACGAACGTACTTCAAAGGCTAATTGGGTTGTTTCTGGTTTTCCCTCTATAGATGGCACCAAAGAAAATAAAACAATGACAGAATATGGTTAAACTATTTATTTGGAAAAGGCTTGGCAAACACTGGCCTAGAATAAAGTGGCAGCTGGTTGGAGATTCCCAAACTGCAATGCGTTGCAAATGGGGAAGGTTTGTGCAACTAATTATGATGGTATCAAACAATGGCTAGAGTTAGAATGGGTTATTAGCCCTACAGCTGAAATCCCATTAATTTCAGAGGGATAAGCACCTTCGCCTGGATTGGGGTGAAGTCTATTAGTGGCTTGAATTAGGGATGGGAACCTGTGGCCCGCCAGATGTTGTTGACTGACAACTTCCATCAGCCCTAGTGAGCATAAACAATGGTCAGAGATGATAGGAGATGTAGTCCGGTAGCTTATGAAGGAATGAAGGTTCACCACCCCAGCTGCAAATAGTTGTATTGTTTTTGTGAGCGTTAAATGACTGGGTTGAGTAAAAGGCACAGAATCAAAGCTTCAGGTTGGTTCTTCTTAAAAGCCTGTTTCCCTCCACATTTTAACTTGAAAGAATTGAATTATACATTAAACTGGAATGTGTTCATGAGTGCTCACCCACCTGATAGCAGCAGCATATAATAAATAGTTCTGTCCACGGAAACAAGAAATAGACTAGTTCTTTGTTTTAATTAAATAGAAGTCTGGGACACTTGATAAATTATACGACATGTACAATGTGTTTGCTGTAAGCTGTTTAAATGTTTACCAATGAGCTAGTGTTCTGTTTGTTTGCAAAGAAATCAGATTAATTATTTTACTACCAAATGTTCTCTACAACACACTTTGCTCGGAAAATTAGATGCTGTAAAAATACATTAGGAATTCTTAAGTAAATATTGATCTAAGGTTTCTGCCACAGGTTTTAGACAAATATATGCACAGCCACTCTATGTATAATCCACGTGCAAATTAGACATTTTTATGAATTTTCAGTTTACATATAATAATTACTTTTATTGTAGTTTTGACCATCATTGAAAGTGCAAATAAAAGGATAGATATAAATGCAATTCTCTTGTTTCCAGTAAAACGAATAGGAGATTAGAAGGCTTTTATTGTGGGGCCCTAATTCAAGCTCCCCATAGAGAAGAATGCTGTAGCCGAGAGAGGCAAAATGCCTGGCGCTTAGGCTGGATTGTGGCAAACCAGCGACAAATGCTCACCCCAAACTATCTTAAGTGCTGTTTTGAGGTTCCACCTGCTTGCACATGGTGCTACATGGTCACTGAGGGGGCTGTCAGCACCCAAAGTACGTCAGCTCCCTTTTGCCTCCTGCACAAGGATCTCCTATAGCCACGACTGTGGGATCCACATTGGGTTGCAAGGGCTCCAGTGATAGCACCCGCCTTCTGGATTCTTGTTTGGTTAGACATGGCAGGATCCCACACTTAGGCACACTTCCTGCCCACTGACAAGACCCCACTGGTCATGCAATGTGTCGGCTGCAATTCCCTCTGCACCCGTTCTACTTATGATACTGGGCAAGTACTCTGCGTGTGTGTGTGTGTGTGTGTGTTCTGCCAGGCGGCAATCCTATATACAACGACTCCTGCAATGTGCCACTAGAATCGCATTGTACAGTAATGGTTTAGTCCTGGTCCTTTACACTGCTGAAGAATGGGGGTTGGCTTCTAGGGCAGTGCCTTCTTGATTACGTTGCCTCATTCACAGAACCAGTCTTTCTGCTGATGTGCCCCCCCCATTAATCTAGCACATCTGTTTTTCTGTGTTGAAGGCTCTACTTTTTAATTTCAGCCATTGAGCAGGATCTAGTTTATTCCTTCACATTTGTTGATTATATTGGTAAAATCGTTTTGTATCAAAATCCCTGCACATACCTCTAATCAGCAGTTGCAGTTTGTGGTTTGGCAGAGCAGAGCAGGCCTCCTTTGCTATTTGCTTGAATTAAATCAGGTAGACTGCATCAAGGATGGAAGTTGGACCTGTATGGACCTGGAGAGGCAATGAAAGCGCCTCCATGGCTGCAGCTGCCCCGCCCCGATCAAGTAAAACAATAGAAATACTTAACTAACTGACCGATCCCGTCAATTCTGCCCCCCCCCCCCCAATCCTGGTTATGCCCATGGCCTCCATTATACTAACTCAGGTAGTGCGTGTTTAGGTAAGCATTGCTGCAACATCTGACAAATCCCTTCATTACTTTCTGCTTTCACTGTATATCTTTGGCTTCCTTTATCACATAAGGTTAAACATCCTTTGGAAGCCTTAAGCCAGAGATGGTCACAAAATTTCAATGGCTTGAGGCGTCCACCTGAAAAGCCCATCTTTGTTTTCATTCTGTTACTAAGCTCAGATTTGGTGTTAAAAGCTGCTACCAGACAGCTCAGAAGTTGGGGCTTCTCTGGTGTCTCCCGTCTCACTTGCAAGGGTCCTCTCTATGTTGCAGTGTGTGATTCTCAGACTCCTCCCAGTACTTGCCGCTGCTGGAACTGTGGCTCCTTCCTGATACTAGCCTTATACACAAAGGCTCCTTTTTATTCCATTTTATTTCCCTGCAACAGGATGGCTTGGGGTAAACTCTGTCACTCTGCATCCCAAAAGGCTCTGAGACAGTCCTCCTAAAGTTGCATCAGATTCTCTTGCCCCTTCAAAATGGCCACTTAACCTGCTCTGGGGTGGCATGGCCTGTTGTGGCTTCCCCTCACACCACTGGGGGGATGAGAAAGTGTTTCCATGGAGGCCAGCCATAGGATCCTCTCCCAGCTGGTTGCTATGGACGGAGGAATAACCAGCTAACATCAAATTTGAAGTGCCCAGTCAGGGAAAGGGGTGGAGGCCAAGCCTGGGCAGATGATTTGATGGTGGAAGTTTCCACTCCAGTCCACCACTTGGAAATAAAAGCCAGCTGCACCTGAGTTTGGGAGTGCAGTTGACTGAAGAGCAACCTGTTCACCCTCCCTTGATGTTGTTGTCTCACCTGCCTGCTCATCTTGCCTGCAGACTAATTGGGCCCATTTGAAGGTTTTGTCATCCACATAGCAAATGTCACAACCTTTGGTGGAAAAGGCATTGGGTGGAATCTTAGTCCATTAAAAGTTTTGGGGCGAAATGGTGTATCACCCCAACCTATAGCAAGTGGTGGTATGATAACTCTCCTCAGAGCAAAACTATTGAACTGTAGGGACCACAAAGTTTCCCTGCTCAAGGGTAGGGGCCCAAAAGGCTTTTATTGTTTCTAGATGTTTCTACATGCTTCAGTGTTCAGAGCCCATATATATTACTGGACAGACCACAAAGAGTAGCATGATCTGCTTAGATCTCAAATCTCTCCTCTACTCAGGGTCAGCCCTCTGAAGCAGAGTGAGGCAGCTGCCTCAGGCAGCAGATGCTGAGGTACAGTGAGGGGACAGTGCTGTGAGTGCCATGTGGTCTGCCTTTTACTGCCTACACTAGCCTGCTGGCCTCAAGTGCAGTGGAAGACACTGTCCTATCAACAGTAGTGGGGCAAGATTCAACTACCAGTCCAATTGCCTTCTGCATGTGCCTCAGGGTGGGACACCATCTTCTATTTTGCCTCAGGCAGCAAAATGTATTGAGCCAGCCCCGCCTCTGATAGTCTACCTTGTATTTGGAGAGCTCTTTTAAAGACACAGGCACCAAAAAACACACACAACACAGAGCATAGGCACCAACTCCTAGGCGCCCCCCCCCCCATGTTCAAAGGGTGTTTGGCTGCTCCCTCTGGCACCATGTCACATAGGGCCTCCTCAGCCGTCAGGAGAAGCTTCCCTTCCCTTGCTACAGACTCAGACATCTCAGGTTGTTCTCTCTACTCTGAAATTTGGGCAACATTCTAGATGCCTCTCTTTATGATGCAGGATGTGTCCTGCGGGGGAAATCCAAACAAGTATTTGTGTGCTGTGATGAGTCTCCATACAGAGCACGCCCATCTATTCACATAATAGTAGAACCATAAATAATGCAGTCCGTCCATTGTTTTCTTTAACTTTTAGCAATCCTTTATGCAACATTTCTCTGTTTATCGCCTAATAGTTAAATTCCACACTCTATATAATTTTGAGCTTCCAGTACGGTTTATCAGAAGCTATTAATGAACTGCCATTAAGGCTGCATGGCTGCAGAGTGTACCAGCTGAAAGCGGCTGTGGGGTCCCTGATTACAGACATTAAAATGGTGTGTATTGGCTTACTGCAGCTTCCCAGCAGGGAACCTCACTCGTAATTCCTTTGCATCTAGTCTCAGCAGGAGAAGATTGACAGGATTGAAAACCATGTCAACAGTGCTGCTGTGAATGTTGAAGAGGGAACCAAAAACTTGAGGAAGGCCGGGTTTTGCTCCTGCTGGCGAATCAATGGCACTCTGCCTCCCAGCAATCTTCTATATTAACCCAATTGATCCGCCGTCTTTACTGCGAAGGAACCAGCAATTAAGGAAATAAGGAAAAAATGACCCATAGGTAGTAGGGGGAGCGAGGGAGATCAATCTATCTCATAATGTCCTGTCACATCCAAATTGCCAGAAAATAACTTCTCTTGCCTAAAGCCTTGTGGCGAGACTGCTCTGTTTCTGTTTCTAATGAAACAGCGGCAAAACCCAGGGAAGGGTTAAAGAACCGGCCCACCATGAGCTGGAAGAACAGTGGTGCTACAGACATATCAAGGCCCAAATAGTCAATATGGGACTGGCTGCAACCCTGATGCTTAAATGGAAGAAAGCCGCACTAGGAACAGCAGGATTTACTTCCAAAGAAATGGCT